TCCTCTCTAACTCTTATCGTTCCAACGAGCTATATATCCCCTCTTTTTCATGGAATTAGATGTTTTCACTCGAATAAGAAATCCAAAAATAAATAATCTATCCCTTATAATCCATTATTATTTACAAAAATTATGCAATCACACAACTAACCATTAAATACTATATATAGAAATATCACCACTTGTCATTTCAAAACAATACACTAAATAATGTCTATAATTCAATCCTTGTCAGATGAAGATTATAAAGATAAAGAGATAAGAGGGACACAATCCATAATTTTGTTGCTCATTCATAGTTCAAGTGCGTTGGCTCACCGCTCACGGCAAACAGAAAACAATTTAAATTTATAGCCACACCGGAGAATATCTAATTAGACGCATTGTTTATTGCTTACTATAGTGGGTTTCATTGGGACAAACAATATTAGACTCATTTATATAGTGGGATTCATTGGGACAAACAGTATTAGACTCATTTTATGTAATATCTTTCACTCGGAACACGTGCCCCATACACATATGGTCCCTCCATATTTTGTACTTACGTAGTTTTATACTACTTTTATGTTACGATTTTGGTATTATTGCAACGCGTAAAAAAGGAGAGCCAAGTATGTGACCAATCTTTGGGATTGATGAATTAAGAAAAAAAAGAAAAGAAAGGAAAGACAATTATATCTCCAATCTTTGAGATAGATGATTAAATTTTTTGTAGTTATCATGATTTAAAATGTTGTAGGGACGTACGTGATCATTCTCATGACTCATGACACCCCATTCCATTTACCAAATGCATTACTTATTTACTTGTTCTGGTACAATACCGAACACACTAACAATGATTTAACATTTACTTAATTATACACAACTTGATATAAATTTGTTTACGAAACAACTTGTATTAAACTTTTGTTTCTACTACACTTATATATTGATCTATCGTGGGCGGTGAGGAAAATGAGTTGGGACATGGGTTTGTCATTTAGGTCATTTTATTTTTAGTATATGTGAAATTTGTAGCCAAAATATGCATAAAAACTTTAGCCTTTCTAAAAGCCTAAAATGGGTTGAGGAACACCGAGACGTAAGCTCTTTTAAACTATTTGATGTGATAAAATAACTAAAAAACTATTTGTTATGTTTTTTTTTTTGTTTTCTTTAAAGATAGAAGAGAAGGGAAGGTAAGAAGTAGTGTAACTTGTAAGTAAGTAGTCACAATTAATTGTTGGAAATAAATATGAAAGCTCTATTAAACGTCACCAAAAATGAGTTTCAAACAAGAGTTAAAAGATAAAGAAATAAGTAACTGATATAAAAGAATGGTAGTTTATTAAAAAAAAAAAACAAGAACGGTAGTTTTTAATTTTTTTTTGGTATTTTTGTAAAGAAATTTTGATTAAAGAAAATCTGGATTTTATTCTCTTTTGGCATATGAATTGGAGTATTTAGTTATAAGTAAAATTTTCCACATGTTTACTAATTTAGGACTCGAATGTCTTGTTACGCCAGTCAACATCCGTTGGATAGTTACAATGTCATTTACAACTTGCCGAAATTAATTCAGAAATATAAAAAGAAAACAATCTAAATTATAAATAATAGGTTGGATTTTCCAAAATAAAAAAAAAAACGTACACTTTTTTGAGATATTACCATTGATTTCTTAAATTTTACGATTTTAACTTTAAAGATTTCAAATCAAACCATGTATAATTCAATTTAGGGTTAATTTAATACTTTAGTGTAGTAACGAGAGAAATAGGTAATGAAATCAAAGTCTAAGGACCATCCTGTAAAATCAAGTTCGGTACCGAAAACACGTCAGCATTGATCCAATAGATACTCGTCCTCCTCCTCTTCTCTATAAATAACGTAATATCTCTCCCGACTTTGTTACCATCGAAACAGTGTCGTAGTTTTCTCTCTCTCCGCAAAATATCATCGGAGAAAGAAACAGAGACAGCGAAACAGAGAAACCATGCAGAGATTCGCGGCGAAAAGATCAGTTCAAAACATTTCCGTTTCCCTTTGGCGTCGATGTATCTCATCGACGTCTCAGGCTGCGGCAGCTTCCGCTAAGGATTCCGATGAGTTTCAGGCGAGGCTTCCTCCGTTTGCTTACACTCCTCCGCCGTATACTGGTCCTTCCGCCGATGTAATCCTTGAGAAAAGAAAGGAGTTTCTTAGTCCTTCCATGTTCTGTCTCTATCGCAAACCGGTAAATTGTCCCATTTCAAAATTCTCGATTTAAATTTTTGGTTTGAAATTGTTTTTGATTCGTATAATCTCTGTTTCGGTGTTGATGATCTCTGTATGTGATAATGACGAAAAAGCTTGAAACTTTATTGGTGGGCTCATCGAAAACAGCTAAATTTTTATGATTTTAAAATTGGTTTCAGACTACGATGTTCTTATCCGAATTATTCTTGATCAGTAATGGAATCTATTAAAATATAAAATATATAAATGTTGAATCTTTATAATCAATATCATGTGGAGGCTTTAAAGTTGAATACTTTATTGATTTTCCTATTTGTTGCAGTTGAATATTGTGGATGGGAAGATGCAGTATCTATTTGATGAGAGTGGTCGGAGATATTTAGATGCATTTGCTGGGATTGCTGTTGTGAATTGTGGACATTGTCATCCAGATGTGGTTGAACCAGTGATCAATCAAATCAAACGACTTCAGCATCCTACTGTTCTGTACCTTAACCATGCCATTGCTGAGTTCTCTGAGGCTTTAGCTTCTAAACTTCCCGGTGATCTAAAGGTGGTGTTTTTCACGAACTCGGGGACGGAGGCTAATGAATTGGCACTCATGATGGCTAAATTGTATACTGGATGTCAAGATATTGTGTCGGTTCGAAACGGGTATCATGGTAATGCGGCTGCAACTATGGGGGCTACTGGTCAAAGCATGTGGAAGTTTAATGTGGTTCAGAATAGTGTTCATCATACTTTGAACCCTGATCCATATAGAGGTGTGTTTGGTTCTGATGGAGAGAAGTATGCAAAGGAATTGCAAGATCTTATTCAATATGGCACGACCGGACACATTGCTGGTTTTATTTGTGAAGCTATTCAGGTAAATCAATCGTTTGACATATGTTTGAATTCATTTATAAAGTGTTGTTAGATTAGAATTAAGAGTGAATGCAAATGTGAATAGGGAGTTGGAGGGATTGTGGAACTAGCACCGGGCTATTTGTCAGCGGCTTACGATACTGTAAAGAAAGCTGGAGGACTGTTCATCGCGGATGAAGTTCAGTCTGGATTCGCACGTACTGGTAACTTTTGGGGATTTGAGGCTCACAATGTTGTCCCTGACATAGTAACCATGGCAAAGGTTAGAGTTGTCCCAACTTTAGTTTGTTCTGCATCTAAGCTAACTTTATTGCAGTCTTTGGCTAATTGGTTTATGGTGTGAAAATAGGGAATTGGGAATGGGTTTCCTTTGGGAGCGGTTGTGACAACTCCAGAGATAGCAGCAGTATTGACTCGCCGTAGCTACTTCAATACATTTGGTGGAAATTCTGTGTCTACTACAGCTGGTCTCGCTGTTCTGAAGGTGATTGAGAAAGAGAAGCTTCAGGAAAATGCGGCAATGGTCGGATCCTATCTGAAAGAAAAACTCACACAGCTGAAAGAGAAACACGAAAGTAAATCTCCCTCTCTCTCTCTTTCTCCCTCTTCATAACCTTGTTTTTGTTGCTTCAATGTGATTATTATGCTTCTGTAATGTAGTTATCGGGGATGTACGGGGAAGAGGACTGATGCTTGGAGTAGAGCTGGTGAGTGATCGCAAGCTTAAGACTCCTGCAACAGCTGAGACTCTGCACATTATGGATCAAATGAAAGGTTAGTGTTTCTTTTACACTTGTCTGAGGTGAAACTTGTATTAAAAAGGTTGAACTAATTTGTCTTATAAATAAAATGTACAGAATTGGGTGTGTTGATTGGAAAAGGAGGCTACTTTGGAAATGTCTTTAGAATCACACCACCTCTCTGCTTCAGTAAGGATGACGCAGGTTTGTGCTCTTTCATTTCTTTGATAAGAAGGAATGTAGAAGAATAATTAACACATTAATAAATTTCTCTTTGTGGCAGATTTTCTCGTGGAAGCTATGGACTACTCAATGTCGAAGATGTGAAGAAAAAGAAAATGATAGATGCATGAAATATGGTTTTACTAAGCTGTGGTGAAGTATGCTTGTAATTATGCTATGAACGACCAAAGATTGATGAGCCAACATCTCGTTGCTTCTCAATCACTTATGTTTTCTTAATGTTCACAACTTTTCTTGTGTCAAAATAAATTAATAAAGTCGATCATTACAAATATCTAAATCGCATCTTAGCATCACACTTCATCATTTCTAAATCGTGTTGCCAATCCAGAGTCTTCGGGTTTGTTCGGTTTTTCTTTTCATTTGGATGCAATATCTAGATGTTGTTCAAAACAGTATAAGTTTGGCTGCAAAATAAGTTGTATCTTAAACAACTTGAATTTGTTTGTGCAAAGATTGAATCTGATGCTGCATACAATGAATGCTAAATCTTGATGTGACACAGAAACATCTGAGCCTTTAGTTTAAGGACCCAAAGAAGTCCAATATAATGCCTTTCGAGATCTTTTCTTTTGAAGGAGCAACATTTCACGCTAAAATATTCCTCTCTTGCTTGGAAAGTGTAGTGATCCCATAGTACCAAGAAATTAGTTGTGGCTGTTTCCGATCAAAGCATCGACTGTTGGAGACTGACCTGTCGGTACTGGCTAAGACTTATTAAACAGACCAATGTTCCATTTCCCACTCCCAATTCCCATGAATGTTCACAACTGTTATAACTTCCTCCCCAAACCAATAATAGTTTACACAACTCCACAAAAGTGTACGAAAACAGAAGACGAAGCAAATTAGAAAGAAAAAAAATCTCCTAGTCTCATCAAAGCGTTTCAGTATGTCATACCAAATCCTAAAATCAAACAAGGGGATAAAATGTACACCATTATATTCACAATGGGAAAATACGAAGCACTCACACTATTGTTAAATCATTTTCCTTCCTCCTATCATACTCTGCTGCGTCTGAGACCCGGACAAGCTTTGAGAACCATTACTACTGTTAGTCGGCTTATTATGCTTCCCGTCTGCGCTCCCAAACACATCCAGATCTTCAAACAATCTGTATGATGGAACAAACGGCTTCTGTCCTACAGATACACCTGGGTTGCTAGCAGTTGAAGTAGCCTGGGGATCTCCAGCTCTTGTGGGGAATGAGTTGGATTGCTGCAGTGATCTTCCGGCTAGGGCAGATGTGTCTGTGTATGACGCACTTGCATTAGCCCGTGGAGTATAGTATGCATTTGCTGATGTTGAAGCCCATGGCGGAGGCGGATATTCATACGGGTTCTGAGGTCGAGTTGACGGTTGTATCTGGACCTGTGCTTGCGGTTGCGATTGAGAATAGCTCTGCTGTGGTTGAGTCTGTTGAGGTTGAGAATAGCCCTGCTGTTGTTGAGTCTGTTGAGGTTGAGAATAGCCCTGTTGTTGTTGATATTGAGAATAGCCTTGCTGTGTTTGAGGCTGTTGCGGTTGCTGTTGCTGTGCCCAAGGAGCAACATAGCTATCAAACCGTGGCGGAGGCTGTGGATAGATATGGGTGTTTTGATCTGAGACAGCGGGAGGAGGAGGAGAAGGCTGAGAGGATGGAGGCGGTGGAGTTGATGGTGTAGACAGTGTGATACTCAATAGGTCAATCATATCTTGTTCCTTTGTGGTGTTCACTGGAGGAGGTGGGTCAGGCAGAGCAAGAGCAAGAGCATTGCTTGCAGCATTATGAGACTCTGAACTGGTAGGGTCTGTAATCCCAGATGCTGGCGGTTTGGAATGCCTGAAACAATACAGAATGATATGTCAAATACTAAGTTTATGATATGCACAGTTCCTGAATCCAATTGTAATTTGTAAGACAGACCTTCGAGCTAATTGGGCAAACTCATCTTCCTCATCTTCGTACTCCTCATCAATTGGGCTTTTCCCTGTAGAAACAGTGGCTGGTATTGGGGAACTAGAACCAGCTATGGAACTAGAATCTTTAGCTTCAGAAGATTTGGGGCTCGAATCAGCAGGTTTTGAAGCCTGAACTGACAGAGGAGAACCAGAAGCCTGAACAGGCAGAGGAGAACCAGAAGCTATTGCATCATGCTTAGCTAGCAGAATTTGAAGACTGTCATTTAGATCGAGTCCTCGGCCTAAAAGTTCATCATCCCTGGCACACAAACAAAAGACTGGTTAGCACAACGATGGAACCTCTCAGGTCAACAATATCATTACACATTCTAACAAATTTAAATACAGAGATCCTAAAAATAGAGGACTAACCCAGTGGAGGTTAGCATTTGCATCAGCTTTTTCTGATTGGAACGACAACGCTCGACCAAGTCAACAATGACTTCATCTTTCACAGCCTACATAACAGGAAAACCATGGGTAAATCAATTGATTTCATTCCAAACCCGCGTAATATAGCTGTATAATAGATTTCAATACCGCACGGTCACTGGGATCCACGGCTTGTAGCATGTCGCTCAAGAGATCCAGCACGTCCCTCATGGACTCGAGACTTGACAAGCTACAATTTAACCAAGAAAAGAATTTTGAAATAGTGGAAAATTTTGAACGAATCTAAAACTGTCAGTCCACATCGAAAGCATATTGAACTAGCAAATCCACTTACCTTAAGCCCTCAACCTCAGTTGCCATTGCTTCATCAAGCCTTCTCGAAGAACCGCTGGGCATTCCATAACCCACTTGAGGTATTCCATAACCCGGTTGAGGTACTCCATAGCCAGCTTGAGGTATTCCATAACCCGCTTGAGGTACTCCATAACCAGCTTGATGTACTCCATAACCAGCTTGAGGTACTCCATAGCCACCTGGAGGTACTCCATAGCCCCCTTGAGGCTGTCTTAACGGTGGATGACTCACTGGTGGTGTTATTATAGGGGACGCATCAGGTGAACGCCGGGGGAATTCAACTCCAGAACGCTGCAACATGTAACAGAAACCTTGAGAATAAAAATACCATGCAAATGAGCATCTCAGTAAAATGCCATATATATCGAGATCTGAATATAGAGTACTTCAATTTAGAACAACTATGACCCGAAAAGTAAATATCACAAGTAAGTCACCAAAGGTGACCTAAAATGTTGCTCACCCTTAACTCATCGTATGCCCAATAATATTGCGGATATTTTCCCTCAGGACCCCCAAAAGCTTGCTGCCAAGAGTCCAGCATGACCAATATCTTATCTCTTACTTGCATATCCGCCTATAAACCCCAATATCATCAGCAATACGAACAATCACCAATATGTAAACACATAAATAGAACCCTGAACAAAAACTACCTTCTTTTTCACAATTTTGACCATTTCCCCCAATAAGTTTTTCTCTGCAACTTGATGGTGCAAATAATCTCCACAGTTCTTTACTAACGTCTCCAAAAGCTAGCACATAAGAATACGTAGAGAGTTAAGGAGAGTCGAAACTACGCACAGAAGAACAAAGTCCCAAATTTCACTAGAAACATCATACCGTAAGAGCAAGTAGTTGAACTCTGGGGCTCTTATGTTGCAGCCTCTTTTTCACAGCTTTAACTACATCTTTCGCCTGCCTGATCAAATCAATAGGCACAAACCATTAGCTAAGATGCAAACATGAAATATGTTCCTACTCCAATCATGAATTAATCAGATTACCAACACCAAATCCCAAATTATGCATGTAACTGTAACCTTTTATCAAAATTTTCACGCTCTCATAAGAACATCAACCAATCCAAGATAAATCCAATTACAGCGAACAATCAACAATTCCAAACGAATTCAACAAAATTCCAACACCAAATCGAACAAAAAACTTACCAGTGAAGAGAATTAACAGAATCGCAGATTTCCATGTTCGTAGTCCAATCAGGACCTAACAAAAGATCGCTGGTTGCTTTATCAACAGCCACCGTTGCCGAAGCTGAAGACGACGCCATAATCTTCACCGATCAAAGAAGCTCAACACGATTAATAATAATTTTTCCGGCTCGAGAAAATTAAACAAAAACCCTAGAAAATCTTCTTCGCCAGCGAAAGAGAGACGAAGTCAGCGAGAATCTTTGCTTTTTAAGGCCTTTTTGTTATTGTTTCTTTCCTTTTCTATCTCCAGAGGAAGAAGAAAGAAATATTAATTTAAAAGGAAAAAATCTTTTTTTTTTTTTTTTCTATTTATTCTGATCGATCTGTTCATTTTTTTTGTTTTTCTCAGTTTTTAAGGACGGCAAATTCTCCCGCTACACGCTCTTTCTTTAGTGCGTGAAACCACGCGTTTGTATTATGTAGTCAACGTTAAAACTATTTAAGACTAATGATTTTTTACGTGGATAATTCCCCTTTTTAATGATGTTTATATTGTTGAACAGATTGGATTTGTTGAATACTAAAAAAAGGGAAAAAAGAAGAGATTGGATTTTAATACTATATCTATACGATTACGTGCTGGATGAGAATTATCTAAGAAAAAATGTATAATAAAAGTGTATATAATAAAGTTGGGATACATTTTATCTATAATTGAGTGACACGTAATTTTTGATTGGTGCTACTTATAAAAAGATGAAAAGGATCTTTTAAATAATTTTCTTACAACTTTAGATATGTGTACTCCATTTCATATAGGGAACCAATTTTATTAAAGACTAAAGGTGGTTTATTAATTTGTGTATTTTAGTTAATGTTTTACAATAGTTACGTTGATTATTTTCTGCTCAATTCTCTTGAATGGAAATGACTAAAAATAGTTTATTTATTTGTGTTTTTAATTGATTTGAAAAAATGATGTAGAATTTGAAATATATTTTTCTAAAAATTGTTGATTAAAACAAATTCGAAAAATTATTCATTTTTAAATTAGAAATTGGATTGTTAACGAGTATAAATCCATTCCCAATGATAAAAGGTAATACAGTATGTGATGAGCATTTGTATTTTTAATTTTGAAAACAATGCTAATTGTTAAAATTCTTATATACAAAATCATAAAAAAAGATTAATATTATACATGCTCCAAAATATATATATATATATATACTAGACCGAATGGTTTGGTCCTTGCATCATGCTGGATGAAGTATTTTACATTTATATTGGTTATCATATCCGGTTTAGATGTGGTTTATTATGGTTAAATCGGTTAAGCTACAACAGCTTGTTACTCTTTGTTTGTTTTCTCAGTCTATGTTCAATAAACTAAAAAAACAAAAACCAGGCTTCTTACAGTAATCAAGATAACCAATCCGCAAATCTAGAAATTGAAAAGATTTGTGAAGCAACACAAGGAGTTGATAGCAGATTCTAGTTCCAAATCCATTGACGTACATGCCAAAAATAAAGTAAATGAGAAAATAAATAGAAGTTTAACATAATAAATTAGACTTTGTAAATTGAGACTAATCATCGATCCCTTTCACTCCTAACTCCTCCTGCATATTGTTTCTAGACTAAGTTTAGCTTTTCAAATGCTTCAAGTCTCAACATGTTTTGCTCAAATAGACCCGTTTCTAAGCTGCTTTGTCTTTTCCTTTTTCCTCCTGCAGGTTTCTTGATTTGGACCAAACTTGGAACATAAGAGCACACTTTTGGTCGACAATCTATGTCTACTCCAATATCCAATTTTCTTACGTATCCAGCCTCTCCAATGATGATAAATGTTTTACGACTGAACTCTTCGTCAAAACCCATGGCGATTATCTTCTCCTCGTCAATGAAGAAACCTTCCCATATAAGTGGAACCTCTATCCTAGGTCCGGTATCCATCATCAAGAACTTGCCCCACGACACCATTTCGGCATTAATCTTAGTTGTAATCCATATCTCAAGCTCATACGGATTTGATTCGTTGTGCTGAAATAAAGCTGCAAGCTTCTCTTCCCTAACACAAGATAAAGTCACATATTCATACTCATGATCCCTGACGCTAGTCGGCAGAGGTAAAAGCGGTCCAAATCTCTCGCTTGTAAAATCAAAACAGATTATGTGATCGACAATATCATCTTCTGAGTTCCTTTCCCCAGCACACCAGTAAGTGTTTCCTTTGAGAGTAATACCAAGGTTAGCAAACATTATACACCAGTTTGGAGTGACATCAAGAGTTGTCCATGAATCAGAGTCAAAATCATAGATTTCATACCAAAAAAATTTATTTTCGGGTGCAAAGCAGAAAAAATCTATGAACCTCAAGAATTTAAAGCTATTACAAGATTCCTTATCCTTGTATCCTAGAGCATAACTGAACCTGTCCCACCCCCTTGGACGATGAGAAAATCTTGGTTCGATCCACCTTGTTTCCCCGCAATACGGATTCCAAACCACAACCTTAGTATTGTCTTTGAAGATGCATAGCAATAAACCCTCACAGTGAAAGACTTGAGATACCTTGACTTGTTCTTCAAGGAAACTAGGTTTACGTTTAAACGCTATAGATGGATCAACGTCGTCAACTACGACCCTCATTGAATAAAGATCGAAATTCATCATCGCGACCATCATAGAATCCTCTTCTCTTGTTGCTGTTGCTGGTTTACCAATGTACAACTTCAGAAAGCTCCTACTATTGGATAGAGTGTTCCAAATTTTGCAAGTTAATCTCACTGCTCTCAAAGATTTCAAAGGAACCCTAATTAAAATCTCCTCTATCAAAACCGTTGGAAGATTAGAGATCATCGTCGTCATAGCTTCAAATTGCAACAATGGTTTTGTTTTTTCTTTCTCTGATTTCATGCGGCAAAGGTTTATGAGAGTATACCAACATCACACACGAATTGAAGATACACAAAAACCCTATATGAAGCTGGGCCAATCGTGGGCTTCAGAATCTAGTTAGGCTTTTAATAATGTTATGTTTTCTAATTTTATGCTGTCCAACTGAAATGGCAAGATCTTTATATACTGTCTCTGTTTTGAACCAAACGGAACAAAAATCTCAAGCAGAAATATGCAATGAAAGAGCTAAGAAGATTCACACCTGTGAAACTTTACAGTAAGCTTACATATTCGTTACTAAAACCCTAGCTAAATCATCTCAGCTTGAGAACATCGCATCTGTTCTCATCACCTTAAAATCTCAGAGAAGTTTATTAGAGTCGGTTGATTTAAACAGCTTACTCTGTTTTCTCATTTCTAAGTCCAATAAACTAAAACCTTTTATAAAAGAATCTTCTTCTTCTCTCTCATTTTTCTACCATCGTAATAATCTATATAGTAGCTTGAAAAGCCAGGTTACTTACATATTACAGTACTCAAGGTAACCAATCCGGATCATGAAAAGATTTGTGAAGCAACACAAGTGATTGAAATAGATTATGTTACAAACTTCTTGACGTACATGCTAAGAAATAGACTTCTTTGTTATATTGTTTTGTAACAGTAATAAATTAGGCTTTGAAAGTTGATTGTATAAGATAAAACGTCTCAGCAAAATCTTTTGACAAAAGCAAAAGAAAAAGGGCCTAATGTTTGGGGTTTTGTGAAACATCAAATGTCTGGTGGTAGACAGAAACAGGGATCAACACACACCCTTTCACAAATTTTAATACTTATATGTCTCAATTAGAAAATAGTAACAAATTCTAACTTTGTCTCCATTCCATCATATCAACTTGCATCAGTTGATTTCAAAAGTACCAACTAGACTATATAGAGCAAAGAACAAAATGACAATTCTAATGGTAAACATGCATTTTGCATTACCAACTCAACTTCATTAAAATCTCAGAGAAACAAAAAGGACCTGCTTTGAAGAAAATTAATCTGGACTAGCTTATTTCCTTGGAAAGCATCCGAAACAACTCGCAAGTTGACTAATCCAATATCTCTCTTATCCTTATCAATCTGTTTTTTAGAACAGAATTCTGAATTTCAATGGCTTCCGCTCCCAAAAACTCTTTTGCACCAGCATCGTTGCTGCTGGAATTGGAATCAAGAACACTTTGGAATCATCGTTAGAGCTATCTTTTTATACACGTCATCTTCCACGGCAAGCTTCAAGGCCTTCCATCTACTGCATCATCTCGTTTTCTCCTTTTGCACCTCCTCCTACCAATATCCATATTGCGTCTCCATTATCTTTTCAACTGCAGCAAGTCTCAACATGTTTTGATCAAATCGACGCTTTTCTAAACTGCTTTGTTCTATCCTTTTGCCTCGTGCAGGTTTTTTGATTTGGCTCAAACTTGGAACATAAGAGCACACATCAGGCCTACAATTTTTGTCTGCAGGTACTCCAGGATCCAATTTTCTTAGGTATCCAGCCTCTCCAATTATGTGAATAAATCTTCTGTAATGATCGTCAGAGTCATAGTGTGTACCACAACCCATGAAGACTTTCTTCTCTTCATCAATGAAGAAAGTATCTGGAAAACCTATCTTAGGTCCCGTATCCATTCTCAAGAACTTGCTCCACGACACCATTTCGACCTCAATCTTAGTTGTAATCCATATCTCAAACTCAGTATCATATTTATCATGGTGGTGAAATAAAGCTGCAATCTTCTCTTCTTTAAGAGAAGATAAAGACGCATATACATAATTACGATCCGTAAAGCTAGACGGCAGAGGCAGAAGCGGCCCAAATCTCTCTCTTGTAAAATCAAAACAAATTATGTGATTTTTTCGACCTTCTGAGCTTCTTTCTGTCGCAGACCAGTAAGTGTTTCCCTTGAGAGAAACGCTATGGCTTGAACAATATATACCCCAGTGTGGAATGACATCAAGAGTTGTCCATAACCCCGAGTCAAAATCGTAGATTTCATACCAAAAAAATTGCTTTTCGGGTGCTTTGTGAAAATAATCTAAGAACCTCAACAATTTAATGCCACGACGAGATTCTTTATCCTCGTATCCGAGAGCATAATTGAACCAGTCCCATCTGTGTGGACGGTGAGAAAATCTGAGGTTGATCCACCTTGTTTGCCCCAAATAGGGATTCCAAACCACAATCCTAGTAACGTCTTTCAAGATGCATAAAATTAAACCCTCATAGTGAAAGACTCGAGATATGCTAACTTGATTGTGAAGGAAACTAATAAGTTGACCTTTATGCTCTATAGATGGATCAACATCGTCGACGACGCCACTCATTAGATAAAGATTATGAGGCATCATCGCGATCATCATAGACTTCCCTTTTCTTGTTGATTTACCAATGTGCATCTTCGAAAAGCTCTCACTTTTGGATAAATCGTTCCAACTTTTGCAAGTTAATCTTACTGCTTTCATGAATTTCAAGGGAACCCTAGAAATAATCTCCTCTATCAAATCTCTTGGAAGATTGTAGATCATCGTCGTCATTGTTTCAAATCACGAGAAATGTTTTTTTTTTTTTTAATCTTTATTTCTTGCGGCTAAGGGAAAGAAACTAAAAGAATATAACCCTAAATAAAGTTGGGCCAATCGTGGGCTTGAGAATCTAATCAGGCTTTAGATGTCGTTTACTCTGGTTAGAAAGTTCATTAGAGTTGGCTAAGTTAAACGGCTTGTATGTATGCATACACCATGGCTATATATATGGTTTCAAGAGCATTTCCGAAACACAACACCTCTCAATTAATGTTCTGCTCCAACAGAGTTTCAGAAAATGCGAAAGAAAATTATTTACTACTCGAGAGCCTTTATTCTCAGAAGAATATGACTCAAATTAAAGAAGAAAATGTACTCAAGACTTGCCTTTTACATTCTGAACCGTCCCCTTCCTTCATGGTACATTTTCAACTGATGGTTGCATCAGGACTAGTATAATCAAGACTGAGTATAATGCCATACCTTCACGATGTATATTTCCTTTTCGACGTCTATACAGAATTTTTGGCTTGGTATAGCCTTAGACTTGATGTTTTGCATGAAAGAAGATGGGACAATACACTTTTTAATGTAATGGAGCTTAAACTTAACTATACAAGAGGATTTAACGACACTGTTAGTGCTCTGTTATCAAGCTAACTCTATCATTCATTTTCTTCGTTTCTTCTTCTTCAAGCTTCTTCATATAGTGTAATAATTTGAACCAATAAGAAACCATTTGGAAATATAATCTCCTGAATGTATAATAGCATTGCCTTCAGCAATGTTGCATGGAAACGGAAACGCGGAAGCGAAACGTTTCGGAAACGGGAAACGATTTTTTTCTAAAATTACGGATTGGAAACGTTTTGGAAACGTATATATATTAATATATATGTATAAATGATATATATGTATATATACATATATATAACATAACATTAACATAAAACTATATTAAAGAAAAAATGGTTTAAACAATACAAATCAAAACATCAAATATTAAATAGGTTAATAACTAAATTACTAAAAGATAAAGATTAAAAGGTTCAAAGTCAAATATTTAATTTAGACAAACATTTTGTTTTTTTTCATCAATTTCATCAAAAATCATATAAAGATACCTCCAAATCTGGTTTATCTAGAGAAATATCTTAAAATTCAGAGTCTTCCAAAATTAGTTATAAGTATTATAAATCTTAATATATCCAATTTTTATTTATTAAGTTTCCAAAAGTCAATAAATAGGAATTGTCGCGTTTCTATTTTTAAAACGCGAGTTTCCATCGTGTTTCCAAACATATATTTTTAGGAAACGCGTTTCCGTGACGTTTTTCGTGTTTTCGAAGAGTTTCCGTTTCCGAAACGTTTCGGAAACGGGAAACAGACTTCGGAGAGAGTTTCCATGCAACATAGGCCTTCAGCACTGCTACTCTTGAAGTCAAGGTTTCTCTTGAATGTTGTAATAAGAGAATCTGGAACAGGGGAAGGTCTAATCGGATCCTTCAAATGTAAGTTAATAGAAGGGAAATTATTAATTTGTTTGGCAGATTTTTTAGGAAGTGATCAAACTACATGTTCAAGGCAAAAGAGAAATCTTACAAATATATTTATTTGAGGTTTTGTTACCCATTGGAATCACAAATATTGTTCTGCTTGTTTCACATCGATTGCAACTTCATTATAATGATTAATGAACCTTAAGCATGTTTGAGTCATGTAAACACCAAGTTCATATTCATGAAATTACTGGTAACAAAAAACAGAGTTGTTTTTTTTTTTTTTTTTTTTTGACTCTCACACAAGTTCAATCCTTCACAACCCAAAAAAAAAAAAAATTATTGTACCAAAACACAGTAAAAGAGAAACCAAACAGCACCAGCAACATCATATGGTTCTTTATCACGTAAAATAGGCATCACAATGCAAGAATTCCCATAAGGTTCCAAGAGCATCTCAGAGCGTTTCCAAAACTCGACCCTTCTCAATGTTCTGCTCCTGCAGATCCCAAGTGTAATACCATAAGCCTTACTTCCAATAAAGTATCTAAGATACAAGAACACAGAAAATTACATGTAACTTAGCAACTAATCTCAAATTTTGCGCCTAATCATCCTGTTTTCTCCTTTTCCGCCTCCTCCTATCGATATCTATATTGCTTCTTCATTAGCTTTTCAATTGCAGCAAGTCTCAACATGTTTTGATCAAATCGATGCTTTTCTAAACTACTTTGTTCTATCCTTTTGCCTCGTGCAAGTTTCTTGATCTGGACCAAACTTGGAACATAAGAGCACACACGTGGCCAACGGTTTTGGTTAGGTAATCCGGGATCCAATTTTTTGAAGAGTCCAGCCTCTCCAATGAAGTAAATAAATGTTTTGGGATATTCATAGTCATAGTCCCAATTACCTTCATAGTCTCTACCAACATCCATGAAGACTTTCTTCTCTTCATCAATGAAGAAAGTATCTGGAAAAAATATCTTAGGCGCCGTATCCATTCTCAAGAACTTGCTCCACGACACCATTTCGGCCTCAATCGTAGTCGTAATCCATATTTCAAACTCAGAATCAAATGATGCGTAGTGCTGAAATAAAGCTGCAATCTTCTCTTCTTTAACACAAGATAAAGTCACAATACCATAGTCATGATCAGTAACGTTAACCGGCAGAGGTAGAAGCGGCCCAAATCTCTCTTTTGTAAAATCAAAACAGATTATGTGATCGCGGAGACCATTTTCAGGGGTCCTTTCTCTAGCACACCAATAGGTATTTCCCTTAAGAGAAACGCTATCGCTTGAACAATATATAAACCAGTGTGGAGTGACATCAAGAGTACTCCATGAACCAGAATCAAAATCGTAGATTTCATACCAAAAAAATTTCGTTTCGGGTGCTTTGTAGAAATAATCTATAAACCTCAAGAATTTAAAACTACGACAAGATTCTTTATGCTCGTAACCGAGAGCATAACTGAACATGTCAAATCTTTGTTGACAGTGAGAAAATCTGAGTTTGATCCACCTTGTTTGGCCTAAATACGGATTCAAAACCACAATCCTAGTAACGTCTTTCAAGATGCATAAAATTAAACCCTCATAGTGAAAGACTCGAGATATGCTAACTTGATTGTGAAGGAAACTAAGTTGACCTTTATGCTCTATAGATGGATCAACGTCGACGACGCAGCTCATTAGATAAAGATTGTGAGGCATCATCGCGATCATCATAGACTGTCCTTCTCTTGTTGATTTACCAATGTACATCTCACTTTTGGATAAATTGTTCCAACTTTTGCAAGTTAATCTCACTGCTTTCATAGATTTCCAGGAAAGCCTCGAAAGAATTTCCTCGATCAAATCCTTTGGAAGATTGGAGATCATTGTCGTCATTGTTTCTACCTTCAAAACCCTTTTTTTTTTTTTTCCTATTCTTCTGATTTCTTGCGGCGAAGGGAAAGTGTATACACGTAACAATTGAAGATACAAAAAAAACCTAAATGAAGTTGGGCCACTAGTGGGCTTTTGAATCTAGTTGGGCTTTCAATGATGTTATGTATGTACCGACAAGATCCTGAAGCTTATCTGTCTTCTTCTAATTTTACATTGTTGAAATTGAAATGGCAAGATCTTCATCGTGGCACCGAATGTCAAATTTCTTGAGAAAGTATCGAAAAATATAAAAAACTTTGCAAGGATTTGAGAAGTGAAAACTTACAAATGTATTTATTTCAGATTTTGTAACAACAGATTCTCTGGAACAAACATACAATTCTGTTTTTTTGTTTTTTTTGTCACAAAACATTATTCTGCCAAAACACAGCACAAGGTAAGAAAGAAAACCTCATAACAACAGCAAGATCATATTATTACGGATTACGTAAGATATGCATCGCAATGCAAGAAGTCCCATATGGTTCCAAGAGCATCTCGAAGCATTTCCACAACACAAGCCCTCTCCATGTTCTGTTCCTGCAGACCAAAAAAGTGTAATCACTATAAGCCTCACTTCCATTAAAGTTTCTAAGATAGTACAAGAGCACAATAATTTACCTGTAACTTAGTGTCGATGTCTTTAAGCGTCAGACTCACCTCCCTCTTGATTTCCCCTGTTCCAATCCTCTCATTGAATCTATCAGTCTCTCTAACCCTAAGCCTTAGAGTTTTGTTTTTGTAGATAGTAGCTCTAACGTGACAAACTTCAAATTCTCTGTATCCATCTTCAGATAAAGCTTTACCAAACGGCCACCTTAAACCACCTTTTACATTTGGATCAACAGTCGCTGATTCCAATCGCTCTTTAATGTCACCTATCTCTTTCTCCTGCCCATCAAAGAAAGATCAACCAACCTAAGTCCAAGAAGAGCATAACTACTTATCCATAAGATATCTATATCAAAATTCTAACTCACGCTGAGATACGTTATTTTCCTCTTAGCGGCTAGCATCAGTCTCATGTCGAGATTCTTATCAATGCATGACACATCAACAACTAAATGCCTTACAGGATTAAGCTCGGTCTGTTGCAAAAGCAAAAATGTTCTAAGAAATATATTTTTCACATAGACAAAAAGAACTTGATACTTGCCTTGTACAAACTGAGCCGTCCATCTTCCTTCATGGTACATTTACAGTTGATGGTTGCATTGGGACGAGAAGAATGTGATACCTGAGAGTAGAAGCCAGACAAAAATAAGCACAGTCAAATGACATTCGAAGTATAGATATTCTAAGAAAACGAAACAAATACCTTCACAGTGTATGTTTCCTTTTCCAAGTCAATAGAGAATCCATGGCTTGGTACAACCTTAAATGTGATGTGTTGTAAGTAAGAAGTTGGAACATCCGTAGAGAACATCTTCTTCGAGTTATTCCGCGAACATTCAGCCTCGGTGCGAGCTTGACGCCTGGTTTTATGTTAGAAAAAAATAAAAACAAAGAGTTTTTGTAGGCATACAAAATGTAAGATGAGACGCTGAATCGCTTACCCATAGAAGATAATTTTACCAAACCTAGCAACCAATCTCAATACATGATGATGCTCCTCCATTTCTGTCTTAGCTCGCTCATATCCCAACACAAGATCCTTCTCGACCTTTTCTGCTACTAACTGCCACTGAGTTCTCTCTTCTTCTTTCTCTCCCATATCCATGTTCACTGAATATAAACATATTAAAAACCACATTAAAAAATACACAATGCATTTTCTTTTGGCTAGAGAGATCATAGCACTAACATTTAAAGGCACTATGTTTTGCAATAATATTCATTTTGTCAAACATATAACCAAATTCCAGATGATGCGTTAAGACACAAAAAATTCTGCTTAAAGCTTGCACCTATTTTATAGGAAAGAATGATTATAGAACTACCAAACACAGTCTCTTACCCTTTTGGACATTATTGTTCATCAATATCAAAGGGTTTTCGACAGAATCCAAAGACACAGGCACAAACTCAACATACGAAGGAACCTCATCCTCGATTCCATTTGAACCAACAAGAAACCATTTGGAAATGGTATCTCCTGAATAGATAATATTGTTGCGTTTATCATTTTTACTCTTGAATTCGAGGTTTTTCTTGAATGTGGGAATAAGAGAATCTGGAACAGGGGCTGGTCTAGCCGGATTCAAATGTCTCTTATGTGGAGGAATATAAGACATGTCTTAACCTGAAACTCCCAGAAAAATAAAAATAAAAATGATTTCACGAAATGTTTTCAAAAGACCATTAAAAAAAAATAAAGTGTATAAGAAAGAGAGAAGGAGAATCATACCTTTCGTGAAATCAACGTCTTCTAAAGTTCTAGCAGAAAGATCTTAAAAGGAGAACTATCAACTCCAAAAGACCATGTCAAGCATGTCTATTTTTTTTTTTCTTAACGTTTGACTTGTTCTTATTGGATTCGAGATGTCTTCGTACCCTTTCGGTTATACAATTAAAAATTAAATTAGATTTGTTAAAACCAAATTGATTGATAAATATTTAAATACATATGAGCTTTATCATATAAAACAAAAGTTTTGTTCTTTGTTTGGATAAGTAACAAGTTCAATCCTTCACGACCCCAAAAAAACTTAATTTACAAAACACAACATAATGTAGCAACAGAATATGGTTCTTTATTACGTTAGTTTGGCATCAAAGCGCAAGAATTTCCATGTTTGCAAGAGCATTTCCGAAACAAAACCCGTTCACAATGTTCTGCTCATGCAGACCCACAAGGGTAATAATTGCTATAACCTATTAACCATAAGCCTCTTCAGGGTTTCAAAAAAAGCAAAAGCACAATAATTCATTGACTTGTTGATGTCTTGAAGTATCAAAGTCACACCCTTCTGGATTTCCCCTGTTCCAAACGTCTCATTGAATCTGTCAATCTCTTTGACCTTAAGCTTGAGACTCCGGTTAGAAGGAATGTGGTTTACTCTTGTTAAAAGGTTTGTTTGAGTCAGTTAAGTTAAACAGCTTTTGTTCTCTGTTTTCTTATTTCTAAGTTCATTATAAACTAAAACCTTTCATAATAATTAACAAACTTCTTCTTCTATCTCACTTCTCTCAATCATAATAATCATATATAGCACCATTAAAAACCAGGTTTCTTAACAATAACCAATCTGAAAAGCAGGAGTTTGAAAAGATTTGTGAAGCAACACAATAGATTGAAGTCACAAATTTCTTGACATACATGCAAAATATTAAGTACATGAGAAAATAAATAGAAGTTTTGTAACATAATATATAATAAGGCTTTGTATATTGAGGCTAATCATTTTTTGCCGCCTTCTAGACATATTGTTGTAGTAAAACAAAGCAGAAAGTAAAAGAGAAACCCAACCAGAACCAACAACATCATATGGTTCTTTATCACTTAAGATAGGCATCACAATGCAAGAATTCCAATATGGTTCCAAGAGCATCTCAAAGCGTTTCCAAAACTCGACCCCTCTTAGTGTTCTGCTCCTGCAGATCGATCACTAATGTAATCACCACAAGCCTCACTTCCAATAAAGTATCTAAGATACAAGAGCACAAAAATTTACTTTTAACTTAGCAACCAAGCTCAATTTTGCGTACGCGTCTAAATACACCCTTTTGCGCCTCGTATAGATTGCCTCCTGATCGTAGCTTTTCAATTGTGGCAAGTCTCGAACTGTTTTGATCAAATCGTTGCTTTTCTAAACTACTTTGTTCTATATTTTTGCCCACACGTGAAAGTTTCTTGATTGGGATCAAACTTGGAACATAAGAGCACACACGTCGCCAAGGTTTTTGGTCTGCATGTAATCCCAGATCCAATATTTTTAAGTATCCAGCCTCTCCAATGATGTTAATAAATGTTTTGGGATATCCAGAGTCATAGTCCCAATCACCTCTAACAGAGCCATTCTCTCTACCAACACCCATGAAGACTTTCTTCTCTTCATCAATGAAGAAAGTAATTGGAAAAACTATCTTAAGTCCCGTATCAAGAAAAAAACTTGTATTAAATCTCAAGAACTTGCTCCACGACACCATTTCGGCCTCAATCTTAGTTGTAATCCATATCTCAATCTCAGTATTATATGGTGCCCCGTGCCAAAATAAAGCTGCAATCTTCTCTTCTTTAACACAAGATAAAGTTACGATTTTATATTCATGATCCGTAATGCTAGACGGCAGAGGGAGAAGCGGCCCAAACCTCTCTTTTGTAAAATCAAAACATATTATATGATGCTCGTGACCGTTTAAGCTCCTTTCATAAGCGCACCAGTAAGTGTTTCCCTTAAGAGAAACGCTTTGGGTTGAACAAGATATACTCCAGTGTGGAGTAACATCAAGAGTTGTCCATAAACCTGAATCAAAATCGTAGATTTCATACCAAAAAAATTGATTATCGGGTGCTACATTGTAAAAATAATCTACAAACCTCAAGATTTTGACGCAACGACAAGATTCTTTAACCTCGTATCCGAGAGTATAATTGAACATGTCGCATCCTTTTGGAAAATGATAACAATGAGAAAATCTGAGGTTGACCCACCTTGTTTGCCCCAAATACGGATTCCAAACAATAATCCTAGTAACGTCTTTCAAGATGCATAAAATTAAACCCTCATAGTGGGAAATTCGAGATATACTGATTTGATTGTGAAGGAAACTAAGTTGACCTTTATGCTCTATAGATGGATCAACGTCGTCAACAACGCAGCTCATTAGATAAAGATTGTGAGGCATCATCGCGATCATCATAGACTGTCCTTCTCTTGTTGATTTACCAATGTACATCTCACTTTTGGATAAATTGTTCCAACTTTTGCAAGTTAATCTCACTGCTTTCATAGATTTCCAGGAAAGCCTAGAAAGAATATCCTCTATCAAATCCCTTGGAAGATCGGAGATCATTGTCGTCATTGTTTCAAATCAGAAGAACTATCTTGCGGCTAACGGAAAGGAAAAAGTATACACGACACATCGATTGAAGATACATATATAAACCCTAAATAAAGTTGGGCCGATATTGGGCTTGAGAATCTAGTCAGGCTTTAGATGTCGTCTAACCAAGTTACCTTTCTTGAATCAAAGACATTCCTGCATTCAGAAGAATCAGAGGACAAGGGAACAAGCTTAACAGAGAGGAACCAATAAGAAACCATTTGGAAATATTATCTCATGAATATATAAAAGCATTGCCTTAAGCACTGCTACTCTTCAAGACATGTTTTCTTTTTGACTTTTGTAAGAAGAGTTTCTGGAACAGGGGAAGATCTAGTCGCTTATATGGAGGAATATAAAGACATGTTTGAACCTGAACCTCTCAAAAAAAAAATATATATATATATATATATTATGCTTGAACTTGGAGCTCGGAGTGGAAATGCTTAGTAAGCAAGGAGAATTCAATTTAGTAGATTTTAAAGTGAGAAGAGAGAAGGTGAAACTTACCTTTCGTCCCACGCAACTACTGCAGAAAAGTAACAATGAACTCCAAGAGACTCTTTAGTTATATTGTGTTTGGTTTCTTCTAAACAATAAAATGAATGCCCTCGCAGTCGCATGCATATATATTCAAATAATTATTTTTTCTGCAATTGTGGTTAAAACAGACCATCCATAAGGTTTTACTTATGACTAACTTGGTATATCTATGCTCAAGCGTCACATAGGGTGCGAGGCATGATAGCGTGTCAGTCTATCAATTGGTCTCAATTGTGAAAAACGATAAATAGATGTAATATTCGACAAAATAAAGGAGTAAAACTGTACAAACATGAGTAGAAACTTTGTAAAAGTAGCAAAGACCCTCCCAAAAACGTTTGATATGCAAAGCCCTCTATAAAGAGTATCAAAATGTCCAAAATTCTTTATCTCAGATTTACAAGACCATAAGATCTTCTCTTAGCTCGCATCCAAAAAAAAACACATTGTCGTACAAAAACACAGTAGAGAGTAAAAGAGAAACCCAACAGCACCAACAACATGGTTCTTTATCACGTACGTAAGATAGGCATCACAATGCAAGCATTCCCATATGATTCCAAGAGCACCTCAAAGCGTTTCCAAAACTCGACTCTCTCAGTGTTCTGCTCCTGCGGATCACAAGTATAATCACCATAAGCCTCACTTCCAATAAAGTATCTAAGATACAAGAACGCTTAAGATACCTGTAACTTAGCAACCAATCTAAATTTTGCCCCTAATCATCCCGTATTCTCCTTTCGCGCCTCCTCCTACAAAATCTATATTGATTATTCTTTATCTTTTCATCAACTGCAGCAAGTCTCAACCTGTTCTGATCAAATCGATGCTTTTCTAAACTGCGTTGTTTTATCCTTTTGCCTCGTGCAAGTTTCTTGATCTGGACCAAACTTGGAACATAAGAGCACACATCTAGCCAATGTTTTTGGTATGCAGGTACTCCGAGATCCAATTTCTTTAAGTATCCAGCCTCTCCAATGATGTTAATAATTTTTTTGGGATAGTCGTCATAGTCGGAGTTATAGTCTGTACAAAAACCCATGAAGACTTTCTTCTCCTCGTCAATCAAGAAACTACCTGGAACATTTACCTTAGGTTCCGTATCCATTCTCAAGAACTTGCTCCACGACACCATTTCGGCCTCAATCTTAGTCGTAATCCATATCTCAAGATAAAGTTCGTATGATTCAGGGCGCTGGAATAAAGCTGCAAGCTTCTCTTCTTTAACACAAGATAAAGTCACATATGGATTATATTTACGATCCCTAACGCTAGACGGCAGAGGTAGAAGCGGCCCAAACCTCTCTTTTGTAAAATCAAAACATATTATATGATCCATACAACCTTCTGAGCTCCTTTTACTAGCACACCAGTAAGTGTTACCCTTAAGAGAAACGCTACTGCTTGAACAATATATACGCCAATTTGGAGTGACATCAAGGGTTTTCCATAAACCAGAATCAAAATCGTAGATTTCATACCAAAAAAATTGTGTTTCGGGTGCATGGAAGAAATAATCTAAAAACCTCAACAGTTTAACGCTACGACAAGATTCCTTATCCTCGTATCCGAGAGCATAACTGTACCTGTTGAATCCGTCTATGAGGTGAGAATATCTGAGGTTGATCCACCTTGTTTGCCCCAAATATGGATTCCAAACCATAACCCTATTAACGTCTTTCAATTTGCATAAAATTAAACCCTCATAGTGGTAAATTCTAGATACACTGACTTTGTAAAGGAAACTAAGTTGACCTTTACGCTTTATAGATGGATCAACATCAACGACGCCGCTCATTAAACAAAAACTGTCAGGCCTCATCGCGAAGATCATCATAGTCTCCCCTTCTCTTGTTGGTGTTGTTACTTTACTTTTGGATAAATTGTTCCAACTTTTGCAGGTTAACCTCACTGCTTTCATAGATTTCAAGTTAACCCTAGAAAGAATATCCTCTATCAAATCCCTTGGAAGATCGTAGATCATCGTCGTCATTGTTTAACCCTCAAAACTTTTTTTTTTTTTTTTCTATTCTTCTGATTTCTTGCGGTGAAGGGAAAGTGTATACACATTACAATTTATTTAAAGATCAAAAAACCCTAAATGAAGCTGGGCCAATAGTGGGCTTTTGAATCTAGTTGGGCTTTTAATGATGTTATATACGGACAAGATCCTGAAGCTAATCTATATGACATGTCTTCCAGTTTTACAGTCTCCGTCGAATTGATGAAATGGCAAGATCTTCATCATGGCACCGAATGTCAAATTTCATGAGAAAATATCGAAAAATTCCTCAGTCATCTTTCAAAACCAAATGGAACGAGAATCTCAAGCAAAAATACGCCATGGAAGAGCTAAGAAGCAATCTTCTCGCAGATTCAGAGAATGTTTCTATTATGCGAACCCTCGTAAGCTCTTTCCAACTCCATAACTGTGAGCCCACTCCTCAAGCTTACAGATTTGTTATCAAAACCCTAGCTAAAACCTCTCAGCTTGAGAACATCGCATCTGTTCTTGACCACCTTGAAGTCTCTGAGAAGTTCGACACACCTGAATCCATTTTCAGAGATGTCATCGCTGCTTATGGCTTCTCCGGTAGAATTGAAGAGGCTATTGATGTTTTCTTCAAAATCCCTAATTTCAGGTGCGTGCCTTCTGCTTACACGCTCAATGCTCTGCTCTTAGTTCTTGTGAGAAAAAGAGAGAGTCTTGAATTGGTACCTGAGATTTTAGTGAGAGCTAGTAGAATGGGTGTTAGGTTAGAGGAATCTACTTTCGGGATATTGATCAATGCTCTTTGTAGAATCGGTGAGGTTGATTGTGCTACTGAGTTAGTGAAATACATGAGTCAGGATAGTGTTATTGTTGATCCACGTTTATACTATCGGTTGCTGAGTTCTGTATGTAAACACAAGGATTCTTCATGTTTCGATGTCATTGGATATTTGGAAGATCTGCGAAAGAATCGGTTTTCGCCAGGTTTGCGGGATTATACAGTCGTAATGAGGTTCTTGGTGGAAGGAGGAAGGGGTAAAGAAGTTGTAAGTGTACTGAATCAGATGAAATGTGACAGAATAGATCCCGATGTTGTTTGTTATACTATTGTGTTGCAAGGCGTTATTGCGGATGAGGATTACCCGAAAGCAGACAAGTTGTTTGATGAGTTACTCTTGTTAGGTTTGGATCCTGATGTTTATACCTATAATGTGTATATCAATGGGTTATGCAAGCAGAACGATATCGAAGGTGCTATAAAGATGATGTCTTCAATGAACAAGCTAGGTTCTGAGCCTAATGTAGTTACATACAATATAGTGATAAAGGGATTGGTTAAAGCTGGAGATCTGAGTCGAGCTAAGACTCTATGGAAAGAGATGGAGATAAATGGAGTTAACCGGAACAGCCACACATATGATATTATGATTAGTGCATATATAGAGGTAGATGAGGTTGTTTGTGCTCAAGGTTTATTGGAAGAAGCATTTAACATGAAATTGTTTGTTATGAGTTCAAAAATTGAGGAAGTCATTAGCAGGTTATGTGAGAAAGGTTTGATGGATAAAGCAGTCGAACTTTTAGCACACCTGGTTTAAGCAATGTGGAGCAACTCTAAAAGTTGTAAAATTGATGTGTTTGGTCTTATTGATGATAGTTAGAACTACATATCCAAAGCAGAAGAGAAATCTTACCAATGTATTTATATCAAGTATTTAAACTACCTTTGTTCTGTTTGTTCAACATTAATTGCATCAGTTGTTCCACTGCTATCTCTCAAACTTACCTTTAACCTTAATGTATACTGTACAAAGTTGTCGCATCCATCAAACTTGACTGTGATAATTGGAAATCTTTCAGTGTAATTGTACTGCTTAGATTACGATTTAACCTTTTAAATAAAAGGAAATTTCAGTATGCAATGAGTCCATAATACACCAAGTTCACATACATGAAATGACTGGTAACAAAAACTCAACTTCGGTTTGTTTTGTCACACATAAGTTCATTCCTTCACAACCTTAAACATCATTCCTTCACAACCTTAAACATTATTGTACCAAAACACAGCAGAAAGAAAAAAAGAAACCCGATAGAACGAGCAAACATCATATTGTTCTCCATCACATAAGATAGGCATCGCAATGCAAGAAGTCCCATATAGTTCCAAGAGTATCTCGTAGCATCTCCAAAACATCACCCCTCTCAGTGTTCTGCTCCTGCAGACCGCAAGTGTAATCACAATAAGCCTCGCACTTCCAATAGAGTTTGTAAAACACAAGAGCACAATAACTTACCTGTAACTTAGAGTTTAGGTCTTTAAGTATCAGAGTCACCTCCCTCTTGATTTCCCCTGTTCCAATTCTCTCATTGAATCTATCAGTCTCTCTTACCCTAAGCCTTAGAGTTTGATTTTTGTAGATAGTAGCTCTAACGTGACAAGCTTCAAATACTCTGTATCCATCTTCAGATGAAGCTTTACCTAATGGCCACTTTAAACCGCCTTTTACATTTGGATCAACAGTTGCTGAATCCAATAGCGCTTTAATGTTGCTCATCTCTTTATTCTGCTCATCATAGAAAGATCACCCAACCTAAGTCCAAGAGAGAAATATTCTATCCAGAAAAATGTGCATATGCTATGCATAGATCAAGTTCAACTCACAGTGAGAGACGTCATTTTCCTTTTGGCAGCGAGCATCAGTCTCATGTCAAGATTCTTATCGATGCATGACACATCAACAACCATATGCCTTACAGGATTAAGCTCAGCCTACAAAAAAAAAACTCAAGCTTCAATATAAGATGTTAAAAGAAAAACCAAGTAAAAATGTGGCATGTAACAACAAGTTAATATCAATGATGAGATGAATCATAGGTTCTCAGAAGTCGGAACAATATTTGATTCTTGTGTCGGTTTGTTGTTATTGCTATAAAGAAGAGATTTCATATTACTATTGGTTCTAGTCACTTCAAACATAAAATTCGAGACTTGCCTTGTACATACTGAGCCGTCCATCTTCCTTAAGGGTACATTTACAGTTGATGGTTGCATGGGGACGAGTATAATGCGATACCTATAAAAGCCAGACACAAATAAGCATATTCAAAATGACATCTGAAGGATACGTCTACGAAAACGAAACAAGTACCTTCACAGTGTATGTTTCCTTTTCCACATCAATAGAGAATCCATGGCTTGGTACAACCTTAGATTTGATGTATTGTAAGCAAGACACTGGGACATCCGTAGAGAACATCTTATTCAAGTTTTTTAGTGAACATTCAGCCACAGGACCAGCTTGACTCCTGGTTTTAAGTTGTAAATGTTAGAAAAAAGAAAATAGTGCATGAAAACAACAAAATGTACGATCAGACGCTGAATCGCTTACCCATAGAATAAAATTTTACCAGACCGAGCAACCAATCTCAATACATGATGACGCTCCTCCATTTCAGTCTTAGCTCGCTCATATGCCAACACAAGATCCTCCATAACCTTGTCAGCTACTAATTGCCACTGAGTTCTCTCATCTTTGCCCTCTCCAATATTCATATTCACTAAATATAACAAACATATAAGAAACCACACTAAAAAAAAACACACAATGAATCTTCTTTTCGCAAAAACGATCATAGCACTAACAAAATAGTTAATAGTATTGTTTATTTCAGCATCTAGATGATGTTCATTTTGTCAAAACACATAGCCAAAGTCTATTAATAGTTTCTCACCATTTTGGACATTGTTGTTCATCAGTATTGAAGGCTTTGCTCCTTTTCTGCACTCGACAGAATCAGAGGACAAGGGCACAAACTTAACATACGAAGGAACATCATCCTCAATTCCGTTTGAACCAACAAGAAACCATTTGGAAATGGAATCTCCTGAATAGATAATCTTGTTGTGTTTATCACTGCTACTATTAAAGTCGAGGTTTTTCTTGAATTTTGTAACAAGAGAATCTGGAACAGGGGAAGGTTTGGCCGGATCCTTCGAATGTCGCTTATGTGGTGGAATATAAGACATGTCTCTAAACCTGAAACTTACAACAACAACCAAAAACGATTTCAAGTAGAAAAAGGAAAAAAAAAAACTTAAACTTGGACCTCAAAGAGGAATTGCTTAACTACGAGCTAAGAAGAATATAAAGACAGAAGCTTTAAGGTGAGAAGAGAGAAGTCGAATCATACCCTGTAGTCGAACTCAACGTCTTTAGATGTCCCTACAGAGAGAAGTAACAGTGAGACTCAAAGAGACTATTCGCTCCCTTTTTAATCTTTCAATTAACTCATCGGTCTTGGGTTTGGTTTCGATAGGGATCACAATTGGACAATGGACAAACTAAAGCCTGAAAAATCAGGTTTCCGAGGGTTCGGTCTTAAATGCAGGTTTATTGCAACAAGGTTTTGGCTTGATACGAATTTTCATAAAAATCATTTTTCATTAAAAGTAACAATTTTTAAGTATTTTAAGGCTATGGAAAAAAGAAAGAAATGTTTTTAGGCAATTTTCTTAAAAAGTCTTTTAGCGTTGGGTTTCTCAGACTCTCTCTCTCTTTGCCCCTACCTATATCCGCCGTCTTGAATACACAGAAAGTCCGTTTTAGTTTCCAGCTAGTGATGTCGTCACATATCTAATGTGGTCGGTCACTACTTCAATGAAGACAGAGAAGCTTTTCTAGTCTTTCTTCTTTTGTAAAGTTCTCTCCTTTGAATTTCAACAAAAGTATTAGCGAGCTGATCAGACAGAGAAGCTCAAACAATGCCGTTGACGAGGTATCAGTCTCGTAACGAGTATGGATTAGCAGATCCGGATCTATATCAAGCTGCTGATAAAGATGACCCTGAAGCTCTGCTTGAAGGAGTCGCCATGGCTGGTCTCGTTGGCATTTTGCGTCAACTTGGTGATCTCGCTGAGTAAGTTTGTCTCTCTAATCGAAATTTCTGTAGTTGACCTCAAATTCGGAGTTTTGGAATCCATTGTTCTTGACCCACGAATTTTAAAGCTACAATTTTGATGAATCTGGATTTAGCTGTGGAAGTGGAAAAAAAAGTTTTGATTTTTTGATGGAATTGACTTTAAATTTTCATGTAATTTGTGATGAAGGTTTGCTGCTGAGATGTTTCATGACTTGCACGAAGAAGTAATGGCTACTGCTTCTAGAAGTCATGGTTTAATGGCTCGTGTACAACAATTGGAAATAGAGTTCCCTTCTATAGAGAAGGCATTACTGTGTCAGACCGATCATTCGCCATTTTTCTCTAATAAAGGTTAGTTTAATTGGTGTTGCTATGAACATTCCATGGCCTGGTCAGTTAGTATGCTGTTGGATTTTTCCAAGATGGCTCTTATGATTCTATTTCAGGTGTGGAATGGCATCCGAATCTACAATTGGAACAGAGTGTGATTACAAGTGGTGACTTACCCCGGTGTGTAATGGATTCTTATGAGGAATGCCGAGGTCCTCCGAGGCTATTTCTTCTGGACAAGTATGATTTACCTTGTTTAATAGTATGTCTTCTCTAGTCGTTTGTGAGAGCTGAGGATATAACATATTTTGATTGTTTTGATTAGGTTTGATATTTCGGGAGCTGGGGCTTGTTTGAAACGCTACACCGATCCATCATTTGTTAGGCTTGAAACGTCTTCATATGAAGAATCATGGGATGATATTCAGAGAGAGAAGAAATCACAGAAAGCAAAGGTAGTGTAACCTTCTTGGGTTTAATATTGGTTTCTGTTACATGGTTGATTTGCTGAAAAGTAGTTTTTTTCTTTCTTATATGGTCTTGTCTAAGGGTACCACTAAACTTAGACAGTTCCAATGAGGATGTATATGCTCTTGTTGTTTCGAATGTGCAATCTTATCTTCCTCTTTGTACTTCTCATAGTTTTTCCTTTTAATATCTTGTAGAGGAGAGCATCTCAGTGGAGGAATGGAGGAACACCTGAAAATGCTCTATCATCACATGCCAAGTGAGTATTACCTATTTTATGTTTGTTATTTCTGTTATGATGTATATGTAGTTACCTAAGTTGCTATATTGGTATTTGACTGTGAGTGACAATGGCTGCTTCAAATTATTCAACTGGCACAGATTGCATGAATTGTTTTTGGAGGAGCATTTAGAGGCTCATCATTCAGATCCAGCGCGCGTTGTGAAGTTAAAAACTAGAAAGCTGGATGGGTGTTCCCTTATTTCAAAATCAGGGGAAAGCTACATGGAGAAATTTGTGCAGACACGTGTAGATAGTAAAATAAGTTATGAAATAATTACCCAAAACCCCGGACTGTTGACATGGAATATGGATAGTGCTAGAGATGTAGTAACCGATATACCTGAAATCAGTATGGTGGGTGCTATGGATAAGTCTCGCCGAGGAAGCAGAGCAGAGGTTTCATCTCCAAGGGAGCAGGAAAATGTGGCAAATATTAACTTAAATGGAGGTTTTATTGAAAAAGATATAGAGACAGTGCCTGAATCTACATACAATGAGGTCCCTGCTACAACTATTACAAAGGATTCACAAACTAATTTGAATGGGAAGCCAGGGTTTTTTCAACAGAGGAGTTATTCTGAAGATTTAACCAGTGAGGCTGACAATTATGTGGACGCACCAGCCACCATGGAGTCGGAAACAGAAACAGACGATGAGTGTAGACCTAAGAGTAGATCAGATCCTTTGAAGGATGGGAACCATCGTACATATTCTGATGCTGATGAAGAGAAGATGGAGGACCCACCTCAATTTTCATTTTTTCATTCAAATGGAAACACACCAGTTTCAGAAAATGGGCGAAGCTCATTTGGGAAACGCAGCACTAGTTACTCTTACTCGGACACTGCAAGCATATCCATTGATGATCAATCTGATGGAGAGAAACTTTCTGGATGTTTACCTTCTACTTCTAGTTTTAAGAGGGAGTTGGTGGATTCTACGTCTCACGTTACTCCTGAAGCCAAGAAAGTGTCTAATTTTAATGTTCAGGAATCAGTTAGTAGCAGCAATGTAGATGGCCAGACATCATTAAGTTTGAATGGAACGTGTTCAAGTCCAAGGCCAGTCTCTCAGAATGATCAATCATGTTCACTGACAGTTCAATGTTTAGAACCAGAAGTCGATGAAACTTCTCCAGAACTTGTTAGGTTTGATCTAATGAAGGGAGGCAATGATGGAAACAAGGTGGATCCATTCGATTCTTCAAAATCTTGTGCAGCTTTTGATGCTAAAAACTCTAACTTGCCTTCTGAAACTTCATCAATTAGTTCAACTTCTGAAGGAAGCAGATGCGATATTACCATTGAGAAGAACTGTATGGTTGCTTCAAATTTAGTAAACTCAGGCACTAGTCCTCAAGTGTTTGTTGATAGTCAAACAGAAGGTAAACAGTTACCTATTGCTGATAATGATATTGAGACGAACTCTACAGTTGCTTGTTCTGAAGTTTTAGCAAACTCAGGCAGCGATCCTGAAGGCGTTGATGGTAGTGGCCTAACAGGAAAGCCGTTACCTTGCTCAGCTGGGATGGGGATGGAAGTTTCACCTGATATGCCCTCTAAAGTCTGTGGTCCAAGTACAGTTGATGGAATTCACTTAAAAGATACTCTGGATGATGAAACCGATTGTGTTACAGTGACTAATGTAGTTGCTGGCGTTGATTCTAAAAATTATGTTGCCGACGTTGGTTCTCAAAGTTCAGTTGCTGACATTGATTCTCAAAGTTCAGTTGCTGAGATCTCCGATGAGCATTCATGTGCCTTTGGCAACACGGCTGATGTATCTGTTTCAGAGTCCCATGAAGACACACTAGAGAATGGAATGTCCATGCCTGATGAGGTTGATAGTAAGCTTACTTCTGATTTTAACTCAGGAGGAGAGAATTTGGTGGGAGATGCTTCACCCACTTGTAGCAAATGCGATGAACATATCTCTCATGAAGGTTTTCATGACCTTTCTGGGCTGGACAACGTAACCACATACATTGTCCCGAGCGTAGAGCTTGCTGTGTCTGATAATGACAATGACAGTGACACTTCCAGTGGTGGTGTTAACCATGCCGTTAGTCTGTCATCTACTAGTTTGAATGGTTCTCTGCCTTGGATTTCGACCAATACTTATCAATCGTCTTCTGATGCTGGAGAGATTTTCCATGATACAGTTGTAGAGTCTGACGGGACAATACCAGCAGACCATAATCCAGAGTCAGAGATAAAAATGCAGAAAAGCCCTCTGGAAGTGTCTTCAGAAGGTCTGAGTACTGCTCTAGACAACAAGGACGTAGAAAGTTGTGAATCTATAAGTCCCAAGCCATCTCTGGATCAAAGGTACAGAGACACAGAAACCAAATCTCCTGGTGAGAGCATTCTTGATGAAAATTGCATAGATTCCTCACCAGTGAATAATCTGAACGTTTTAGAGAGTGAGGCTATCGAGCACACAGTTAGAGAGCAAACACCTTGTGCAAGCAATGAAGTTGCAGATGAGGAATTGCTGCCGTCAAATGTTTTCAGGGGCTTAGAGTTTGTACCACAATCTGCATGCTTAGAATTTGCACCACAATCTGCAGGTATAGAATTGAACAGACCCGAGCAAGAGTTGAATCTGGATCCTACTTTTCCTAGCTTTGGTTTTATCCCTGAGACTACTCCACCCAATCCGGAGGACATGCCACCGCTGCCACCCCTTCCTCCTATGCAATGGCGTATTGGAAAGGTTCCACATTCTTTTCCTACCTTCATGGGGGAATCAGTCGAAACCAGTAGTTCTGCTTTATCAGCGGCACCACCCATTGGTTCTAGCTTGAATGTTCAAATTGGGTCTAAACCATCAGAGCTGTCTGTATCTTTAGGAAGTGACGAATCAGAACAACTTCCTGGACGGTTTGTGGACAATGCTTCAGAAAAGCCGTCGCAATCATCCATTGAGTTCCCAACCATTGGCACTGATTTGAATAGTCAATACGACAGTTCTGAGCTCCCTACAATGCCTAATCAGGAGTGCATAGAGGATTTTGGTTCTGAAGAAAACAATCATTTGGCTGACCAGGCAGCTCAGAACCATGAGCTCGTTTATTCACAAGAGTCGTCATTGCAGCTGCCTCAGGATCTACCGGTGAAATACGAAGATTTCAAGGACGATGCAGATGTGCATGAATCTCAAAGTTCAAGCGATGATAACCGTTTTCCTGAAACCAAAGCCCTGACGCTAACTCAATCAACAAAGGTAGAAGATAAGGGTCATTCGGTTCCTGATGCTTCAAATGCAGAAACAGCAGAATCATCAAACACGTCAGTTCAGAAGATAATTCCTGTTTCAGTGGGAGATGCTATGTGGCCTGTCAGCTGTTTCTCTGTGGCACCTACCTTGGACGCAAATAAGCCAGAAGTGGTCCCTACGGTTAGACTTCCTCGGCCAAGAAGTCCGCTTGTCGATGCCGTTGCAGCTCATGACAGACGCAAGGTAAAAATTTCATCTTGTCTGCAATACCATGCCTTTGCTAAAATTACATCTCTAATCACTTGTTCGGATGATTTGCCAGATGAAGAAAGTCTCTGAGATGGTCCAACCACCAATCAAATCAAAGCAAGATGACAAGGATTCGCTGCTTGCACAAATACGAAACAAGGTACCACATGTTGTTCTTACTCTTACACCCATCCTTTTCTATTTCCTTGTTTTTTGTGGTTGATCGTGGTAATTTGTATCTTTCGCCATATGCAATGCAGTAGGTCTGAGTTTGTTTCGACATTGATCATGTACAATCCCATATGCTGTTTCTAAATGTTGTTAACAGAATTTTGTATTTGGAATTTTATGAGCTGTGTTTTGTTTATGCAGTCCGTCAATCTGAAGCCTGCCGTAGCAACACGACCCAGCATCCAGACTGGTCCTAGAACAGACTTAAGGGTAGCTGCAATCTTAGAGAAAGCAAACACAATACGCATGGTCCGTTACTCTCTTTCCATCTCCTTTAAAGATAGTAAATGTTTTCAAGTTTTTTTTCTTCCTGTTTTTGTGGTTCTTGCTAATCGTAGAGGCTTTAGCATTTCGGTTTAACATGAAAATCTCAGGAGTTTAGTCTCACATTATATCTTAGTATGGATCCCAAAGCAGTTTCTTGATTGGAAACATCGAGTTATTAGTCTGATCATAGACCAAATGAAATATCACTTTTTCTCTATCGCACACACATCTAAACCGGCTGGACACTGGTGCAGGCAATGGTTGGAAGCGACGAGGACGAAGATTCAGATAGTTGGAGTGATTCTTGAAACCATGATCGTTGGCTTTTCCGTTGTGTGTTTGTTTCATGATGAGTGCACAAGCACTTGGAGTCAGGTAGGTTATACAATTTCTATTTCAGACATATAACATCAAATACACATACCGTCATCGCTTATTTATATTTGTATGTATGTATGTATATTGTATACTGTTTTATAGGTGTGTGTATGTTGTAAGTAGATTCCAGAATTTGCATTAGTTTTACGGAAACTTTATGTGGGATGCTTTTGGTTCTTATTCTTTTTTTCTCATAGAACATTCTTTTAGTGGGCTATGTATGTGTATTTGCATACATACATAGCTATGTATTGTGTTTTCTCAATCATTTTCAGTGTCCTCTGTCCCATAATCCTAATGAGAAGTGCTCAACTTCAAAGGTAATATTTGGTTACTAGAGGACTGAAATGATACGATTGTTTTCTTGCTTAGTACCAATGGTTGAGATCATCTTCACAAAAATCATTTTCATGAATAGCTGAGTTTCGATTTGAACTCAAATAGAGTAGTTGGATGGATCGAGCTACAAAGACTGAAACAAGACTCATGATTCTCTAACTTGAAAGATTTGATGGTGAAACTTGTCCTGAATTTAATAATCCAATGTTGTGTTGACTCGTATCTTCATCCAGAATGTATATTATAATCTCAGCAAGATCAGAAACTGGCTTCCTGATAACTGCAAAAAGAATAATAATTCAATCCAATGAAAAATTTGATAATCTTGCATGCTCTTCCTTAGTCTGTACCTTTCATCTGTCCACAATCACAACACATACATGAAGTTATAATCTTCAGTATTATCAAGTTGATTCGAAAATTTTCTCAACGTGGTCTAATAATAATATGTTGTTACACCTAGACTATATTCGAAACTAAGAATGCGTTTTCTCAAGAAACGGAAGAGATTCATCGATAAACGCTGTCTTATTTTTCGCATCTAGTCTAGTGAGCATAGCTACATTCTAGAAGTTGTAATTCACACCATCAAGAGTTTGAGATGATGGATAATACGTGGATAATCATGGTTGAGCAAGGAAAAGCAGAGAATGAGCATTGTCACGAGATTTGTTTGATGGAGAAATTTGTTGCTGGAACTCCGGGAACATGAGCAATATCAACTGTCCTCTTCGTAAGTGACAAGCTCCATTTGCGTTTCTCAGCTGAGGATTTTGAGTTTTCGATTGACTTTCTGAACATAAACTATCGGAGAAGAGATGACGAGAAACAAATGCATAAATTTTAAAACATAGAGAGTGATCCTTGGAAAAAATCCGAAGGAATCAAAGAAAACATGTGTGATTGAAAGAAGAAGAGGTGAAAGTTGAGCTTTCACTGCTCTGCTAACATTGTGACAAATTGAGAAATGAAGAAGTACTGGACGTTTTAGATTATAGAAATGAAAAACAGTGTGTTATTTAGGCACTTAATCAACTTCTGTTAAGTGATAACTAACTCACTAAAAACCTATCTAACTGATTAGTTAACGACTTCATCACTCATTCATCATACAATAAAAACGTTGTATAATATGTTAGTATTACGGTAAATACTATTACCGTTGTGTTCGTGAGCACAAAAGATAACGTTGTATTTAAAGATGTTAGTATTACCGTTGTGTCTTATGTTTGTATCAGTGTGAACATAAAACTTGTGTTTGTGTGTAATGTTTACGTTTAGTGTATGTGTTCGTGTTATGTGTTTATATTTGTATTAGTGTTAGCACTAAAATATGTGAGCTTAATGAGGTTTGGTTTCCTAAAGCAAAATCCACCTAGAAAGAATATTATGAAGATCATACCTTGTTTTAATAGACGGAAGAGAGACTTACCTGATCAAAAGAGGGAGAGATACAATCTCCAAGTCGGATCTTCTGCAATACTTTTATTTCCCTGTTAAGAATGAATTGCCAAAAGAGGTGGTTAGAACTTAGAACACAGTAAGGTGAAGTATCTCACTGATAACTTGATAAAGATTAGCAGAGATTGAAGTTTTCTCTATAGCAGAATATTGAATGTTATCATGCTGTCCCAGCCACAACAAACTTGCTTTAGAAGAAACAAGCCTTCTTTAAAGGAACACAATTTTCCCCATATGTGCAGAACATTGAATGTTATCATGCTGTCCCAGCCACAACAAACAGTCTTTAGAAGAGACAAGCCTTCTTTAAAGGAACACAATTTTCTCCTTATGAGCAGAACATTGAATGTTCTCATGCTGTCCCAGCCACAGCAAAGTATCTTTAGAAGAGACAAGCCTTCTTTAAAAGAACACAATTTTCTCCTTATGAGCAGAACATTGAATGTTCTCATGCTGTCCCAGCCACAGCTAAGTATCTTTAAAGGGACACAATCATCTCCATATGAGCAGAACATTGAATGTTATAATGCTGTCCCAGCCACATCAAACTGTCTTTAAAAGAGACAAGCCTTCTTTAAAGGAACACAATTGTTTCCATATGAGCAGAACAATGAATGTTCTCATGCTGTCCCAGCCACAGCAAAGTATCGTTAAAGGGACACAATTATCTCCATATGAGCAGAACATTGAATGTTGTAATGCTGTCCCAGCCACAGCAGAGTATCTTTAAAAGGACAAGCCTTCTTCAAAGAGACACAATTATCTCCATATGAGCAGACCATTGAATGTTAACATGCTTTCCCAGCTCCGGTAAACTATCTTTAATCGGACAATCGAGCTTTCCCATCTTAGAAAGCCAGCCTTATCAAAGGACTTCTATTCTCCATTAATTTGCAGAATATTGAATAGTATGGTTTAAGCAGAGAACATTGATCATATGTTGCCCCAGCCACAACAAACTATCTTTAAATATAAGTCCTATTAAAGAACCTTTATGCTCCATCAATTTGCAGAGTATTGAATATCATATCTCAGTGAGATTTATAGTTTAAGCAGAGATTGAAGTATTCTCTATAGCAGAATATTGAATGTTAACCATGTTGTCCCAGCTACAACAATATATCTTTAATCGGATAATTGCCTTATTAAAGGACTTTTATTCTCCATCAGTTTGCAGAACATTGAACTGTATCGTTTAAGCAGAGAATTGAAATTCTCGGAACATCATTGTTCAAGCCTTAATAAAGACTGACTTTAGCAGAATTTTGAATTTTATATCAAGCTGTCCCAGCACAGCAAGACATAGATTGACAAGCATATGTAATTATGAGCAGAACACTGAATGTTATTATGCTGCCCCAGCCACAGCAAACTATCTTTTAATAGACAATCGAGATTCTAACCTCGGAACACCATCAAACATAAGTCCTATTAAAGAACATTTATCAATTTGCAGAGTATTGCATATCTCTGTGAGATGTATAGTTTAAGCAGAGATTGAAGTTCTATACAGCAGAATGGTGAATGTTAATGCTGTCCCAGCTCCAGCAACATATCTTTAATCGGACAATTGCCTTATCAAAGGACTTTTATTCTCCATCAAGTTGCAGAACATTGAACTGTATCGTTTAAGCAGAGAACAGAATTTTGTCGGGACATCATTGTCCAAGCCTTAACAAAGGCTGATCTTAGCAGAATTTGAAGTTTATATCAAGCTGTCCCAGTACAGCAAGACATAGATTGACAAGCATATGATCTTAGGTTCTGTTAGGCAACATCGGACTATGCAGTCCCAGCAATATATCTTTAACCGGACAATTGCCTTATTCAGTTTGCAGAATATTGAATTGTATCGTTTAAGTAGAGAATTTAAATTCTCAGGACATCATTGTCCAAGCCTTAATAAAGGCTGCAGAAATTTGAAGTTTATATCAAGCTGTCCCAGTACAGCAAGACAATAGAACTATAGAGATTGATTTCTCCATATCTTTTACTTACGGACATAGATCGACAAGCATATGATATTAGGCAACATCGGACTATACGGGACAATTTCCCCAAGTTAGAAACCGGACAGACACAATCAACTAATGTGTTGTCCCTTTCTTTTGGGTTTGAAGAAAACAAAAATCTTTAAACAGACTAAAAACAATTTGTAAAACAAGTTTTGAATTTAAGAAAAAGCCCTTCGAAAAGGAAGAAAACACGAATTAAAAAGAGGGCTTTTGATTTGCAGAACCAAAAAAAAAAAATCAGAAACCCTAATCTAAAACAATAAACGTAAAATCAAGAGAAACAAAAAGTTTTGAAATTGAAAACCCTAAAAAGAGGGATTTTGAATTTGCTTGATGAAAAAACAAATCTAAGTTTTGATTTTAAAAAAGAGAAGTTCGAAATCTAAGAAAAACACAATCACGAAACTACTAAAACCTAAACTAAAGAAAAATTACAAATTATGCATAAACAAAACCAGATTAAAAAGAATGATTTGGTTATGCATAATCAAAAACTCTGAATAAATCACGAAACTTTTCAGAGATGATATTCAAAGAACAAAACAAAGGAAAACGAGAGCGAGAGAAAACAATTGCTATTGTGAGAATTGTGATGGCCTTATATAGACACAGCTCTTATTGAGTAACCGTTATGAAATAGAAAGGAGTCGGTCTTAGTTATGATGGGCTTAAGAGCTAGGCCCATAAGATTTTCCTTTTTATTCTCTTCTTTTCCATTTTGTTGACATTTTTTATTAATATTTTAATATTATTTTTCACCATAATTATTATAATTTCTTAAAGCGATCATCGGCGCAAAAAAAATCAAAATAAGAGATTGATTTTACATTTTATTTATTTTATGTTTTATAAATTAAAATGGGAAAATCGATTCCCGTCAAAACAGGGCTAAGAGGAGCTACCGCAGCAGTAGCTGGATTCATCAAATCCTCAAAACCGATCCGACCCATTTCCTCCATGGACAGTCCCGACAAAGATTCATCAGCCACTACCACCACCAGCGAAACTAGCCGTCGCTTTGTTCCGCTTTCCTCCGTGGTTTCTGATTGTGCGAAGCGATGGTTCAAAGACACTCTTGAGGAAGCTAAAGCTGGGAACATCACTATGCAGGTTTTGTTAGGTCAGATGTATTACTCTGGTTATGGAGTCCCTAAGGATGCTAAAAAGGTTTCTTCTTTATCCCTGCCTTTCAATCTCTTTTTTCCAAGTTTTAGGGTTTTCACTACTTTGGTTGATTTGAAAATTCTCTAATTCGATTAGATTGATTTGCAAGTTTCTCCTTTTTGAAAGTTTTGAATTTGATTCTTTGTTTTATTAATCATTAGGGGAGACTTTGGATTACGAAAGCATCAAGAGTTCGTTCTTCAGTATGGAAAGTGAAAGATAAACGACCAGGTCTTTGTTTTATTACAAGTTAAATTAGTTTACCAACAAATTTGGTCCTTTTTGCTTTTGGATATGAAAACTTTGTTTTTTTTTTTGTTTTTCTGATTTCTCAGGTTACAACGCAAGTGATTCAGATTCAGAGTCTGATTAGCATGTCCTGATAGAAAGAAAGAGCTTGTTTTTTGTTCTGTTTTGTCTCAATCTTGGATGTTCCAAGTTCCAACAATGAACAATATCTTGTCTGGTTATATCTTCTGATGCTTGTTAATCATTTTGTATCTCTAATACTCGAATTTGTCTTCTTTTTTTGTTAAAAATTTGGTGAAGGCCTTTGCTCATATTGTATGATTCTTTCTAGCAATGAAAAGGAGTTAAAGGTTATTGTTTTGTCACTTTTTCTTTTTTCCAAAGTAAACAATATCAGAAGGGTTATTCAAGTTGTAAGGGTAAAAGAAGTTCATAAGAAGAAGATCCATTTATACCATAAGCTTAAATCCATTTTAGTTTCAATAAGTAAATTTGTATAACAACGAATTTATAGTTTCTCCGATGACTTAGACAAGGCGTTGGAGCTGCAGCAGGCCTTAGGCCCTGAGCCGTGGTTCCTGTGACTACTACATCAGATGTATAGATTGCTTGTCGCAAAATGTATTTTCATTGGATTCGGCTCAAACTCATGCCTCAAGACTGGTTTGTTTTCTTAAACCAATCTTAAAATCTAAAAACCATAAAATAATGTAATTGTATCATAGTCATTTTGCACATGAAACCATAAATATTCCCACAATTCTCCTTTCCTTAACACTAGTGCCTAGTGGGAATCTGTTATTTCCTCCACTAACAATTTTTCATCCCTTTTGAAATAGAGATATCACCAATATTAATAAGACCACCCTAGAAGATAAAGTATAATTCCGAGTTTCTTCGACTCTGTTTCCATCATTCGATCAACAAAGCTCTTTGTGCGAGTGCGACGCAGAAATAAGGTTTTTGTTTCTCATTCATCCTTAGAATTATCGTTGTTGTTTTCTAGACTGATTATTGCTTTTATGGGAATCCAAATTTATCGCAATTCTCGAGAAAGGACTTTGTTGTCACACACTAACGCTCATGCAAATAATGACTCTAGAAATATCAACAGATGTCATGTTTCATTGGAATTCGATACATAATGAACACTGAATCGCTTGATCGATGTTATATCTGAGATTTCTCAGCAGAAAATGGAGAATGAGACAGAATTGAGGGTTGTTCATCAAGAAGAACAACAACAACGTGAAGAAGGAGAAGATGAAGCACAGCCACAAAACCCACCACCCTTACGACGTCGTTTCGTGATATATCTTTACGTTGGATATTTTCTTGCAAGATGGAGTGCCAGGTAGGTTTCTATCAATCTTTATCTCCAACCAAAAAAAAGGGCTTAATTTCACATTAAACTATAAGTATCTAACTCTGTTTTATACTGGTTTTCTTAACTGATTTGAATTCTTGGATCATGAGATCAGAGTTGGTTTATTATAAGCAAGAAAGAAGAAAACTTTCTTTTTAGTGTTTGATGATTTGAAAATGATGGATACTTTCATTTTAATAACTAAGCTTTTCAATATGAGTTTCTTGGTTGTTGTGATGCAGAACATGGGAATTCTCTGTTGCTTTGTATATGATCCACTTGTGGCCAAACTCTCTGCTTCTCGCTGCGATTTATGGTGCTATAGAATCTGGTTCTACTGCAATTTTTGGTCCCATTGTGGGGCAATGGGTCGAGGGAATGGACTACGTTAAAGTTCTCAGACTCTGGCTTATGTTCCAGAACCTCTCCTACACCATTGCTGGTGGTGCAGTCATCAAGTTGTTGCTAGTTTCCGATCTTAAGTCCCGGAATCTCGTGGTTTTTGCAATCTTGGTTGTGTTAACGAATGTTGCTGGCGCCATTGGAGTGCTTTCGACTCTTGCTGGCACCATTCTGATCGAAAGAGATTGGTAAATTTTAGACTGTATATTTGCACACTTGAATGCAGTTTTATAGTGTCTTTATTTTGGCTCTTTTGGCAACCAACAGGGCTGTGGTTATGTCAGAAGGTCATCCTCCAGCTGTATTGACAAGAATGAATTCTGTCATTAGAGGCATTGATTTGAGCTCCAAGCTACTCTCTCCAGTAATCACTGGTCTCATCATCAGTTTTGTATCTCTTAAGGCGTCAGCCATCACATTTGCAGCTTGGGCCACTATAACCGCTTGGGTTGAATATTGGCTCTTCATTTCTGTATATAGCGGTGTTCCTGCGATAGCACGAAGCAATGAGAGACGGATCTTGCGTTCCCGGACAAAGCAAGTGGAAGGAACAGATGCACCTGTTTCTGTTTCCATTGCTCCGAGAACTGAGGAGGGTTCTACTCGAAATCCACCTTGTAGAACCGGAATCCGGAAGATTCTTGATAGAGTATCCAAGTCCTCTTTTGTTGGCGCATGGAGAATATATTTCAATCAAGAAGTTGTACTCCCCGGGGTTTCTCTAGCTCTCTTGTTCTTCACCGTCCTCAGGTTCCTTTTCCCTTTATCTCTATGTTTAAGAGTCTTCAGATGAACATGCATTTCCTACTGATCAAGTGGATCATTGTTGTGGTTTTCGATGAATTATCGGATCAATATCTATTTACCACCTTGACACAGCTTTGGAACATTGATGACGGCTACATTGCAGTGGGAAGGGATACCTACATATATCATCGGTATAGGCAGGGGAATAAGTGCAACGGTTGGACTAGCGGCTACATTCGTGTATCCGCTAATGCAATCCCGTCTCTCAACGCTGAGAACCGGCCTCTGGTCCTTCTGGTCTCAGGTATATTAACTTGAAAACACATACCCTATGGACCGCGTTTTGATTCATCTCTTTGATTATAGCAAGTCTTCTTTCGATATTAAGTGTATCCTATATGTACTTGATCATGCTATGGAACTTGAGTAATCAATCCTATAGAAGAATACATTGTATATCAGACATGGAAAACAAAAAGAGTCACAAAAGTAGGGTTGTTGTTCATACAGTGGAGCTGCCTTTTGGTCTGCGTTGGATCGATTTGGGTTAAAAAGGATAAAATAGCATCTTACATGCTAATGGCTGGAGTTGCTGCTTCAAGGCTTGGCTTGTGGATGTTTGATCTTTCCGTCATCCAACAAATGCAGGTATGTTTACATTTCTTAAGCTTATATGGTTATGTAGTACATGTGTTCTTTAAAAGACTTATAAGAACCTTTGGTAATGTTTTGGTCATGTGTTATTAGGATCTTGTTTCAGAATCCGACCGTTGTGTGGTTGGAGGTGTTCAGAACTCATTGCAATCGGCTCTTGACTTGATGGCATATCTATTAGGTATCATTGTATCCAATCCAAAGGTAAATAAAAATTCCACTTTATATTCTAAGGATCCATATAGCTAATGACTCCTTTTATCCATCAAATGCAAAATTTACGTGTGATAGTCTGATAGAATCTAATCATATAATGTGTTTGGAGTGTGATTTCAGGATTTCTGGATATTGACGTTGATCTCATTCTCCACTGTATCGTTAGCAGGAATGCTCTATACAATTCATCTCTACCGGATTAGAAACCATATTTTTCACTTTGAGAAGATTCCCTTGTTGAACAAATGTTTATTCAAGTTACTCCCTTCTCGTGGAAACATGTAACTAATGTTGTGGAATGTGCCACCATTTCTCACTAATGGGATAATTTTATGAAATGACCATAAGAGCAGCCAAAAATCAATCAAATAGCTGAACAATTGGTCAAATAGGTCAAAGACGTAGTCAAAAGGAAACACACAAAAACAATAGGTCAATGACAATTTTATGATGCGTTATGACAAACTTGCCTCTGTCTTTTGTATGAACCCACTCTGTTTTTTGTATGAACTCACTTTTTTTTTTTTTGGTCGGGTATATGAACTCACTTTTATGTAGTGCTACAATGAAATTTTTTTATCTTTTGGGAATAGAATTCTATATTAAAAGTCAGTATTGAAACAACATTTATAATTAGTTGTAAAACAGTTGAAAACCCCAGATATTTGTGTTTACTTAATAAAGTATACACTCTCTTATTATATGCTAATAAAGAAACATTAAGAAGATTGATGAAGTCTCTTCTTGGCATTCTCTGCTTCATCGGTTGCGTCAACTTGCATTTTTGTCTCCGTTAGATGGGCCTCCGTTGCTTCCTTCTCGTTCTTTGCCGACAATCTCTTTGTCTTCCGAATCACAAAATTTAGAATAAAATGAAAAAAATCATTAAACAAATTAACGAGTCACCAAATACGTCAAGTGATCATTGATTCAAGGCCCATGACTCTATGAGTCTCTGATCCACTTGCTTCAGTGGCTCGAACCACCGAAGCTGCGAAAACTAAGACTCTTGTATTTGTATACGTACCTGGCCAACAAAAAAGGCTTTGACATAGCTAAACCCTTCCTGGCACGAGACTGCCACGGATAAACAGTTCGTCTTCACTCGATCCGTCAAAGACTTCGACGGCCGTTGTGATGTCTCGGCTTCTTGCATCGTTGCTTTTCGAGGTAGAGATAGAATACTTGTGTAACTTGAAAAGTAAGGCTACGAAATATCTCACTTTCTTGTGCCAAAGATGATTTTTTAATTAATGATTCTGGAAGCAACTCTTGCCACGTCTATTTACGTGTTAGCTGTAGAGATACCGACGTGTATTAAAGTAAGAGGCTACTTACTCATTGGGCTTTTGGGCTTGAAGAACTTGTCATCGGATCAACAACACTTCATAGATTTGCAACTTGCAAGTAAGCGACACAAAATCCATGACGTTTAGCTTAGTCCCACGTGAAGAACCATACCACATACGTGCAATAAGAAACTGATTCACTTTATTTACCTAAGCGATTGACGATTTACACTAACTATGCTTGACAAGATATTTAATTCTCTTTAACTTTCTTTGTAGCCAATTATATCAACAAGACAACAACCGATACGGAATAGCGGATATGAGGCGAGAATAAATAATTTGTAACCATAGAATTTGAACATTCTAATAAATATTTATTAGAAAGCTTAAATTATTCTTTAAATTAGTAATATGAGTTCGATTAAAAACTTTAGTCTATTCATAGTAGAATTTAAGTCTTCTAATAAATAGATTGAAACCAAACAGCCGCACATGGAATTAATATCGACTTTAATTAGTAGGTTTTTTGCTAAAAATACTCACAAACTCACTTCTAAATTCTAATCTTTTACACTCATGTGCTTTAAAGATATTGAGAGGACCTTTCCTAGTACACCACCTACTCACGAGTCAAAATTTTCCAAGATTCCCAAATGTTTGAAGTCGTATTTTGATCCAAAATACTACAACATCGAATAAAAAAATAAATCACACGTGGCATTCAGAGACATCATAAGATGATGAAAGCATGAAGCCGCCTCTCAAAAAATCCGTTCAACGTTTGAGAGTCAAGGCCACAAGGTCTGACCATCTCTCTCTTCTTCTTCTTCTAATCATATTTTCAACGGTCAAACTTTTTATCACCTTCTCAGAAACTACACTTTTTTTTCATTTTTCATCTAAAATAAAAACAATTAAATCATAAATAATAGAAAAATCACCAATCAGACAGACCATGCAATATGTTTTATATATACAGACACAACCAAACAAATACATAAACAAGAAGAACCCATCACTTCTCTCGTTTTCTTCTTCTTCAAGCCCTCTTCTTCAAACACTCTCTATAAATATCTGAAATTGGTCTTTCATAAAACAAACTTCCATTTTTCGTATGGCTGCTTCTTCTTTTCTTACAATGGACAATAGCAGAACCAGACAAAACATGAATGGTTCTGCTAATAATTGGTCACAACAATCCGGAAGAACATCAACTTCATCTTTGGATGATCTTGAGATCCCAAAGTTTAGATCTTTTGCTCCTTCTTCCATCTCTATCTCTCCTTCTCTTGTCTCTCCTTCCACTTGTTTCAGTCCCTCTCTTTTCCTCGATTCCCCTGCTTTTGTCTCCTCCTCTGCTAACGTAAGCCTCTCTCTGTTTCTTTTGAAATGAATCCAACTATTGATAAATAATCTGTGCTTGATGTATCATTGATTTAACATCTTAAAAATGAATTGTGATCGGAACTAATAAAGTCATGGGTCAACGGTTTCAAAGAGAGAGAAAGAGTTTCAGAGTCAACTCTCGATTCTGTTTCTTAATAATTGATGTTTGTCTCTTTTCTTGAATTCTGAACAAGATTCTGAAAAGTAGTGACTATAATATAAATCTTGGGATGGTTTTACAGGTTCTTGCTTCTCCAACGACAGGAGCTTTAATCACAAACGGAAGTAACCAGAAAGTTATAAATGAAGCAGAGAAGAGCAACAACATTAACTTCTTCGATTTCTCATTCCCCACACAATCATCAGGAGTTTCTGCTCCGACCACAACTACAACTACAACAACAACAACAAACAGTTCTATCTTTCAACCTCAGGTATGTACTTCTTCAACAGCTCAAATCCTCTGTATATGAGTTTTTCTGTAACTGAACGCTGTTTTGTGTTTCAGGAACCACAGAGGAAGAATCAGCCAGAACAATGGAACCAAACTGAGACTCGTCTAAACAATCAAGCTGTATCTTACAATGGAAGAGAGCAAAGGAAAGGAGAGGATGGTTACAATTGGAGAAAGTACGGACAGAAACAGGTGAAAGGAAGTGAGAATCCTCGCAGTTACTATAAGTGTACTTTCCCAAATTGTCCAACGAAGAAGAAAGTGGAGAGATCTTTGGAAGGTCAGATCACAGAGATTGTGTATAAAGGAAGTCATAACCATCCTAAACCTCAATCCACTAGAAGATCTTCTTCGTCTTCTTCGACGTTTCATTCAGCTGTGTACAATGCCAGTTTGGATCCTAATCGTCAAGCTTCTTCTGATCAACCTAATTCCAATAATAGCTTTCATCACTCTGATTCCTTTGGGATACAACAAGAGGATAATACTACTTCTGATTCTGTTGGAGACGATGAGTTTGAACAAGGCTCATCGATTGTCAGTAGAGAAGAAGAAGATTGTGGGAGTGAACCTGAAGCAAAGAGATGGTACAGATCATCATCACCATCTAAATTCGCCTACTCTTTTAACAATCTTGAATAAGAAAGTTCTAAACTTTTGAAATTTGTTTGTTGTGTTTCAGGAAAGGAGATAATGAAACAAATGGTGGGAATGGTGGCGTAAGCAAGACAGTGAGAGAGCCAAGAATTGTCGTGCAGACAACGAGTGATATCGACATTCTTGACGACGGTTACAGATGGAGAAAATATGGCCAGAAAGTCGTTAAGGGAAACCCAAATCCAAGGTATATAACATAAACAATTGTGCTTCTCAATTCATTATAATTAAGGTTCTTAAGAATCTGACCTTTTGTTTTGTTTTCACTTGCTGAATTTAACAGAAGCTACTACAAGTGCACAACCATCGGTTGTCCAGTGAGGAAACATGTTGAGAGAGCATCACACGACATGAGAGCAGTAATCACAACCTACGAAGGGAAACACAACCACGATGTTCCTGCAGCTCGTGGTAGTGGTTACGCCACAAACAGAGCGCCACAGGATTCTTCTTCAGTCCCAATTAGACCAGCTGCTATTTCTGGTCACTCCAACTACACTACTTCTTCTCAAGCACCATATACGCTTCAGATGCTGCACAACAACAACACTAATTCCGGGGCTTTTGGTTACGCTATGAACAACAATAACAACAACAGCAACCTTCAAACTCAACAAAACTTTGTTGGTGGTGGGTTCTCTAGAGCAAAGGAAGAACCAAACGAGGAGACCTCGTTTTTCGATTCGTTTTTGCCCTGAAGAAAAAAAGGAATCTGTTGTTCCTTTTGTACATTTCTGCCACCAAAGGATTTTACTACTTACTAGTGATCCTGCAGGATAGTAGTAAGACTATAGTCTATAGTCCATAGAGAATTTTTTCATTTGTTTTTTTCACACGCCTGTAATATGTTTAATGTTTGTACCATAGAACTAGAAAAAAAAAAAAAACTGAATAAAACCAATCAATTTTCACCTTTTTCACTTATGAATAATGTATCAAAGAAGAACACACACACACACAGTACACAGAGAGTCACAGTGAGAGACCCAAATAACAGAAGTTGGTATCAACTATATGAACACATAAAAGAATTGACATTTACATGTATAACAAAGTTCACAATGGTATAAAACTATTGAAGCACATTATTGCAGAGAGACAGATTCAGATAAAAGAATGAGTGGAGAGTTTGTAACCGGAGAAGAGAGCAGAGAGAGCTAACGCGATGAATGCCAAGATAGCCATACTTATAGCTGAAGCAGCAGAATCAGTGAAAATGTTATCTTGACCTTCTCTGAATCTGTTTGTCAATGGAATTGCAGAAGATGCAGCTGATATGAGCAAATACGCCACAATCTGCAAATTTCAAAAACAAATTTCACTTTTTTTGCATCAAAGATCATAACTTTACAAACACACATGTGTTGAAAATTTGCTAATCAGTTTCTGCATTACCTGGTCGCCGGAGAAATCGACCAAAATGTTAGTCCGGCGATCAAAAAATTCCCTTTTTGAGAAATGTGCAAATGTTTGCCACGCAGTGTATAATGTTGAAATAATCGATATCGCCAATACATATCTGAAGACAAAATTTGAGAGCCGAAATCAGAAATCTCAAATCTTTGATAGAAATTTCAATACTTTGATTGAAATTCCACAAACCCAATTTCAAACTCGAGTATGAAAATGTTATCAATCGGAAAAAATGGGAATCGTACCTATACTCTTCGTAGTCATTGAAGTTTCTACCGTAACCATGTTTATTAGAGACCATAATTAAGAAAGCAAGAAGAGAGAACAATAGACAAATTCCTCTCGTAATCGGAGATGCTTTCTTTATCAAATCCTCTCTTTTCCATCTCTGAGTAATCGTCGACGTTCCAGACGCCGGCGTCGTCTCCGACGTCTTTTCCGCCGCAGTCTCCACGTCAGTAACTTCAACCGGCTTCTGTTTGTCGGGATTCGTCATTTTACAGATCTCAAAACTTTGGTCGGAATTGGTTCTGTTTTTAATGCGAGGATTCGGGAGGAGGAATAACAAACTTGGAAGAAAAGGAAAACTTAATTAAGGTTTCGAGTTTTGTATGTTAAATTGAAGAAAACGCGTGGTGGCGGGAGTGATTAATGTTAAGCAATGTGATTAAACAGTTGTTAAACCCGACGCGTGTTATGAGCCGCGCGTAGCAAAACAGTGGTGTGTTTTAATCGTGGCTTGCATTTGTTGCCAGCGAAGCCTTCTCATTGGTCAAGGATCTTTTTTTTTTTGGTCAAGGATCATTGTGTTTAATTGGTGATATTAAAGTATGATTTATGTAATATATTTTAAAGATTTTTTTTGTAATATATTGATTAGGATTTGTGATGTTTAATTCCATAACTTTCGTGCTAAGAATGGAATTATTCTTCACAATGTTGTTTATGGAAAGCTTCATATCAAAGTCTGATTGGAGAATTTTTTTTCTTTTTTCTTCTCAAAATCCACTATTGGTTGTAACCAAAATGTCCTCCAACAATCTAAAAAAGCATGAAGAACTCCACTATAGAAGTTACCCACAGAGTCCAATCCATTTTGTGTCCCAACAACAATTAGACAATAAACGAGTGATCTTGATGGAGGAAGAAGACGTCAATGTGAGAGACTTGTCATGGCTTTGGGAACTTTAGAGTTCACATTTCACAACCTTTTTTTTTTTTATCGAAAAGAAACAATAAAAAACTTTAGAGTTCAACGTGATGATCGAATTATCAACATTTGCATTGACCACCAGTTCCACCACATTAGATCTACTGGGCTTGGCGGTAGCGTCACGTCGTGATACGGTAGGGTCAAGTGTTTGACGTGAGATTTTGAGATTTATCTTGTTTTATTTTTATGTAATTTGTTTTTTTTTTTTTTTTTCGTCAAAAGGATTCATTGATTCATTGAGTTATCCAGATATTACAAACATCAGCCCAAACAAGGGAGTGCAAGAGCCCTAACGATTAAGGGAAACAAGAGCCCCAAAGGATAAGGGAAACATACGCCCAAACGAGGGAAGCATACAACCAAAACAGACAATTCTAAACCAAAACCAAAACCATCAAAGCAAAGCGGATTTAACTCTAAAAACCAAATTAAAGGCAGTCGGAAGAGAAGCTTGGAAAGGGTCTCCAAGCCCAAGCATACGACAACACAGTCCACAAAAGAAGAAAACTCGGAGAACAGACACAAAACGCTCACGAGAGAGAATGGATAGAGCAACCAAACAGATTAACAAGGAAATTGTAGAACCGAGATGAAGAAGAGCACCAGCCAAAGATTGAAAAAAACCACCCCTTTTCGACCGCATATTTAAATAAGGTTTTCAACTGGAGCATTTCAGCAGCTATAGCCTCGTGTCTTCCCCTGGATTGGCTGAAGCACTCCTCAAGAGGTACTGGGTTGAGTTTCAATTGAAGATATAGCGGTCGAAAAGGGGTGGTTTTTTTCAATCTTTGGCTGGTGCTCTTCTTCATCTCGGTTCTACAATTTCCTTGTTAATCTGTTAAGAAGAGCACCAGCCAAAGATTGAAAAAAACCACCCCAGACTTCACACCGATGTAATTTGTTTTTGAAAAACACAATTTAACTTTGGTTATTTCTTAAGAGTATATATATATATATATATGTTTTTTATTTTTTTCGACTAATGTCCGGGATATCTAGAATAGCATGTGAATTGCTTGGGCCAAAGTTCAAGCCCAAATTTTCCACACAAATGTGATTTTTGTTTCCAAGATGAATCGTTAGTTTCTTCGAACCAAAGATCGATGTCGCCGTCAAAATTATTTTCGTTGTAGCGATGAAAAATAAATTTATAATTTACCCGATCACTTCTGTTCATGGTTCGATATATCATAAAAAACAAACATTAGTCTAATTAAAAATGAAGAGAAAAACTGAATTTTTTTTAAAAATATAGTTTAATTTAAACAAAAAGAATTGGTTGTCGAACACCATATAAAATATGGTGGTCTTTCACCTAAACTTTGCAATTTTCTATGTATGTCTTGCTAATTAATTCCATACATGTGTTTGAAGTTCAAAGTATTTTCATTCTTACTGCTGTTGTAAATGCTCCATTGATTTATCTTGTTAGTTAAAAGTCAAAAACTAATCAATAAAGAAGATATACGGTGGAAAAAATCACCTTACACTAAAAATTTACTAAAAGATACATTAAAATTTTAAAATAAAGCAATATGATAATGAAAAAATCTTATGTAAATTTATTTAGTTTCTAATTTCATAATTCTTTTAAAAAATGTAGAAAATTAATACAAAGTTAATTCTTGACATATGTAATTATTATTGTAAGAAAAAAAAATGAAATTATTTTTGTGTTTGGATAAACCTAAAACGAAGGGGACGCATGAAAGGCACCACCGACTAATAGAATAGGTATTAAGGACCCAGCCCCGATTTCACCACCCGGTTTTCTTCCTTCTTCCTCTCACATTTCTCATCATCTCGTCAAATCAATATCTTGGTTTCTTCGTTGCCAAGAATCGAACGATACGCTATTCTACCCGAAATTTGGATCCGAATCCCAAATCTGCACTCGCCCTTTTGCTTCGCCGATTCTTTCCTTTTTCACGGTAAGTTTCATTGCCCACTATCACATTGCACCGTGAGTTAATTCGAGCTTGTTTCCGAACTGGGTTTTCTTGTTTCCGGTCATTAGTTGTGTAAATCGATTCAATTTTACCAATTTGTGAATGTGAGCGGTCTTTAATTTGATTCAAATGTCGCTTGTGCATTTAGGTATTTTGTTGATTCTCCTCAAGCCCTAATTTTTGCTCAAGTTTTTGTTGGAGCTGGGACTAGTGTACTTCGATGGTATACAACAACCTAGCAGGAAGATTAGGGTTAGGGTTTTCTGTTCTAAGCACATCCCTTGAGTGGAAGAATTTCTGAAAGTCTAGGGTTTTTGATTTTGATTTCTGGTCTGATAAGAAGAAGAAGAAAAAGGGTTGGTTTGTGAGGATAATGTGTATATTGTGTGTGATTCAAAAGTGGTCTCGCCGGGTTGCAACGATGCTGCCTTGGTTGGTCTTACCTTTGATTGGACTATGGGCTCTGTCTCAGCTTCTTCCACCAGCTTTTCGTTTTGAAATCACTTCTCCCAGGCTAGCTTGTGTATTTGTGCTTTTGGTTACTTTGTTCTGGTACGAGGTTTTGATGCCTCAGCTTTCTACTTGGCGTGTGCGGAGAAATGCTAGACTTAGGGAGAGAAAGAGATTGGAAGCTATGGAACTGCAAAAGCTTAAGAAAACTGCTACACGACGTTGCCGTAACTGCTCAACGCCTTACCGGGACCAAAATCCTGGTGGTGGAAAATTTATGTGCTCATATTGTGGGCATATATCAAAGAGACCTGTTTTAGACATGCCTGTGCCTCCAGGGTTAGGACTTTCTGGTTCTGGTATATTGAAGGATCTTGTAGGAAGAGGTGGTAAGATGTTGAATGGAAAGGGATGGAATGAGAATGGTTGGATGCACGGGCAAGAATGGTCAGAAAACAGCACATGGACTAGCGAGTCAGCCTATTGGCGGAATAATAGTGGTAGTACATTTGGTGAAGATGAGAATTGCTTGGGGGGAAAATCATATCCTGGTGGCGTTGTTTTTACATGCCGACTGCTTGCTTCTTTTTTCATGAGCATTAGGTGGCTTTGGAGAAAGATTTTTAGCTTTAGCTCTTCGGTTGATGAATCGTCAACCGATGCTGACCAGAGACGATTACTGGCTAGGCAGGGTGAGAATGGGACCAGCTATCATGAGAGTAGGGTTGAGAAAGCACGCAGAAAAGCCGAGGAGAAAAGACAAGCTAGGCTGGAAAAGGAGCATTTGGAGGAAGAAGAGAGAAAACAACGAGAGGAAGTCGCGAGACTAGTGGAGGAACGGAGAAAATTAAGAGATGAGAAGATTGAAGCCGAGAGATCCAGCAAAGCATCATCTGCTTCCAAAGAAAAAGATACTAAAAGGGAGGCAGAGAAGAAGCGCCAGGAGAGAAAGAAAGAAAGAGATAGGGCCTCTAGTAAGAGCAATTCCGATGTCGAAGAGCTTGATAAGAGAATAGGAAAAGATACTGACCATAAGCGTGAGCTTGAGAAAAATGATCATTTTAGGAGCCCCAACATGGAAAAGAGGCATGGGCATGGTGTAGATAATAATGCTACTAGTAACAGTAACATGACAGGTGCTGGCGGTAGGTACTTTGATCGAGTGAAGGGTACATTCTTCTCTTCTTCTAAGGCTTTTACAGATAACCGGTTCTTTGGAAGAGGTGTCAATATGTCAGCTACAATTGCAAAAGAGAATAAGCACATCGGTTCTGCAGACCATTCTCATGCATCTGCTCATACTAGGCATATTAATCCTCCTGAATTTGTTGCTGGAAAATCTGGTTCAAATGGAGAGGAAAGGAATACTACTCGTCATGTAAGTGTTCTGACCAAATTTTTTATGCCATTGCGATCCGGATGATTAAACTAGTCGATTATGTTTGCAGTTATAAATCACTCCTCTCTTTTAAACTCATCTGTTTTGTGTATCTTAAGTTGAAGTTTACTATCTTGAAGTAGGCAATATTAGATTTGGTTCTAGTTTTTTGCAACTTGTTTCATAAAGGATACTTAAAAATGCTATGATGTTCCCCTCAGGTTGTTTCTGAGCCGCTACCAAGTGGAGAACCTAAAAAATCATGGCAGCAACTATTCGCCCGTACGCCATCTGTGCCTGCCTCCTCCAATGTTAATGTTATAAGTCGACCTAGTACAAAGCCCAAAGATGTTCAGAGTTCACAGGTTCCTAATCAAGATCAGTCAATCCGAACCTTTGACAATCCAATCAGTTTTGGGCTCCCATCACCATTCACTATACCAACATACTCTAGCGGATCGACTATCAGTAGCTTAGGTTTCTCATCTGCAAGAGATATTGTTCTCCCTCAGCCTGGGGAAAAGGCTCATGCTTTTATGCCTGAAGAAGAGCGTTTTGAAGATCCGTGTTATGTTCCGGATCCAATATCTCTTCTGGGACCTGTATCAGAATCGCTTGATCTAAGGGCTGGGTTTGAAACTAATGGAAGACTGGAAAAACCCCACTTGTTAAAGAATACACCTTTTTGTGAAGTCAATAAGCCATCTCCGATAGAATCTCCCTTGTCAAGATTACGAGTTGCAGATGAAAAACAAGTTAATGATGGAAGCTGGCAAATGTGGAAGACCACTTTTGGCCAAGACCTTCTTCTACCTTCAGATAATACTAGATCTAATGAGGAAAATGCTGTGCATCATGTGCCTCATAGGACATCATCGTTATTTGCAACAGATGACCCTATTCTCAGTGCATATTCACACAAGAAGGAAAGTTTTGAAAATGATCAGAGAAGTGGCCCGTTCAGCCCCATTGCTGGTCCAAGCAACCATGATCCCTGGTCACAGAAAATGTTCCTCCCAGCATCATCTGGCATAGAGAGTCTTTTGTCGCCTAGTAGACCAGAAGATACTGGCCCGAATAATGTTGCATACATGAGTCCAACTGGGTTGGCTCCAGATAATCCATTTGAACTCCCTTCTCCGAATCACTGGCTCAAGTAAGACTAGTTTGTTCTGAACCTTTATTACTGTTTTGCTCGATTCATTTGTGGCCATGGCTATTCAATAATGTGTTCAAAGGGACTAGGTTATAGTAACAGTTTTAGTTTTTTCCTAGGCTATAGAGCAGCTTATGCCTGTAACATGCTTTAGAGTTGCTCTTACATTAGTTATAGATTAGGTTTCTTTAGAACTTTGCTAAGTTTGGAACATTAGCAATGGAGATTATTGTGTAATGATTTTGGTGTTTGTTAATAATGTGTAGGAAAGTGAAGAAGACTGGGGATGGGACTGGGAGGCAATTTGTGGAGGGTCAATTCCTAAACCAAGATGTACAGTCGTTTTGGTAGTCACAATTTTAAGAAAAAAAAAACATTGAAAATCATTTTGGGACACAACTTTTGCAGATATACCTCGTCTGTCTTTGTCCTCTGGTTTTCTTCAACCTAAGATTTTGAATTTTTACTTAAAAAGATGGTTAGCTTCGATAGACTTACCATACACTTAACACGTAATTACCAAAAGCTACTATTGCTTTATAACATTCCTCTCTCTCTTTTACTCAGACTGCGACTAATTAGATTGCATAGTTAACGTTTTAATGGGATCAAGGGCATGTTCGTTTGGATATCTTGGTAGCAGTGATAATGAGCAGTGACAACTGATGTTATTCGATTTTTCTGTTTCGGCGGCATGTTTTCATTCATAGCACATATAAGCAAACTCAAAGAAACATTCATAGCTTAATACAAAAAGATCTTGAAATGCTTTGTACGATTCCAAACGCAATAACCAACGAGAAAAATTACAAACGGTGTAGCATGTCCCTTAGCAAAAACAAAGGCCCAAGTTTGCAAACACACACAGTCACACATTACACAGAAAAACTACAAAGTTCAGATCAGAGTTTTATTCAATTTCTCTGCGATGAATAAAGCAAATAATTTTGTGTTCAATTATACTCCGAAAATAAATAAATAAAAAAAAAATTGAATCCCGGTATGTTTTTTTCTTCTTGTCATTTTTATATACAAAGAGGCGGATCGTCCCATTACTCTCTCTGCTCCAATGTAAACCGAACCGGTTAAGTAAATGCGTCTCGAATAAAATACCGGTTCTCTTGTTCAACTGATTAACCTCACGAATGGATTACGTTGAAAAATTCCGAGTAAAACGCACGGATTGTTGGTTTTGTGTTGAAACCATTTTACGGGTTATCAGGAACCCTAAAAACCGGTTGGTTAATCAAACGACGTAGTTTTTGCCTAAGAGCATCGGCCCAAACCAACCCCACGTCTCTTTGCTTGTTCTTCATCTCCACCATCACTAGTTCTTTTGTTAGCCGGCGAACTTTAACGACGACATTAGCTACTCCATGTGGACCTTCAAGCTTTATCGCTCTCTCCTTCTTCTTCGCGATTCTCAAATTCAACTGCTTCGCAACTTCCTCGACCTTCCTCATAATCTCCGCCGTACTCTCATCGGAGACGAACTGGTCACAATGATCCGGCGTCACGAAATTTCCAAACAAACCGGAGAGATTCGAGCTCGACGCCGACGAAATCAAATCGAAGGCATTTAAAATCTTCCCGTTTTCTTCTAGATCGTAATCGTCGGCTTGGATTCCGATGGTTTCGCTCGGATCTACTCCATGATTGAACCACGGATCCTTTAGAATCTCCTCGACGGTGATCCGCAGTTCCGGATTAGGCTCCAAGAGACGGCGGAGGAGTTTCCGTAGATCTGAAGATGTCCAATCCGGTAACTTGTATTGAGCCTTGTGGATTTTCCGGTATAGTCCCATGATGTTTGGATCACGAAACGGCAAATAACCGGCGTTGAGAAGGAACAAAACGACGCCGCATGACCAAATATCAGCTTTAGAACCGTCGTAGCCTTTCTTCAGAAGAAGCTCCGGTGCAACGTAAGCCGGAGTTCCACAGAGCGTGTGTAGCATCCCGTCGGGACGAATCTGTTCCTTCATCGCACTGAGACCGAAGTCTGAAACCTTCAGATCTCGATTCTCGTCGAGGAGAAGATTCTCCGGCTTCAAATCACGGTGAAAAACTCCTCTTGCGTGGCAGTATCTCACAGCGGAGATCAATTGCCGGAAATATTTCCGGCTAAGACTCTCCGTGAAACGGTTGCTGGTGACTCTGGAGAAAAGCTCACCGCCTTTGGCTAGCTCCATGACGAAATAGATCTTCGTCTTGGTGGCGAGGACTTCGGAGAGGAGCACGATATGAGGATGACGAAGACGGCGCATAACAGATATCTCTCTCTTAATGTGCGCCGTTAGACCGTCTTTCAAACGTTTTTTTTGTACGACTTTGATCGCAACGCTTTCTCCGCCGTTTTGGAGATCCTCCGCTTGGTAGACTTTGGCAAACGCACCGCTACCGAGGAGCTTTCCGAGGTCGTACTTACCGAACAACGCCGACTTATTATCATCTCCGATAACGTTAACGATGATTGAATCGGAAGAATTAGAATCTTCGGCCATTAACCAAAAGAAAAAAAAAACAGAGCAAAGAGAAACAGTCTACAAATTGAAAAGACATGCGCGCGGTGCCTCTTCTTATTGAAATTCCTCAACTTGCCACGTAAGCAAGCCAGTATTTTAAACAAAGATTTTAATATAGCTTGACTTTATGATATAATGCATTAAACAAATGAAAGAAAGAAATAATCTTCACATAGGACAATTTCAAATTTCATTGCGATACTTCTAGGATTTTACTAATTTGAATTAGTTGCGATATATCAACCAGGTTAGACCATGATTAACAAGAGGATCTTAAGATTTTCTTAAAATGATCTTAGCAATTAAATGATTAAAATTAATTTCCAAATAAGCTTTAAAGGTAAGGTGAGTTGCTTACCTAAGAAACAAATTCACACTTAAGAACTATTTTTAAGAGCCATTTTTTAATTTATTACTTTAATATTCCTAATATTCATGATCTATTTTCCCAATGTGTGGTTCAAGTTTTTATGTTGTTGTTAATTAGTACCAAACATCTGCCTTGTCAGGTCAACCAAAACATTCTAATTCCAGGTGGGATTTAAAGTCTTAATTTATTTGTTTTTGTAGGAGCTGGGAAAACTCGATATATATTCTTTTAAAACGTTCATCGTTGACGTTGACAAAAAAACAAAAAAACTTTATCAAAATAAAAAGCAAAGTCTATATTTCGAATAATGTCGAAAAAAACAACGTGGATTGACGTTAGTGTCTAATGTCTATAGAATGCTAAGCAGTATACATGACGATGGTTTAAGTATCACTACCGGTTTAGATGGTACTTAATTTGGTTCTGAGGATATATGACCATTTGGTTCTTCTTAAAACAAAGGATGTATAATATTCATAAATAACCTGATGAAGATTAACTGATTTTCTTTTGTAACCTTTCACTGAACCAAGTTAATAGTAAATTATGGATAGTATTTTCTAGCCGAGGAACGTAACTCCTAAATTTTTTGTGTGCTCTCTTCTTTTGATTCGTGAACATGTGGAGTACACAGATTTTATTTGTAACCGCATCCAACCGTAGATACCCAATCAAACCAATAACATTATCCAGTCAACAAATAACCTTTAAATTTAAGTGACAAAACAATAACAATTTAAATTTGAATACTGTTTGAAATTCAATGTCAGCCTATAATAATTACTTTTTAATAGCTGGAAATTTTGTTAATATAAGGATTTATAATTTATTTGAAGTTGGATTCGTGGATCCAAGTCATTCGTGTGTGGAGTAAAATCATACTAGTACCCCTTTTGTTGTTGAAAAAGCCAAAATTTAATCCTTACACGTGAACTTAAAATATTATAAACCTGTAAAATTTTGACCAAAAACAAGAAACCTGAACAAAAATAATTAGGAAAGATGCAAAGGCAAAAACTCGACAAAGTAAAACAAATAAAGAAAACAACTCTTACTCATTCATGGCTTCCAATATGTAGGTATTAGCTTTCGTAACGTTATTTACCATCTTATTTGCATTTTAGTTTAATGACTTTATCTAAGTGAAAATTAACACCCGACCGTGGGATCATTTCAGCAGTAATAATACCCAACCAAACACCAGAAGTTATCTCGATTTTATCGTATGTCCGTCGGTCATCTCGACCGGAAAACCCTACCATGGAAGCATCACATTTAAATATACCAACTGCCGAGTCAACTTCTTTATTGTGCTATATCCATTTAAAGTTTTAAACATCAATTCTTTTGAGAAAATAAATACGTCACCATCGTTTTATTATTGAATATTGATCTTCTCTCATTGTTACCGTCATCACGAATAAAGACATCTGCTTCAAAGAGACACCGTGATGGTGTACGTCAGCCACCGACATCGTCCGTACATCCACCCTCACTCTTAATTTAGGACGTTTCTTCTTTGTCACGCATCGTCATGGTTTGATTTCTTTTTATAATGTTAAAAAAATCTATGAATTCATTCAATCAAATATTGAGGTATTTTTTTTTGCGATTTGCTTAAAGTTAAATGACGAAAAATTTAATTAGGAAATTACATTTCATCTTATTTATGACAAATTTTAATATCCCAAACCCATCTGTAGAGAGGAAACGTATTCAAGAACACACAAATTGCTTAAAACGAGAATCTCCAAATTAGATCAATATGAGTCCAAACAAAGTAAAAACTCAGTCAATTCTATATTGGCATTCTCTTTTGGGAGCAACAAATTTCAAGTGTTTTGTTTACATATACAACCGAAGTTTCCACCTAGTAGATAAACACACTTTAGACTTTACCCGTTGATCATCCAAGATTCAAATGCACGCATGCCTCCCACGAAAAGAAAATATACATATATGAGTATTCTAAGCGGCCATTCGTGATCCATAAATCCAAAAACATTGGAAGAAAAAAAGTAGGAGGAAAGCAGTGAAAATCTGATGGGTTAAAGAGAAGGTTTTGGAAGTTGTTGCGATAGAAGTGTGTGATAAGAAAAGAGACATGCACTTGAGCTCTACAGAGAAGGAAGTGGGCGAGCCATACGCATCTGGATGATAGATGATTTCTCCTTGCCGACATTTGAATTCTCCTAAACTCCAATCCTATAGTAGTATCATATAAAGTTATTACAAGATTACTATACCATTGATTGATCATATATAGTATCAAGTGTTGATACATACCTCAAGCTGACGACCAAAGGTGACAAGGATAGTGTCGGGATCAGCATGGAAAGAAAGTGGACCTTTCCCTGAGTTGACGCGGAACTCGCAGTTCTTAGCCGGAAGGTGAAGGCTGAGTGTGTAATGAAGCATTTCCTCGGTCCTCTCTTTGGGCAAAGGAGGGCTTTGCTCAGTTACGTTTTCATGATTGTACCTGTAAACGCTGAGTACAGATTCTCCTCTTTGTATCCTCTTATCACTTTGTCTTCTTGAGTTCTCTACCATTATCTGCCCTAGTTTCCTCGCTATCTCTTCAAGTTTATCAGCTACATTCTCCATTTCTTGGCTGCAACCAAATCAAAGATTCAAGGATTGGATCCAAATTCTGAATCACTAATTATTTTTTTGGAAATGCAATGTTCATGACAAATTTCTAAAACGTAATTCGCTATTTATTTATCACTAAATACAGAAAGTGAAAATTCGGCCCAATAAAGGCCCAATACCTGAAGCAGCGGTATCTTTCCGGTCCGATATACTCGCGCGCCCATTCCATGCGCTCTTTCCACGACCGTACCCACACGATCTCGTCTCTATTTCCGACAACACTCCGGTGAAACCCGGTGTCTCTCCCCTCCAAAACTCCGAAAACCCGACCCGATTCCCTCACAAGAGACCTCAGCTCCTCCCCCGATATCCCATGATAACTCACACGAAACGCTCCAAACTCTCTCGCCGATCGCACCAACCGATCCACCGAACCTTCTCTCCTCGACGCCAATAACCGGAAATCAATCTCCGCCGGGATCAGATGACGTGAACCGCAAGATTCACCTCCAGAATGAGATTCAGGAAGCGTAAGCTCAGGAACCTGAACGGATCGCTCAATGATCTCGGTGAGAATCTCGCTGGCAGCGCAACGAGATCCTCTGGCTCTAGGGATCGGAGACGGAGGAGGTGGTGGTGGAGTCAATGAAGATACGTTCAATTGGCTCCTGGTTCGCATCAGAGCCATTGGAAAGAGAGAGAGAAAGGATCCGAAGGTTTCGGGCGGTTCTAAATTATGATCCGCCCCAAGAAGAAAAATCAAAAAGACTTGTTCGATTGTTAGAGGCAGCACATTCGCTGTGTATTATTTCTTTAATTTTTGCTCATTTTTCTAAAGAAGGTGAGGGTCCATTACTGATTTTGAATGAATAAAAATTAATATTTTAATAAAAATAAAATTAATATTCAAAAAAAAAAAATATTATGATGATGATGATGATTATGATTATGATGATGATCATATGGTTCTCTAACTTTATTTCCGCTGTGAATATTTGAATATGATTATGTCAGATGGAAAAGGCGCTTAGAGGATGATGTTGCCACTTTGGGTTGGGCCATGATGTGGGCTGCAATTTAATGTTTGAACCGGTCCAGATGTGTAATTTCGGAAGATGATGGTTTGTTTCTCCAAGTACCAAATTGCGAATCAATCAATCTCAAGGACAAAAGATAGAGAGAGCTTTTGAAAATGAATCTCATCGAAGAGGAAATCACAACCTAGGTAGAATTATCCAGTCAACAAAAATGATAACGCATTAAAGATATTTTTTAAAACATTTTATATTATTGTATTGTCAAATTTTAAATTTTTTTTACTGTTTGGGTTAGAGAACTTTAGAAAAATATCATATTATAGCGATTATTGGTTTAACGTGCTCCGCCAAATCAAGATAATAAAAATGGGGAAATAATGAATTTTATATAGTTTGGATATGGAATAAAATTTAGTTTTTATTAATGTACTCCCTTCGTATCACTATAAGTAATGTTTTAGAAATTGTATGTTTTCAATTTTCTATGCAAAAATTAAATATTTTTAATTTTTTATGACCAATTATATTTTAGAATCCAGTTTTTTTATTGAATTCATTTTACTTAATGGTTTTTTTATGTAAGAGAGATAAATAAGTTAAATGAAAATGATGTGTTTTCTTAGTTTATGTGTAGAAACCTTAAACATTACTTAAAATGATACATAATAAGTATTATTTGTTTGTTAATTATTTTTAGGTTATTGAGTTTATGGTATGGAACAAATATATAATAGGAAATAAATATTAAATAAAAAGAAAGTGGAAACATGTGATTGGATCAAATATTTTAAGATTTACTTTTATGGCTGCCCTTTAAGTGATACTAAGGATAATTTAGCCCGATAAACTACAATTTTCCAACCAAGAAATTTATATAGTTAGCCCGAAGTTGACATGAATGATCAAATCTAACAGAAACAAACTGTATAAAGTAAGTTAATAAGAACCCCAAGTTTGTTGAAGGGTCGTTATTAATTAGTGTATGTATTACAAGATCATTGTAGCTATTGGCTGTCTCTGAGTTCCAATTTTTTCCGTGGTTTAATTTAAAAACATAAAAAACCTGTACCAACCAAGTCTCGTTTATTTTTGTTTATAAAAATTTTAGATAAGTGGACCAAGTAAGTTAAGAAGTGTTTAATCTACATTTTAACATACAAAAAAGCAAAGATAAGTGTGGTTTGTGACTCGTGACTTGTGACTTGTGACTTGTGAGTGTGCATATATAATTGAAGTTTGAAGGCATGCATGTGATTATACACTAATTGGTTAGCAATAGCATCTTCCGTACGTTAGTAAGCTTCGACAATGGTCCCCGTTAGATTACTAATTAAAATTTAATTACTTCATCGGATTTTGGGCAATAATATATACAAATGAAAAATTTAACTATCAAAACGAATAAGAAGCTTAGAACTATTTCTAGAATAAAACTAAATAAATACATTGAAAAGAAGTTATTTGTTGTCTACAAACGATGATATTAAAATTATGTAGGTGTGGCAATAGGGAGACATGGAACAAGTTTTGAAGACACCAAAGCTGTCGCTATCAAAGAAGATGTAATGAATGTTTCAAATAGCTTATAAATATCTTGTGCATGCTTCTGAGAAGACAATCCGCATCTTCCCTAATGATTTTGTATTTCAAAAATATTCACTTTATCGAAGAAATTTACTTATCTTAAGAGTATTGCAACTTAAATGCCTTTAAGATGACACCATCATTGATTTTGTTTCTACATTATCCAAGAAATATATTTAATTTGCAAATTGCAACTAGAAGCCCTTAATCACCATTATTGATTTTATGTTTTTTTTCCTTTCAACAATGTATGAAAATTATGATGTTTACCCTTATGTTAACTCGAGACTAAATGACTCAAAATAACATTATCTTTGAACTCTGCTATTAGTAAAATGATAAATTTTCTGGTAAGGATACATCGTTTATACATGGACTTTTTCATGACTTTCTTCTAATTATAAAAAAACAAACAATGCTAAGAAGGTGAGTATTGTCCTAAAAAATTCTTTAAAAAGAAGAAAAAAAAAAACTAAATGACAAACTACAACACAAAAAGTCTTAAAAAAAAACAAAGGTAGGATCTTTTCTTATGTTATATTTGTGATACATGATTTTTCATTGTATTCAATTTAGTCTTTTTATTTATTCTTTAAACTTAGGACACATTGTTATTTAGTTATATTAGTGTCGGAAAATAATACATTAACATCACTAAAAGGAAAAATCGGTCTAATGATGTAATTTTGTGTCGTTTCAAAGGACTGTTAATCAACTTTCAGGCAACATCTTCAAAATTCCAAAATCGTTTTAAGTCTTCAAGTACATGACCTCAAACATGTGTATTAGCAGTATACTAATTAGACATATATATTGTTTAACTAGTTATTGATGAGAAGTTTCATCCATTCTTAACTATAGAAAGTTAAAAATAGGTGTAGCAAGAATATATATTAAGACAATAATTAATTAGTAAGGTTTCTCAAAAGATGATATACATAGAGTTCTCAGAGCTGTTTACTTCTCCACTTTCATCATGAATGGCATAATTCTGCTTTGGTTGGTACTTGATCTTATATATAAAAAATTAAAATTTTCAAATAGTATATAGCGGCTAATTGTACTTGATCTTTGGTGCCTTTCTCTTCGTTATCCAAATCAAACATTTACCATTACATGCTGCCATACCTCCCAATTAATTAACCAAATTATACAAAAACATATTACATATACTCCACATTGGTATTTCTTAGTAGTTAGTCCCTACGATACTCATTAGATCCAAACACATTATAGACATAGTAAGCTCTAGATCCCGGATATCTTCTACACATTCTTGTCATAAAATCTAGTTCCCATCTTTCAACTAATTTTGCAAAAACATCTTCTAACTTTTAAGTTCTTTTTTTTTTTAAATACTCCATGTAGTATAAAATAATGATAGTCTTATTGTCTTAAGACTCTTCACAATATGAAAGAACAAAATTGTAAGACATTTGTAAAAAAGCTGTATACATGAAAAGCAAATATTCTAACGTTAATCTCAGAGTTGGCACTTATCGTATGCACCGAAGAACCACCAAGGTAAACTCATATTATATTTCTTTTTTTACTATAAGTGTCAACAAGCCTTACTATAAGTGGAAAATAAAGTATAAAAAGGAAACACTTTAGTTAATTGGCTCAGTCTAAGAAGACTGACTATGTGGAAGTTTTTATAAATACAAAAACTGGATACATATAAATATAAACAAACAAACAGTTCCCATTAAAAAAATAAAAATAAAAGGTAGTTCAAAATATTTAAGGAAAATAAAATAATTAGGACGAGTAAAATAATTGAGATTAATTAGAGGTGGACTAAGGAAACGTACATAAATAGGAGTGGAACTTAAACATTCTTCTTCTTTCTCACTGTCTCTCTCACACACACACACTCGTAGCGAGCCTCTATGGCAATGCTTTTTTCGTAGTTACCAACATATAAATCTCTTTCTTATAAGTCACGAAGTGTGATATTACATAGTACATACAAATATATATATGAGCATGTGCAGGTCCAAAATGAGAAGCAGTGAATCTGGAGAGATTATAAACGGAGAATGCGATGTTTCAACGTCCGTCAAAGGAGAAACTAGCGGCAACGCCAAATTCTCCGCTGGTCTCCGTCGCATCCCTTTCAATGAGGCTTGTTTCTTTTTCTCTTTAAGACTTTTTTCTTTTTACATTTTCTTCAACAAAAAAATTTCGATTATTTTGGACAAGCGAATTTGTTGATTATATAGTTCTGATTTTTTTAATGGATTATTTTAAAGTTTTCAGCCACTTGACAGTATTTGGGGTGGTAAACAATATAGAATTCTTGGAAATTGATTTTATACTGGATTGAATGCTGGGATTGACTGTTGTTAATCCCTTTAGAAACATATTTTCAAGAAGGCTTCATCTATATATCACGTAGTTGAGAAATAAATTGACTTTCATTTATATGTAACTATTGTCTACGGAGATAAAAATGTTTGATTGTGTATAAATATGTGTTTCATATGTATGCCTAAAGCGTTACTAGGACTTTCCTGGACTGAGAGAGATGCTTTTTGTGTTGTACTTACTTTATATTTCTTGACAATTGGGTTGTACTTACTTAGGAAAGTGTTCTGTATAGGTTTCCTCTCATTCTATTCTTTTTATCAGTTCCTTTACTTATTACAAAGTTTACTATCTTATTAATACCACTTTTAGTATAATCTAGTTACTTATTGATTCATTTTTTCTTGATAAGAGGATATGTGTATGTGTGTAGTATTTTTCATATGATTTTTGAAATATCGAAATTTCTAATGAAGTTATAATTAAATGAAAGATATACATATATCTAAGCTGATTTTGTTTTTCAAAAAGAAAATAAAAAGGTGAGCTTTTAAGAACCCATGATGATTTTTATTTAAAAAGATCCTAGAATGTTGGTACAGTTAGCCATTCGCTTTTCTGTCACTTGTGAATTTGATTAATTATTCAGTTCTAAAAGTTATAGAATTTAAACTTTTTCTCTTCTTTTTCAACTTTCTCATCCCAGCCCCAGTGGCCATGTGATGCGACCATCTTCCTCGTGCTTACTGCTTAGAATTTGTTCTTAATTTTATAATGATAAAATATCATTTTCCGTATTGTAATGTAATGTCCTTCTGTTTCACAATAAAAATTAGTTTAAGATTTTATTTTTCGATTTATAACATAAAAAACTAATGTAGAATATGCTTTAAAAAAACTCATGTATTAAGCTTATATAAATAACATTTTCGTACAACTTACTAGTTAGAAATGAAATTTGTTTAGTTTTGTTGAGATAAAAAGTATTAATAAATGATATAACAGAAATTTAGTATTTTTCAAATGAGTGCAATATCGTATACTAAAAACCAAATCACGTAAAAATTACTAAATATGATAATTTTTTCTATATGCATTTCAAAGGCTAAATCATATATTGAGGATAAAAACTTTTTGTTTTTAATGTCAACATACTTATGTTGCGCTTCTTTCTATATACAACTACTAATATTTTCTCGAGTGCGTTTTGCTAGAACAAGAAGCGTACAACAGTAAAATAATAAAGAGTTGTTCAATAATTGAAAATCATATTATCAAAAAAAAAAGTGAAATTAAAACATAACAAAATAACATAATTTTGTTTTTTCCCATGCAGGTGGGAGAGGAGATGGCGTCACTCACTAAAATAGCTTGCCCAATCGTGATGACATCACTCCTCATATTCTCGCGATCAATAATCTCTATGTGGTTCTTGAGTCACCTGGGAAAAGTTGAACTCGCTGGTGGTGCACTCGCCATGGGCTTCGGAAACATCACCGGAGTCTCCATACTCAAAGGCCTTTCCGTTGGTATGGACCCAATCTGTGGCCAAGCCTTCGGAGCCAAACGCTGGACCGTACTTAGCCACACGTTTCAGAAAATGTTCTGTCTCTTAATTGTCGTCTCTGTCCCAATCTCCGTTGCGTGGCTCAACATCGAACCCATTTTCCTACGGTTAGGTCAGGACCCGGACATTACCAAGGTCGCCAAAACCTACATGCTCTTCTTCGTCCCTGAGCTCTTGGCTCAGGCCATGCTCCATCCGCTTCGAACATTCCTGAGAACGCAAGGCTTAACGTCACCGCTGACTATATCTGCCATTGTATCTATTCTTCTTCATCCTCTCTTCAACTACGTCTTCGTCGTGCGTATGCGTTTAGGCGTTAAGGGTGTTGCAATCGCAATGGCTTTTAACACTATGAATATCAACGTTGGACTGCTCGTTTACACCTTCTTCTCGGATTCTCTAATAAAACCGTGGGAAGGGCTGGCTTTGCGTTCGCTTTTCCGCGGCTGGTGGCCGCTGCTTTCACTAGCCGCACCAAGCGCCATCTCTGTGTGTTTGGAGTATTGGTGGTACGAGATCATGCTTTTTCTTTGTGGGCTTCTTGGGAACCCTAAAGCAAGTGTGGCCGCCATGGGAATACTAATTCAGACCACGGGGATCCTATACGTAGTCCCGTTCGCTATAAGCAGCGCCATTGCAACCCGTGTAGGTCACGCACTTGGAGGCGGCCAACCAACACGGGCGCAATGTACGACCGTGATTGGTTTGATACTCGCAGTAGCGTACGGTTTAGCAGCAGCTGTTTTTGTGACGGCGCTTAGGTCGGTTTGGGGAAAGATGTTCACGGACGAACCGGAGATCCTCGGGCTTATTTCGGCCGCGCTTCCGATCTTGGGGCTTTGCGAGATCGGAAACTCGCCGCAGACTGCCGCTTGCGGAGTCTTGACTGGGACGGCGAGGCCTAAAGATGGAGCACGCGTTAACCTATGCGCATTCTACATTGTGGGCTTGCCTGTGGCAGTTACGACCACGTTTGGGTTCAAGGTTGGGTTTCGTGGGCTATGGTTTGGACTGTTATCTGCGCAGATGACGTGTTTGGTAATGCTGCTTTATACGTTAATCCGTACGGACTGGACCCATCAAGTGAAGCGGGCAGAGGAACTTACCTCCGCTGCAGCCGATAAAAGTCATTCGGAAGAAGAAACCGTCCATGATGAAGTAGGAGACAATGATGATATTAGTAGCAATGATCTGGAGATTGGTTTACTGCAAAACACGAATTGAGTAATCTAGAAATATTTTAAAAATTATCAATCGACAATTTTTAACGGATTGTTAATGATATAGGAATTTTTTTTCTTTTTGACAAGCTAAAAATACCGAAGATAGATTTGTGACCGAACATGTAAACTAAGATTTTGGGGAAAAAAGAGTCACAGCCATTTAATTGGTTGAGAGTCTAGCTTTAACTAACATGTAAGCTAATTGGTTCTTTTAAGCTAATTAGTGTTTTCCCTAGGTTTCTTCACTCAGAAGTATGTAGTGAAGAACAGTTGTGACAAAGTTGGATGTTTTATCCAAATGGCTTTGAATAGTGTATACAACAAGCAACAAGCCCGATTCGGCCCAAAGGCCCCAAACCCAACCCCATTTAATCACGTGATAGCAGTTTAGAATTGACCGTGTATCTTATCTAGACCATCCTACTACATTTGACCAAACTTATTATGTTCATATGGATGCGACGACTGGATAACATAATTAGCGTAAGAAAAGAGTAGCTGATTTTTTTTGTTTGTTTGTTTGTTGAGTCCGTCTACTTTGAATCAATCGAATAAAAACAAATAGAAAATCTTTTTAATCTAATTATACTGAAAAAAAGAGATTAAAAATAAGAGTAAATTTCTCATGCCTTTTAAAATCTGAAAATGTTTGCGCCACTTCCACTTTTTTACTTATCTATCTATACATCAATCACAACTTGTATTAAATTTCATAAGTTTTGTTGATCAAAATTAATTGATAAAAAAATCTATATCGTTTCTAATACTAATTCTATGTCTATATCATTGTCATTGACATTTCAGACTTGGGGCTTCTCACCATGTTTCATGAAATATACTGCAATTTCTAACACGTATAGAGAGCTCCTTAATTAGCATGAGTAGTTACATCGTATGTATTTATACCAATGCACTTTTATGCTCACACGTGTTCTGCATACATATAATAATGTTCCATGTGGCATTTCGGTGCCTAATTATACAGTTTTTACCGAAAATAAAGGAAAATGCATATATCATGTAGCCTTTCAGGCACCGACATAATTATTTGAAAGAGTAAATAAGATTTTTCTGTTCTTAAACAGAAAAAAGATCACACTCACACATGAATGAAAAAAGATTATTTATGACGTGTTCTTTAGCCAAACAGAGGACATATAACACATCACCAGACCGAAAAAACACTAGATAGATTAAAGATAAAGCAACAACATATATTTGTAAAGGTCTGTTATTACGAGAAAATATGATCGTTCCATGTTTAATTAGTGTTTCTTGACACTGTATTTTAATTCTTACTAAACAAGAAAAAAGAAAAATTTAGATAACTCATAAAGTGAAAATTTACCTCATAAAAATCTAGTGACTCGTACTAATAAAAAACACATCAGACCTAGTTTTACCAAAATAAGACTAGAAATAGTACTATAGTAGTTATGGGACGATGGAGTGATGGTTTTGCAAAGCAAAGCCAATAATTGAACATTTCAGGCCGCAACCGACAATGACCCCATCCTACCCATGTGTCATGCATTCAGTATTTATTATGTATATCAGTCAAATTTTCACATAATGACGAACCATCTACATACAATCTATGCTGTGGCCTGTGGAGGGCAGGACAAACCGACATAATATTGTGTATATCCACTTGAAATTTATGAATAATAGCAAATACAATGATAAATACTAATTACTAAAATCGTATTAGTTATATATACGGAAAACGTTGTTTTCATCTTAAATCTAGAGATATCATAAAAGAAAAATCTCTATTTTGAAACATCTAACATCTCCAATTGTTTGTTCAAGCTAGTAGTCCAAATAAAGTCACGTCGGGGTTTCATGCTTTCGTTAAAGATTCAGCTAAATTTTGAATCGAAAGATTATCATCTACACATTCGTTATTTTCTAAAATAGTTTTTTATTTTTATTTTTTGTTAAATTGATAATATTTCAATGACATTCCTATTTTAATAGTCGTATATGGGTCTACATTAAATGAGTACAGCAACCAACTACCCCTTCCCTTCATAGTATATCGCATTCACATTACATAAAATATACTTTCCTTCTCTATATAAATTAAACACTCTCCCCTAACACTCTTCATCATCCATCACTACACACATCTCCTCTTGCAAACCAACAAAAAAAACCTAACTAAGAGATCAATATGACTGGAGTGATGAAGTTGGCATGCTTGGTCTTGGCCTGCATGATTGTGGCCGGTCCAATGACAGCGAACGCGGCTCTGAGTTGTGGCACCGTTAACGGCAACTTGGCAGGGTGCATTGGCTACTTGACCCAAGGTGCAGCCCTTACCCAAGGGTGTTGTAATGGCGTTACTAACCTAAAAAACATAGCTCGTACAACCCCAGACCGTCAGCAAGCTTGCCGTTGCCTTCAATCTGCCGCTAGAGCTGTTGGCCGTGGTCTCAACACTGGCCGTGCAGCTGGACTTCCTAGCGCATGCAAAGTCAATATTCCTTACAAAATCAGCACCAGCACTAACTGCAACACGTATGTTAATCTCTCACTCTAAGTATATATTATAAAGATTTTTTGTTGTTGTTAAATATTGGAAACTTATATTAACGGTGTTATCTTAATTTGTATGTGAATGCAGCGTGAGGTGATGAGCGACAGTCAAATGAAGCTACTAGCGGATGTTTCGAATACTATATAATCGATGAGATAATACTAAATAAAATGTTCGAATGGCTGTTTTTTCTATCGTGGCGTTTCTATTTTGTGGTCGTCTGTATTCTGTAATATGTTCGCAAACAACGTTATATGAATTTCAGTTTCAATTTAAGTTATTCTATACTCTTACTAACGCTAATTACTTTAGTTTAATCGATATGACAAACATGATTAATTTGCATTACCGGTGGGGAGTATCAAGTAGGGAAAAGGGCCTATTTCCACCCCTACTATTTAGACGGTTCCGTTTCCTACCCACACAACGAGTTGGTGCTTATTTCAACAGTTTTCGTAACAAATTTCAAATTAACTACCCATACTCTGTGTTTATAGTTGAATTCAACATTGACTCAAACAGACGTTAGTCAACCGTTAAAATAGTAGAGTCGGATGACACGGTGGCAATTCAAAAGAGGGAAAATGTCCTATTTCCACCCTTACTATTTGAACGGTTCCTTTTCCTACCCACACAACGAATTGGTGCCTATTTCAACAGTTTTTGGAACAAATTTCAAATTAAGCAGAATATCGAGCTATGGGAATGCTCACTGCTGAGCTCTTGTGGATCAAAGGTTTGTTGACGGATCTTGGAGTTGTGATGAGACGTCCAATGAGCGTGTTTTGTGATAGTCAAGCTGCGATCCATATTAGTGCTAATCCAGTATTCTATGAGGGGACTAGACTAAACATGTTGAGGTTGATTATCATTTTGTGTGGGATGAGATTGTTAAGGGTACTATTTCAACACAACATGTTTCGATTCATGCACAGCTGGTTGATATCTTCACCAAAGCTTTGGGACAAAAAGAGTTGAAAGATTTTCTCAGCAAGTTGGGTGTTCTTAATCTACACACTTCCAACTTTAGGGGGGGGGGGGGGGGGGGGTAATAGGGCCGTATCAAACCCTTGATATCGGACCTATGATTAGAATCGGATCAGGCCTTTGATTATGGGCTTTATTAGGTTTAACAATCTCATCTCGCACAAAATGACAATCAACCTCAACATGTTTAGTCCTCTCATGGAATACCGGATTAGCACTAATATGGATCGCAGCTTGACTATCACAAAACACGCTCATTGGATGTGTCATCACAACTCCAAGATCCGTCAACAAACCTTTGATCCACAAGAGCTCAGCACTGAGCATTCCCATAGCTCGATATTCTGCTTAATTTGAATTTTGTTCCAAAAACTGTTGAAATAGGCACCAATTCGTTGTGTGGGTAGAAAAAGGAACCGTTCAAATAGTAAGGGTGGAAATAGGACCTTTTCCCTCTTTTGAATTGCCACCGTGTCATCCGACTCTACTATTTTAACGGTTGACTAACGTCCGTTTGAGTCAATGTTGAATTCAACTATAAACATAGAGTATGGGTAATTAATTTGAAATTTGTTACGAAAACTGTTGAAATAAGCACCAACTCGTTGTGTGGGTAGGAAACGGAACCGTCCAAATAGTAGAGGTGGAAATAGGCCCTTTTCCCGTATCAAGTATAACAACATTTTGCATTTATTTAGTATCGGGAATCTCAAGACCAAAGTCCACACTAATATTTTGACTAGAGATAAAGTCAGATATCTACTAATACTATAGTTGAAATGTATATTCGAAAAAATGACTTACTAAATGTAAGTTATTTACATTATCAGTTATATATTATAATTAAAACAATAAAATGTCTAAGTTTTAAATCCTATATGAGTATATCATTATATCCAAACAATTTCCTCACAATTTTTTTAATCCTCTCCTGTTCATACAATCGAACACAATTTTTGAAACAAATTAACCTTTGCAATACGACATCGGATAGAAACTAATTCCCTATCAATTGGGAAGTGACATATAATTTTACAACAGGAAATAAAGTAGGAGTTTCTCCAAGTTTATATTTTCCGAATAAAGTATTCTCCAAGTTTGCAATATTTACTGGTGAATGATTAACCGTTTAAGACCAAGCATGACAACATAATAACACCGCTAGTTAACTCTTAACAACAGTTATTTACACTATAATTTTTTTTCTTTTTTTCTGAAAAAACAAAGTTGACTTATAGACGAACACGAGTGACGAGTGGAAAGAAAATTATGGACAGCATGATTCTTATTATGTAAAAGATACACACAAACTATGATGTTATGATAAACCAGACGATTAATTTAATTGCATTTCAACGTAAAATAACTAGTATTTTCTTACCCAGCACATCTATAGTTTGTAAAATAACTATTTATTACCGAGACTTAAATGGTTGTTTTTTTTTCTCTTTCTAAATACTAAGAAATTTTCGGTTTAGGTCTATATATCTCCTGAAGCGAGGGATCAAAGTAATTTATATGATCCCTTTTCAAATATCATTCGAACCGACGATCTTTAAATTTTGCTTGATAATCTTTACCGGATAAACTATTAACACTTGATCATAAGTGATTAGTTTTTATATAACAGAAATGTTGCAAAGTATTACAACAGTAGAACAATCCACTTACATAACTCGATAGGTTAATTAATAAGCATTACAATATTCATAATTTTCCATCTACTCAAAAGTAAACATTTTCATAATTTTTAAATCCTGCTTCAGATTTTGATACACAACCTTTTTCATTGGAAAATGTATATGTTGCTAAAAAAACCGGATCAAACGATCAAAAAGTTAAATTTTCGAAACACATAAATAAATAAAACAATAAAAACGCAAAAAAAAAATATCATTTTTCATAAGGTCCTTTTGTAAAACAGTTTTTATGTTAGATAGACCATATTTATTATCTACACACCAATAGTTTTGAAACAATTACAAAAAAAAACAATGAAAATGCAAAAAAGGAGTAGTTACTGTCACACTCTACAAATACGTTAATAAAATGTATTTTAGTAGAATTATCACTTTTCATACGATAAAGTTGAATTAACATGTCAAAACAAAATTGAGGAGTGGTCCTATACATAGTTAGGAATTAGGAACCTCAACATTAAATGAGTACAACAACCAACTACTCCTTCCCTCTATAATCTATCGCATTCACACCACGTAACAAATACTTTCCTACTCTATATAAACACACACTCCCCTAACTCTCTTCATCATCCATCACTTACACACATCTCCTCTTGCAAACCAACATAAAACACTAACTAAGAGATCAATATGGCTGGAGTGATGAAGTTGGCATGCTTGGTCTTGGCCTGCATGATTGTGGCCGGCCCAATCACATCAAACGCGGCTCTAAGCTGTGGCTCAGTTAACAGCAACTTGGCACCGTGCATTGGCTACGTGCTCCAAGGTGGTACCATTCCCGCAGGGTGCTGCTCCGGCGTTAGAAACCTCAACAACATAGCCAAGACGACCCCAGACCGTCAGCAAGCTTGCAATTGCATTCAAGGTGCCGCTAGAGCCCTAGGCTCTGGTCTCAACGCTGGCCGTGCTGCTGGAATTCCTAAGGCATGTGGAGTCAATATTCCTTACAAAATCAGCACCAGCACCAACTGCAAAACGTATGTTAATCTCTCTCTCACTCTCTTAGATATTGGAAACGTTATATTAACGGTGTTATGTTAATTTGTATGTGGTTGCAGCGTGAGGTGATGAGCAAGGTCAGAATGATGAAGCTACTAGCGGAAGTTTCGAATCCCTATTATATAATGGATGAGATTAATATTAAATAAGATGTTCGAATGGTTGTTTTTAGAGTTTTTAATTTCTTGTCTTTTTCTACTGTGATGTTCTTATTATGTGTTGTCTGTATTATGTTCGCAGACAACTTTATATAAAATTTCAGACTTGAAGTTTAAGTTATTCTATATTCTTACTAATTAAAGCTTTTGCATTAGTTTAATCGATATGAAAAATTAAATGATTAATACATTACAAATATCGAGTATGGCAACATTTTTTGTTTATTTAATAACGGAAAACTTAAACCAAAATCGAGGCTAATTTTCGGATTTGTGAGAAACTAAATACATTCGTCAATAATTGGGACGTGATGGACCAATATATATAACAGGAAATAAAGTAACTCCAAGTTTCTATTTCCACAAAAGGATATAATCTCCAAGTTTGTAGTAATATTTATAGTAGTTATTTACCACGTGTTTAGATAACCTAGAAAAAGATGGATTGCTTCCATAATTAGTGTTAAAAACTCTTAACTAAATTTATGAATAACCAAAGTTAAGCTATAGATGTACAATAGAACCTCTATAAATTAATACTCGATAAATTAATAAACACGATAAATTAATAAATTAATACACGTGTTGAAATAAAATTATTGGCGATGGAAAATTTGGTAGTACTATTTTTGTAGTGTTTGGTGTATCTGCATTTCGTCATTACCCTCCTTTACATGGAATTTTGTTAGATTCTGCTTTAAATGCCTTCACTTCTGCTTCTCCCAACCATAATATATTAATATTGATCGATGCTTGGTAGATAGATGGTATTATTGTCTCTCTTAATGCATTTAATTTTAAATATGTAAAATTTTCCGGAACTATACCAAAATCGACCATAAACTCCGTAACTATGGCTATAATTTTCATCTCAGTTTTTCAAAAAACAATACTTCCAATTTCTACAAAATGATACCCTTCTTCTGGCTACAAACAAAAAAATGTTGACTCAAGGTTTTAGAACAAAAGTCAGGTTTTTAGCTCAATAAAAGTTAACCGGATAAAGACGACCGGTTTAACTCGGTTTGGGATTTAGAAAGACTCTATATCGCTCAGAGGGTCTAACATAAACGCTTTCAACTTTCGAGATATTTTCTTAGGTAATATATTTCCAAATGTTACGACGTCGTTTTCAAAAACATTTTTTTTTTGTTGCGTTTAGTCAGTCCTTTGGAAATTCCTTGCTTCGTAGTTGAAGCATTGGTAACACACACACACAGCTTTTGAATCCCTAAGCTCAAAGTGTCTCTCATTCTCTAATCTCTTCTTCGCCGACGACTTCTCACCAAGGCGACGTTTTGATCAGACGATGAGTATCCCAATGGAGTTAATGTCCATCAGAAGCCCTAATTCGACCTTGCTCTACAGAGTTCATTCTCGTCCGCCGGTGACGCCACCACGTTCTCTCCTCCCTAGCCGACGGCGTTTCAATGCTCCTCGAGCTGTTGTTTCGTGTACGGGGCTACGTTTCGGCTTTAGCTCGCCTTATTGTCCAGAAGTCTTGCTTAATCGATCCGTCGTTGCGTTCGCTGCATCCCACGAGGATTTGGTGGGTAGTGTGGTTGTGCTCAAAACTTCTAATTTCTGTGTTGGGTATCTCGAAATTTAGATGCTTTATCTTGTAAATTGCTTGAGGCTCGAAAAGAATTTGACTTTGGTGAAATTTTCTTGATTAAGCAAATATAATCTGCCAATTTCAAGTGAGGTGCAATTTGGGGATTGAAATCGGCATTGTTTATGCATGTATATATGTTTTGACTAACTTTGGCTAACAAGTGATCTATGCTTAGCTAAAAAGACAGTGTTTTGATTATTACCCTTTATCTCCATTGTTTGAACAGGAAGAATCAGGTGTTGAGGTGGGGAAGGAGAAGAGTGATATAGATGTTGAAGATGATACATCTAAGGAAGCATGGAAACAAACTCTTGAGTCTTTTAAAGAGCAGGTATCAAAGATGCAGAGCGTGTCATCGGAGGCATACTCCGTTAACTCCCAGAAGGCGATGACGGTCTTGAAAGAAACTTCTGAACAACTTAGGATTCAAGCGGAAAAGGCGAAAGAAGAGTTGGGCACGAAAGCTAAAGTGGTTGGCGAAGAGGGTAGAGAATATATTTTGAAAGCAGCAGAAGAATCACCTTCAGATGTGAAAGAGATTGTTGAAGCATTTGCCTCCACTGAGGATCTGAAAGATGTGTCCCGAGCGAATGATTTTCATGTTGGAATACCCTATGGTAAATATGTTATACACCTTGTTCATCGTTTAGAAACTTTCATTGTGCGTAAGCTAGGAACGGGATAACAATGTTTGTATACTTTACAGGTCTACTCCTGCTTGTGGGTGGTTTTATTAACTTTATGGTATCGGGAAGCATTCCAGCCATCAGGTTTGGAGTCATTCTTGGTGGAGCTCTTTTTGCACTGAGCCTGGCAAGTCTAAAGTCTCATAGGAAAGGAGAGTCATCTACTAAGTTCTTAAAAGGACAGATGGGTTAGTAAAGTTTTTCAATCTGTATCAACTCTTTCACATATTATTCACAAAAGCTAGCCCCAATTACTGAAATCTAGTTTTAACTACGAGAATTTTGCTTTTATTAGGGACGGCTTTGATCCCCTCTGATATGCATATTAGTTAACCATGAAGGAATTAGTTAAAATTGCATTGTTGATTTGTGTAGAAATGAGGCTTGTTTCAAGAGATACTTGTTCAATCCTAAATTTTGATTTAGTCAACAAATTATATTTTCACTAATCTGATTTTTGAGGTTTTCCGACATTCTTGTTTTGAGATTAGATGTAAATCATGTTTAGTGTCACTCATCTGTTGTCGTCTTCTTATGTTCAACAGCTATAGTGGCAATCATATTTTTGAGAGAGTTGCGGTTGCTACTGTCTCAGGTAACTTTCACTGCTCAAAGTTGTATTCCAAATGATTCATATATATTTGAACAATGGCTTTGAATGAAACATAATTCACTCTCCGATTTCTCTTTCTACAGAAATCGACGTTCCTAGGTTTTTTTACCACTCTTACGAGGTACACACTCAAAACCATATCATTATATATTTCCAATTTCATAAAAGAAGATGATAGGAAGATGATTGCAAGAAGTGTTTAATCTAAACCCCAAAGACTGATATTGTAATGAAGATTTAGTCATACTTTTCGACCAAACTTCCTGCTAGATTCAAATGTTCCATGGGGAAAAGAAAACACTTGTCATATTCTAATGCTTAATTAGGATTCTTATTAGCTTAAATTGTGTTGGATTGCTGTTGCAGTGGTGGTGTGTTGGCGTTTTACTTGTACAAGATGGTAGGCAAGAGAGGAAAGGGTCAAAACTTAGAAGATGGAGGAGAAGATGAATCAGGCGATGGGGTTGTAACAAGTGAAGGATAGAGAAAAATGTTAAGAGAAAGATGTGTTGTCGTCAACATCAGCAGCATCATATATCCAAACTCTTTTGATGTCTCTTTTAGTTGTGTACAATTTTTGAGATCAATCATCTTCTAATTTCCGTTGTATTTTGATTTTGGATTAGTGAGTCATTTTACGATAATATCAACAAAAAAATAAAAACGAGAATTTTATTTTGTTTGTCAAAATCGTATCCCCTGATTCATCAAACTTGGCCCAATAAGGGCCTGTTGGGCCCAACTTGATGCAGTAATATCGGGATAAGGAGAAAGAGAGAAGCAAGCGTGAATCTAGTAGTATGCATAGACCTAGCCACGTGATCGAAACCGTTGATTCTGCAAGGTTTTAACTGAAACCGTTGATCGCTTTTGTCTCGGTCGTATAAAATAAATTAAGAAGACAGTTTCAGTCCGTAATCTCTATCTTCTTCGTCGCGACTCAGACGAGGTTCCGCCGATTATTCTTATCCTTCGTTATTCTTGAAAGATTTTGTTGGATTATTTTTGTTCTGAGTCAGCTTGGATCTGGCGGTGTTGGTGCTTTGTTGTTGGAGCTAGGGATTCGAGGGACGATGGAAAGTGATTTGATTAAATTGTTCGAGGGAGCTAAGAAGGCAGCCGATGCGGCGGCTCTCGACGGTGTTGCTTCCTCAGGTCCTGAGGTTTCTCAATGTCTCGATGCCCTTAAACAACTCAAGAAGTTTCCTGTCACATACGATACACTTGTTGCGACTCAGGTGCGTTTCTGATTATCTCGTAACCCTAAAAAAGATTGATTATTTTGCATTTAGGTTAAAGTTTATAGATTTCTCTTTTTGGTTGATACGTTGTTAGATTGGAGGTTTTTTTCTGGGTGTTGATTGCCTAATCTCGTTGCATTGACTTGTGTTGTTTACCTTAGATTCTTAATTAGGGTTGTTTGATTTCATCTGAAAAAGTTCACAGAAATTTTAAAAGATTAACTTTAAAAAGCTTGAGCTAACTGATTTGTATGAGACGCCCCGTTGAAATTATTGGAGCAAACCCAATTTGGACATTGAACTCAACTCGACATGCTAGGGTAAAGGGAAACAAACCCAATTTGGCACTTGATTTGTTTTACTTGAGGGTCATCAATGAATCAAGTCATGCGTTTTTTTTTTTGGTTGGGAAATTGTATTCAAGTGTTTCCTCTGGAATGTTGATAATGTGTGTATTGCTTTAGGGAAAGTTATATTCTTTTCTTGTTTCCAGGTGGGAAAAAAGCTGAGGTCTCTTGCTAAACACCCTATTGAGGAGATCAAAAGCGTAGCTACTGATTTGCTTGAGATATGGAAGAAAGTCGTCATTGAAGAGACAGCCAAGGCTAAGAAAACCGAAGGCACTAACGGTTGTAAAGCTGAAACTGTCAAAGAGGCTAAGGTGAATAAGATGGATGTTGATAAGCCTTCAAATCCCGCGCCTGTTAAAGTCCAGAAACTTCAGAGGGGTGATTCGGCTAAGAGTATCAAGGTTGAGAGAAAGGAACCAGACAATAAAGGCGTTACTGGTGTCAAGATAGAGAGAAAGGAACCAGACAACAAAGTCACTAATGGAACCAAGATAGATTATCGTGGTCAGGCTGTTAAGGATGAAAAGGTCTCAAAGGACAACCAATCAAGTATGAAAGCTCCAGCTAAGGCACCTAATGCTCCTCCAAAACTAACTGCAATGCTCAAATGCAATGATCCTGTGCGTGACAAAATCCGTGAGTTGCTTGTAGATGCGTTGTGCAGGGTTGCTGGAGAAGCTGATGACTATGAGAGAAAGTCAGTAAATGCTAGTGATCCACTCCGTGTTGCTGTCTCAGTGGAATCACTGATGTTTGAGAAATTGGGTCGCTCAACTGGAGCTCAGAAGCTTAAGTACAGATCTATTATGTTCAACCTGAGGGACGGTAACAACCCGGACTTAAGAAGGAGGGTTCTCACCGGGGAGATTTCACCTGAGAAACTCATCACGTTGTCGGCTGAAGAAATGGCAAGCGACAAGAGGAAACAAGAGAACAACCAGATCAAAGAGAAAGCTCTGTTTGATTGCGAGCGTGGTCTTGCAGCAAAAGCATCTACCGACCAGTTCAAGTGCGGGCGGTGTGGTCAGCGCAAATGCACCTACTATCAGATGCAAACAAGAAGTGCTGATGAGCCAATGACGACTTATGTTACATGTGTTAACTGTGACAACCACTGGAAGTTCTGTTAAGGAGATCTCTGTGTCTTTCTATTTCATGAGACCATGTTAGGCTCTGATTGATTAATCAGGAGCTTCATGTCCATTTGCCATCATTCCGTGAATGTTCCGGCTCCGATGTTTGTTTTAAGGATATCATTCAATGTCTTAGAGATTAGTAAGTAGGGGTATTTACTAATTTAGGTGTTTGTAGCTCTTATTTCTTTTGCTTCTCTTCTTCCAAACTGTCAACTCAACTTTCTTGCAGATTTTACCAAGTTTTGAAGTTTATTTAGTTTCAGAATTATGTTTGTTTGTCTTCCATTTTTTATCATATTGAAAGACTGAACCTTCACAGTCTTCTGTATGTGATATTGATCGAAAACTATCTTTAACTGAAACTGATTCTGATCCGATTCCACTGCAAAGTAAGAAGACTGTTGAAATCAGAGAATATTAGGGAATAGACAAGTCTATATTTCATTGCATTAGACCATTTTCGCATTGTGATCTTGAAAATTTATTTGAGCAAGTAATGTTTTTTGTTTCATTTTCTCTATCAGATACAGCCGAAGATATATGTCAAGATGTATGGCAAACAATGGATGCATGACTTCTAGCGGAATATGTCCCATTCGTCATCATCCAAATCTCTCTTCTTTCGGTTGGATCTATTGTTTCTCCTTCGCCGTCTCCTATCAGATGAACTTTCAAGCTCTTCAACATCAGAGTATTCACTATCAAACTGACCATCCCAGAGTCCCTGTATCCAAAAGTCTTTTTTCAATAAGCGATTTAGGACTACATGAAAATCTCAAGGCATGCCATTACTAGACATATATACATACCTTAGTCAACCTCTGTTTTCTAGAAGCTGCATCTTCGTGAACCACAACTATATCTTGTAAGACCTCGATTATGTCCTTGACATCTAACCTGTATGTACTCACCTGTATTATCACATACCAGGTAACTAATCATAACATTGAGCTATTCCTAGATTGAATGCTTGTGCTTTGTAGCTCACAAAAACCAATTCCATTTTATTTAGAAAAAAGGGAATCAAGTTACCCACCAGGCTTGATGGTATGATAGTTACCCCGAAAGAATCAAGCTCAAGCGATTCAACTATTCCCGAGTTAATGTTGATCGAGTAACCTCGAACCTATAACAAATCATGTGCTTTCAGCTAATAGCAAGATATAAGCAAAGAGACAGATGTAATTACTGAAGAAGATCTTATTATCACCTTTCCAATGTTTCTCCTTCCTGGTGTCACTACTCTGTAACCCACCTAAACAAAAGATGAGAATGCAATTATAGACTTGCTTAAAGGTTGGTGATTCACAAAACAACGCACAAAGAGACTATTTATATACCAGTGTTTCAAGTCCAACCATCTTGAATTCAGTATCCAATACAGTCTCATCATTTACAAGCACAACATCACCCACCTACAGAGATCTTAATATAAACTAAGATGTAAGTAAACACATTTCCAGATGAAACCACTTTCAAGGTAGAAGAAACCAAACGTATTAGTACCCGGACAATGTCTTTGAGCAGAAATCTCTCAGATTCTCCAGATAGTAAGCTTGGTTTGACATCAACCACCAAAACCAACCACTGAAAACTTGACAATCAAAATTTCAGAATGATGGAGCTCATTGCACTTAAACAGTCACAAATTTGGTAAAAGAGCAGACTTTAAACTCGTTAGTAAAGAAAGGTGATTGATTGAAGAAGAACTTACAGAAATAGTGTCAACCCAAAGCTGAGAGATAAATCCTAAACTCAGAGCTGATTCTATACTAATAACTTGCTTAGCAACAAGATTCGATCTTGTCATCGTCTGTTTGAATCCTTTAGAGCCAGTGTTGATCAAATCATTATCACCTACTAGTCGAATCAAATCACTTTCTCCAGGTAACTCTGCACTATCACTTTCCACTGTTTGATGCACTACATCTTCTTCATTAGGTAGTGATGATGAACTCAAACAAAAGACGATTCTTTTGCTCGATTGCCCGAGAAAGGCAGAGTTATTCGAATCAAAATAACACTGAGCTCCTCTTGATAAAGTATCAATTTGATGGATTGAGACGTCGTGACTCCTCCAAGAGCAATTTAAGATCGAATGTTGAATCCGACTGAGCCTCCATCTACAATTCTCTGAATTGGGTTTCACCGGTCGAGCATTGAGGACGGGAAGAGAGAAGAAGAAGAAGGAAGATGAGCAATTGCACATATCTAAAGAACCCTTCGAATTCAACTCTACGTGGACAAGAGAAAGATGGTTTTTTTTTTTCCTTCTAAAGTCTCATTAAATTGAGAGAAAGAACCAAAAAAAAAGAGGAGTCTCTTTTACAATTGTTGGCTGGTAATAAGACGTCCGACTAAAAGAAGGACTAAACGTTTCCCGTTCGGCGACCTCTTTCACCATCGCAAAGTGAGCTTACGAATCACGCATTTCTCTTTTTCGCCTACCAGTTTGATTTCTTGTTATTCCTCAAATCATTCAGATCTGGCTTCGTTATCATCGATTTTGCTAGTTTGGATGAGATAAAGTTTGGATTTTTTGTGGTTTTGTTTTGAATCCAAAACTGATACGTTTGGAAGCTGGATCAGGTAGGTATGGAAGACGACAAGAAGAAGAAGAGAAACAAGAAAAAGAAGAATAAGCAGAATAATAAACGTGTTGACGATGCTATAGCTTCCGGTGCAACGACCTCCGCTGATGAAAATCATATCGGAGATGGTGACGTTCCTCAAATTAGCGGAGGTCCAGATGTCGATGAGTCGCAATCATCTCATCAGATCAATGTCGTCGCAACTGTGAGTTTATTATATCTAAAGATCGATTGGAACATTGGATTGATTGATTCTCTTCGTTGATGATAGGACATTGGGGTAAATTTGATTCATTTCTTAGTTTATATGTCAATGCAGTAGGATTTTGTTGACATATGTATGCTACATTGCATGATTTGATTGAATGAAATTTTGATTCATCTGCTGGAACGGATCCTTTTACTATGTGTGTGTTTACTTTATTGTAACTCATGTGTAGAGAGTTCATTTGGTTTGTGTAGAGATGGTTGACAAAAATTATGGGATAGTGTATGAGCCGTCGTTGTCTGATACTCTTAATTCTTCTTGTTTCAAGCAGGAAGATGATTCTGGTGTTGAGAACAAGTCTCAGGTATGTACATTCGTTTTTTTGGTGTATTGAAATGAAAGTCAAATTTTGCATATCTATCTACATAAATTGGTTGATCAAGTTTTAGTTAACAGTGGTATCTGTCATTATTCTCCTGAGTGAATATCGACAGTTTGTTTCCTTGTTACTATGAAGAGTCTCTTGTTTCTGTCTTTTCATTTGGATTCCAATACTAGTTTGTAATGCTGTTGTAGGCTATGTTGCACGGGGACGGGGATTTTCAGCCGTCTCACGTCCCAGTTTCGTTTCGGGGACGGGTACTTGCTGGGGACAGCCTAAAAACGTTTCCCACACGTTTCAGAGATGTTAGGGACGCCAGCAAAAAATGGAAACGTGATGGAACAGATATAGGGACGTTTCCGACGCGTTTTGGGAATAAATTAAGTGTCCCTAATTTTAAATAAGCAATTTTATCAATTTTCCTAAAGAAAACTCAATCATAAAAGGAATTAAAAGACATGTTCTAGGGTTTTTTAATTAAAAGAGTCATTAGATTTAGCACGACTTCTCAACTTCTCAACTTCTCAACTTCTCAACTTCTCAACTTCTCAACTTCTCAACTTTTGAATTAAAAGCCTTCTGCCGTTCTCACTAGATGATCCGGATTTTGAAAATCAATTCCTCAACACTTAGCTTTTTTTTATGTTATTTAAGATATTAAATCAAATTGTTTTTGTACTTTGAGACTTATATTTATAATTTAAGGGTATTTCTTTATATGTTTTTATATATATAAGTAATATATATATATATATATATGTATATATATATATATATATTGAAGTACCCAAGCCGTCCCCGTAGCTATGAATTTTTATTTTGCCGTTTTCCGTCCCCGTTTCCGTCCCCGTTTCTTGTTCCCGTACCCGTTTCAGTGCAACATAGGTTGTAGGCGCTGCTGGAAGAAACAATCAAACAGTTACGTGAGGAAAATGGTTCCTACCTTCAGAAAGAGGTGATATTCTCTTCTCAAACATTTTTTTATCATAGAGATAATCTCTCCACCTAGTCATGATTTCTTTCCACAGTTGAATAGTAAAGAATGAATTGCCATGTCTTGATAGGCTGGTTTTGAAGAAAATGTTAGACGCTTGGAAACCGAGAAAGAAGCTCACATTCAGAAAGAGGCTAGTGAAGATTAGATTAAAGCCTTTTTCATTACTTTGCTGCTTCCTTCTTCATCTGCAATCTGAAAAATCAAAATAATATGGTGTTTCACAGGCATTGTTAGAAGAAAGGCTTGTGCATTTGAAAACAGAGAATGAAGCTCACATACAAAATGAGGTTGGTGAAGAAATAACATAAATAATGAGGCCGTATCCATAACTTTACTATTTTGCTGCATTATCTGCAAGCTAAAGGTCAAAATAACATGATGTATTACAGGCACTGTTAGAAGAAAAGCTCTTGCATTTGAGAACAGAGAATGAAGCTCACACACAAAATGAGGTTAGTGAAGAAATAGCATAAAGCCCTATCCCTAACTTTACTATTTTGCTGCATTATCTGCAAGCTGAAGGTCAAAATTACATGATGTATTACAGGCATTGTTAGAAGAAAAGCTCTTGCATTTGAGAACAGAGAATGAAGCTCACATACAAAATGAGGTTTGTGAAGAAATAGCATAAAGCCATACCCCTAACTTTACTATTTTGCTGCATTATCTGCAAGCTAATGGTCAAAATTATATGGTGTTTCACAGGCACGGTTGGAAGAAATGCTCTTACATTTGAGAACTGAAAATGAAGCTCACAAACAAAACGAAGTTAGTGAAGAAAATTGCATAAAGCCGTATCCATAGCTTTCTTATATTTTTAGGATCATCTGCAAGTTGGAGGTCAAAATAACATTGTATTTATGCAGGAAAAGTTGGAGGAAAGACTTGTGCAGTATAAAAACAAGAACGACATGCTTCTTCGCGAAATGGTGAGAGATCTTCAACAATGGGATCATTTTTTTAGTACTACAGTTTCTCCTTTGTGTGATCATATGAACGTTCCTTTTATCTGTTCAACTTGGTTTGTTTCCTAATTATCTCCCCAGTATGTAGATTAGGACCTACTACCGGTATTTAGCATTCTAGACTAGGACTTGGTCTTAGCTTACGTGAAAGAAAGTCATGTTGTCAGGACATATCAGATCGCTATAGATGTTACATTACATTTCATATGCCTGAAGATGCTGTGTAGTTCTGACATTTATAGAAATTTGACAGTCTAGTACAGAAGCCCAGATGAGACAATTGCTAGATGAAAGATCTACCTTCACTCAGAAAGAGGTATGTCTCCATTCATTGGAGATAAGAGCTCAATCTTCTTCTGTTATAATGCATTCTCGTTGAATAATCTTTGTAAAAATTGCATGATTTCAATCAGGCGAGTCTAGAAAAGAAAGTTCAACAACTTCAACATGATGAAGAATCCTTGGTGGCTGAGGAGGTAACTCTATCTTACACTATAAAAATCTTGGTACTCATTTTAAGTTGAGTCTCCTAAGAGTTAGAATAAGATGGGCATGTTTTACTCATCATACACATTTAATCCTGCAGAAGTCATCCAGAGAAATGATATCTAGCCTGAACAATGAAATTGCAAGGCTACGAGCACAGGTATGTGTCCATTAAACTTAATTGGTTTTCTCATTTCCAAGGATAGTTTACGAAATTGCATCTGAACACGTCACTGTAGCCTCCTAAGTGAATGTTTAGTGATTTACTCGTGTAAAACAGGAAGCTACTACGCATAATACTGCATAGATTTAGTCTGATATGAAGATTAAAACAAAGTTTGGCAGGTTACGGAGTTGGAAGAATCTAAGAGTAATCTTCTAGAGCAGAATCACAGTCTTAAGGAAACTGTATCCAGTCTTCAAGTCCAGCATGAAAACCATGATAGTAACGCAAAGGTTAGACTTTAAAATTTGAATACTTCCAATATGCAAGAACCTCAGAAATGCATGAAACGGTTTGTGATGGTTGATATATTATAGGGTGCTTCTGAGGAAGAATTAAACTCTCAGATTGAAGCAGCTTGTACTCTAGTTGAAAAGCTTATCACTGAAAATGCTGAACTTGTTGAAAAGGTAAGGTGTACTACTATAGATCTTACTGAGTTACTTTGCTGTGGGCTGATTGAAAATCTCACTGGTTACTACTACTACATTATCAGGTGAACGAGTTGTGTATAAAGCTAAACCAATCGCAGCATGCTTCCCCTGAGGGCCTAGCAATTGAAGTAGAGAAGTCTGAATCCTTAGAAGAAATACCCATACACGACGAGTTGATTAGAATTGATAACTCTAGGGACATGGATACTTCATCAATAAAGAGAAACTTTTCAGAAGGCGAAATAGAAGAAACGGTGCCGCTCTCTCTGAACGCGAATGGGGAAGTAGACGTGGAATCACAGGTTGTAGTAGCTGGAGAAGACGAAGTAAGTGCTGGTGTGCCTCTGGCGGACGCTCCACTTATCGGTGCTCCCTTCAGGCTCGTCTCGTTTGTAGCAAGATACGTGAGTGGTGCAGATTTGGCGGCAAAGAAATAGTTTTTTGGTAAAACTCATCAATACATTGGAGGCAGAGAAGATGCATCATCAAATCTATCTGTCTCCCTCTCTCTTTTATAATCTGAAGGGACCTTACATAGATACACTGAGAATCATTGATTAGCTTTGCACAACATTTACAGTACACAAATGTTTATTGTAATTTTTTTGATAGGATAACGAATTGATGATGATGATGTTGATTACTGTTGTTTTGTTCTCCTTTTTCAGAAAATCTTGAAAGTTGAAACATAAATCTTAAGCATTTGAGCAAAGACAAGACTGATGTATGCAACAAACTCAATGATCTTAAATAACTACGACTGTCCAATCTTCGGTAAATTCCAACTCTTCAGTACTAGTCAATAGCTAGGTGCGAGAGATGTATATGCAAAGGAAATAAGCTGCTCCAGATTATTTTTCTTCAAAGTAGGACCGTAAAAGTGAAGCCATGGAAAACATAACATCGTTAAAAGCCTAACTACATTCACAAGCCCACGATTGGCCCAGCTTCATTTAGGGTTTTTGTGTATTTCAATTTGCGTGTGTTGGTGTATACTCTCATTTCCCTTTGCCGCATGATATCAGAGAAAGAAAAAACAAAACCATTGTTGCAATTTGAAACAATGACGACGATCTCTAATCTCCCGACGGTTTTGATAGAGGAGATTTTTGTTAGGGTTCCTTTGAAATCTTTGAGAGCAGTGAGATTAACTTGCAGAAGTTGGAACACTCTATCCAAAAGTAGGAGCTTTAGGAAGTTGTACATTAGTAAAACAGCAACAAGAGAAGAGGAGTCCATGATGATCGCTATGATGAATTTCGATCTTTATTTAACGAGGGTCGTAGTTGACGACGTTGATCCATCTAAAGCGTTTAAAAAAAAAAGAAGAAAAAGAAAGAAAAAAGAATCTATAGCGTTTAAACGTAAACCTAGTTTCCTTGATGAACAAGTCAAGATATCTCAAGTCTTTCACTGTGAGGGTTTATTGTTATGCATCTTGAAAGAAGACGATACAAGGGTTGTCGTTTGGAATTCGTACCTCGGACAAACGAGGTGGATCCAACTCAGATATTCTCACCGTCCACACGGAGATGACAGGTTCGTTTACGCTCTCGGATACAAGGATAAGGAATCTTGTGGTAGCTTTAAATTATTGAGGTTTATAGATTATTTCCAAGGAGCACCCAAAAAGCAATTTTTTTGGTATGAAATTTATGATTTTGACTCTGATTCATGGACAACTCTTGATGTCACTCCACACTGGTGTATAAGTTGTGGTGACCGTGGTGTTTCTCTCAACGGAAACACTTACTGGTGTGCTAAAGAAAGGAACGCAGAAGACGATATTGTCGATCACATCATATGTTTTGATTTTACAAGAGAGAGATTTGGGCCGCTTTTGCCTTTGCCGTCTAGCGTTATAGATCATGAATATGAAATTGTAACTTTATCTTGTGTTAAAGAAGAGAAGATTGCAGCTTTATTTCAGCATTACGAATCAGATTGGAATGAGTTTGATATATGGATTACGACTAAGATTGATGCTGAAATGGTGTCGTGGAGCATGTTCTTGAGAATGGAAACGGGACCTAGGATACAGGTTCCACATATATGTGACGGTTTCTTCATTGATGAGGAGAAGAAATTCGCCATGGGTTTTGAAGAAGACTTCGACCGCAAAACATTTATCATCATTGGAGAGGCTGGATACGTAAAAAAAATGGATATCGGAGTACATGTAGACAGAAAATGTCGGCCAAGTATGTGTTCTTATGTTCCAAGTTTGGTCCAAATCAAGAAACCTTCACGAGGCAAAAGGAAAAGACAAAGCAGCTTAGAAAAGCGTCTATTTGATCAAAACATGTTGAGACTTGAAGCATTTAAAAAGCCAGACTACTTCTAGAAGCAATTCAGGAGGAGGTAAAAGTGAAAGGGATGACTTTGCTTCAATATATAATTTATTATGTTACAAAACTTCTATTTATTTTCTCAATTACTTTATTTTTCGCATGTACGTCAATGGATTTTTGAACTAGACAATGTTTAATAATCTTTTGATTTTTTACAGTTTGAAGTTTGAACTCCAAATCTATTTCTAAAATATGAAAAATTTAAAGTTTATTAATTATGAATCTATAATTAGATATGTCTAATATATATTATTTGATTTTATTTAAATATTTAACTCGTCTAAAACACCACGATTTAGATGTCTAAGAGTTGGGTTGCCGCCCCTCCAACATCGAACAAATATAAAGCACAAAGCATTTTCTTAAACATTGTCTCACACAATAATTTTTTTTTTTTGTAAAGATATAGAAATAGAAAGTGTTGCGAGTGGCATTTAAATCTATGAAAATTCAAAGGGACAGGAGAACATGAAAAAAAAATCTAAAGGAGTGTTAATGAGATGAGCTAATTGGTTAGTGTGCTTAATGGGAATGTTTTAGACTTTTAGCTGAAGTATTCTTTTTAAGTTTTTAATGATTAAAGCAAAGCAACTCTTAACGGAATTGCCACTTTAGTATCGTTGACAACTCTTAGTTTCCATTAGACTAGTACGTACGTGTCATCCACTTTTCTGTTGACAAAAACTAATAACAATCCCATTCCTTGTCAGCATCCAATCCATAAACGTAGTTGGTCGGTCCATTTTTTGTTGGTTTGACAAATTTGTGTCCAATCCCATTAAGTATTTCTTGATAATTAGCAATAAGGCCCTCCTAGCTAATTAAACTATACGATTATCTTTTTGTTTTGTCTACTATATAACATGTATTGTGGGAGACACTTACACATGTAACTAGTTGAACCCAAACTAGATGATCATAAAAAAGTAGCATCGCTCTCGAGCGAAACCCTAAAACTTGGGTAGAATTGTACCATGGAAATTGCTTTTAAGTGGGTTTATCATAAATATAGAAATTTATAATATATGTGAGAAAAAAACTAGTGAGATCATCCACTTAGTGTTTATATACTAAGTAAAAGATATCATTTGCGCCACTTAGTAAATGCCAATGATGTATTATTAGAGATAGTAGAGGATTATACATGAATGTGTTTGGAATACAAATAGTGGCGATAGATGTGTGTTAGTGAATATGTTCGGTGCTGGTTTTGACCCCATTTCATGAATTTTTATATATATAATACTTTTGCTTACCTCATAATTATTAAGTTAAATGGTCGTAAAAATGGTGCTACTTAGTGGATGAAACCTCATCCAGAATCTTCTACCGAACCAAAACTCTTTAAATACTAATCTATAACACGACTACATTACTAATTAAGCTGATCCACCACCACATCATAGGTATCTTACTCTGATCTTCACTTTTCAAGCATGTCACTACATTTGTACATTCTCTTCCTTAGTCTTCTTGGTATCACCATTGACTCAATACAACCAAACTCTCTTTCTCCATCTCTCTCTTTGTGTCAACTTCTTTTCTTTCGTTTATGTTCTTTGGCTTTGGTTCTGTTTTGAAATAATCTAATAAAACAAAGTGTTAGGCAATGGTGTAAATGAAAGAAAAGGTTTCATTTTGTTTTCTTAAGTTTTTTTGCTCTTTGCACAAAAAGAAAACAAACAAAATTTGCTTACTCTCTAATCATGATATTTACCTATCTTTTGCATGAAACCCTCACGGGTAGCTAGAGAAAGCAGAAGAATCAAGAGCAATGATGGAAAAGTGTAGGAGAGAGACGTTGCTTCTCATTTTCCTAACAATATCATCAGTGGCAAGCGGCACAACAAGTCCATGGATTCCGATGGATGGAAATTATGGTGCTAGCTATTGCTTAAGCTGGAGACTAGCAGTAGAGACCAACAATGTACGTGCGTGGCGCATTGTTCCTCTGCAGTGTCTGCGTTACGTTGAGGTATATATGCTTGCTGGTCAGTATGACAGAGACGTCCAGTTGACTGTGGACCAAATCAAGGTTTATCTCAATGAGATCGTCCTTCCTGGTGATGGCATGGACGCATGGGTCTTGGATGTTGATGATACTTGCTTCTCAAACGTCTTTTACTATCGCCTTAAGAGATATGGGTACGTACACCGGTACACACTTGTTTCTTCTTACTAAAACTAATTTTAACATGTTCTGCTTTTTGGATACCAAAAATTAGAAAATTGTGGCTAATGATGTGTTAACATGTAGATGTGACCCTTATGATCCAACCGGATTTAGAACATGGGCGATGAAAGGAGAGTCTCCAGCAATACAACCTGTTCTTGAATTGTTCAATAAACTGATAGAAACAGGCTTCAAAGTATTCCTAGTAACCGGAAGAGACGAAGAGACCCTTCGCCAAGCAACACTAGAGAATTTGCATAACCAAGGATTCACTGGTTATGAAAGGTTGATTATGAGGTAAAAGGTCGAAGCATACTTATTTTAAAGTCTTTTTCCATGAAAAAGTCACAGTCAATATGTACCATCTACTTGCAGGACAGCAGATAGCAAAAGACAAAGCGCAATAACATACAAAACAAGAATCAGAAAGGAAATGATGGAAGAAGGTTACAGGATATGGGGAAATGTAGGCGACCAATGGAGTGACTTACAAGGAGAATATTCAGGGGATCGTACCTTCAAGATTCCTAATCCTATGTACTTCGTTCCCTAATCAAGAATTTTACTATAACCAATCAAATACATGTACAACATACACAAAGGGTATGTCTCAACTTAAGTTCTGTGTTAAGACATTAGTTTCTCCTAATGCCATCAAAACAAGCCCTTACAAATTCAAGAGATCAGCTCATAAAACCCCAAAATGGATAAAAGTGACTATCACCAAAGTATCTCACATATATCCATTGGGGTAGGCAAAAAAAGTAGAATATGAATAGAATGGTTTAAAGAAGAAAATAAACCAAACTTATACATAAAAGTATCAAAAATCAAACGATAAGAATCAATCCAATAAATGTGTTTTTTCGTTTATGTTTTTACAATAAGAATTTCAGTCCACGCCCTTTAGCCTTTACCCTCACAAGGCACCAACATCTTTTTCTCCCTATATATTATATATATCTCATACCTTTTTTTTCCTTAATTTTTTTTTTTTTTTTGCATGAATCTTTTTTAAATAATCTGTAACGAATTTCTGATGAGGAAAAAAAACTAAAAATAAAAAATAAAGAAGAAGAAAAACGAAAGCCACAGGGTCGCTCACCCGAGAGAGACCAGGGCAGGCCTTGACCAGACCACCACCATTGCAGCCACTACTGGAGAAACCAGATATACACATGTGCGTCTGTGTAATGCATGCAGACATGTACTTTTGGTTGAAGAAACCATTATAAGGCTTAAAGGAGCGTTTTGGGCGAGACAAACAAAACGCTGCTTAGCATCCTGTTTTCGGGCGTTTACCACTTGAATTGAAAGGCGAAACGCTTCCACCGCCACTTGGCCCCGGACTCTCTTCCCTCAGGTTGTTCGAGTTTAGCAATGCCAGTTCCCGCAGCTGCTGTCTCTTTATGAAATCTTGCGATTCGTCCTTCATTATTACAAACAAAGAAAAAATGTTATGTTACTGAGATACAAATTTCATAATATGCTTTTGCGTTTGATAACAAAGAATATATCAAAGACATAACAATGAAGTGTTTGAAAAAATGATGGCTTATTTTTGGCGTTTGGGATTACACCAATTGCTACTTTGACTGGTGAAGTGGTCACACATGTCTGCATAATTGAACACTAGCCACAAACTCCAAAAAATGGTACTGAAATATGAACGCTAAGACAAAGAATAGAGGCCCTACAGGTAATAACTATAGAGTCTCAATGGGGCAAAACAGCTACGGAAGAACCTAAAATAAAAACGTGTCCTTTCAATTTAATACCCTCCAAGGAAGACGAGACTATTCTCTTAATGCCTTGTACTGATATCAAAACATATCACAGAAGAAATAATTGAAAGTAGTGGAGGAGGAAAATGTGTGTTACCACAGGCTTTAGTAACTCTTCTATAATTTCTTGAGCTTGTCGCAGACGTATCTCCACGATACTTGCTGGAAGATCTGCCTCTATTAAGATGTGGAGTTGCTCATTCAGGTGTTCATAGCCCGGTCTTCCCCTTAGTTTATCTTCCTACATTGTATCATCCAAAAATACAATCATACGACATGTTATTCAGTACTCTTTTAATTACCAGAACATCAGTTCGGAGCCAACCAGTAAGTTAAACTGTGAAAGTGTTTGACAAAGTCCCAAATGGTTCATGGATCTCACCTTTTCGGGATCCTTGATTGACCCTTTCCCTCTGATGAATACACGGCAACCCGTGGTAGCTTCAACGCGTTTTAACGAGTTGCCTCTAGGGCCAAGAAGTCGTCCAACAAAATTGAACTGATAAAACAGAGGAAATAAGAATGGAAAGTTGAGAAATATTATCATCAATTATGGAGCAAATGATGAGCAAACACATCAAGATGACTAGAAAACCTGAGTACTCACATTAGGATAGTTATCTACAGGAATCTCCAGACGCAATATCCTTTTGACGGTGTATGAACTGGGGCTTCCAGGAGCACCTTGCCAATCCATTGTCATTCCAGGTGTTCCACTAAGTCTCTGCAAGAAACTGAGTGTTTTAGCTCATCTCATCATGCTTAGCAGAAGCACAGCTATTATCAATCAGCATTGCGAAAGACAGAAGCTAATAATTGATTCTAGTACTAAAGTAGCATAAAAACTAAGAACCCTACACAACATTAGAACATGGCATAAAACAGATCACCAACAATACAACTGTGTCACTGAAGAAGTCAGGCAAATTGAATACTTAGTGTTATCAAAGAAGATGCTTGGTAGATGATGATGATACCTCCTGAGAGAGGCCGTTCCAGCCACCTAACCCGGTATTAGAGACATTAGACATAAGATTAGAAGAAGCCATAGGGCTGGGACTTCTGTGTCGAAGTCTATCAAAATCACCAAATCCTTGGTTAGACATCATTCCAGAGACCCTGAACATCTCTGCACATATAGAAAGATTCATATTATGCAATGGACACTAAGAGGCTAGTACTAAAGTAAGTAATGCTGGATTCAATTAGAAAAATTGAAGAAATCAAATCAATGAACTTGATCTCACTCTCTTGGACTAATTGAATTAACTAAAATTGAACATTTTGTAAGAAAATTGGCTGAGAAAAAAGAAAGAAAATTTAAGGACTTAAAGTCATCCCAATCTGGTGAAAACAGAAAGGGTATATACACACACTTTGACAGAGAAAACTTTAGATCCGAATCAGAATCAAAATCTCAAAAAGGACGAACCTTGATTCAATAGACGGCTACATATAGGTAGGACCTGCATAAAAGGAGTAAGCTTTTGATGTTCAGCGAGAAGCTCCGTCAAGTACTGAGAACTGTCCAAGCAAGAAACGAAAGAAACAGATCGGTTTTCACATAAAACCAAACAAAGAGTGTCTCGAAACCATCAGAGGATTGGAACAAAGAAACAAACCTGTCGATCTCAGGAGTGCTTCTAATCTGAGGAGAAGCAGCTCGAGCAGGAGAGAAGTAAGAGGAGTTGTTGTATAAACCAGACATGGGTTCTTGTGCTTTCTTCTTCTCTAGCCCAAACCAAGATTGTTGGGAAAAGGGTTTTGATGGAATCGCAGAACCAAAAAAGTAGAGAGAGAGAAAGAGAAAGACCAAAGCCAGCAGACACCAAATGTGAATTCTGCAGGAAAGACGCCAGACTTTTTTTTTCTTTCTTATTATTATTTTTTTCTTCTCACTGAAAAATCTCTTTTTTTGTTGCTTTAATTAATTTTCTTTACATCATTATGGAAAACAAAGTTGAGATTTTTAATTTAACTTCAGGCAGAAAATATCAGCTAAAAGTTTAAAGTGACAGAGTGGATCTCTCTGTTACAAAGGTTGAAAAATTTAGTGATTATTTTTTGGTGATAATTCAACCGTCACCGTTTGATTCTGTATATGAATAAATAAATTAATAAAATGAAAGAGAAACTTTGGGGTGTGTGCGTGACTACGTAGACCGTATCTTTTAACGCCGCTAAAAGTGTACACGTGTCAACCATGCAATCGCTCGTTAGAGCTGTCTTTTTGGCCTCGACATTTTTCTTAATAATTAACAATAAATGTGTTTCTGCAATTTGTTCTAGTTTTTGTTGTATGGTGGTGATGATGATTTGAGTGGCCTTTGCATGATCAAGACTCTAATGTAACGCACAATAAAACAAAGTAATTTACTAATTTCGTATTTTTGAAGAAAAACAAATGGATAAAATGGTGTTTTAATAACTTTATTGACCCTAGTAAATCAGTAACGGTTGTTCACAATCAACTTTAAAGTCTTTAACCCATTTTTTGGCTACCATTTTATTTCCTTAGTCAATGCATATTATTTTAGTTTTCTTTTTCATTATTCTAATTTTCTTTTCTTTTTTGGTGGACCAATACTATTTTTTTTATATAATAAACAATAATGCCATTGTTTAATTTCCACATGAAACATACAATTTTGTTTCTAATCTTGTTTTTTCCTTTTTACTTTTATCTATTTCCATTACAGCTACTGTATTTTCTCTCACCCATTCTAAATTTTAGAATCCCTTAAATGTATGACGATTATAAATGTATTACATAGAATTTCTTATGATGATTTTATGACTTTGTGAAATTGCATGACTTGCACAATCATAGACTTAGAATTGTTGATAAAGTAATTGCTTTTTAGGTGTTTGAATCCTTATACCTAAATTAGCATAGATCTTCGATCTCATGGTACGTTTGTTTGTTTGTTTTTTGTTTTTTATTTTGTATTTTGTATTTTCTAGTGTTTAAGCAGTACTATAAAGGTTTCATCATATGCTTCACCCTAATGATCGATAAACACGTTTCAGTTCTTCACTTCCAAATTCATTCTGTCATCACTTATATCCATAGACGACTTTAGATAGAAGCATAACAAACATGGCTCTTTGGACTTTAATATGGTTGCATCAAAGAAGTCATATGCATAGATTCCACTAAACATTCACCATGAATACTAATGAAATCTATAAACCCCACATTGAACTTCTCTAAACATAATAATCAACCAAAAATCTTATTATATATCTGTTTCTTTCAATAAAAAAGTTTCCATCTCATAATATTTTTGGACCAGAGATTAAAACAGATTAATTTAGCCATATCAATATAATAAAGACTCAAACTCATGAAATTTAAAATGACTTTGACTAATAAAAAATATTATGGATGCGTCTTTTGTTCTACTATTTGGCTTATTCATGTTTCCCCATTTTTGTAGCCGAGATGATTCGAAGGCAAGCTCTTTTCCCTGGTGATTCCGAGTTTCAGCAACTACTTCATATTTTCAGGTATTTGCTTCTTGTTTTTGATGCCAGTGTGTATGAATCGATGAATGACACAGAAACCAGTTTAGGACTTTAGCCCATTAGGTTCAGTTCTCGTGAACTTATTTGGATCATGGGGCCTCTCTAGTATCAATTTATCTTAACTATGGTTTTGTTTTGGGTCCTGGAGATTGCTAGGAACACCAACTGAGCAGCAATGGCCGGGTGTAATGGCATTGCGTGACTGGCATGTCTATCCAAAATGGGAGCCGCAAGACTTATCACGTGCGGTTCCATCTCTATCTCCTGAAGGAATTGATCTTCTCACGGTAATGCTCTTCTAAAATATGAACCATTGTTGGAGAAGTGGCCTAAGATTCTCTTGCTATACTTGATCACTTTAGTAGATTAAAAGTCTGTTTCTCAGATACTTTATGTTCTGTTTCCTAGTTGATGATAATTTGTTTTGAACCTATGATTAAATGCAGCAAATGCTGAGGTACAATCCAGCTGAAAGAATTTCAGCAAAAGCAGCTCTTGATCATCCCTACTTTGCCAGCCTTGACAAATCTCAGTTCTGACCTCTGGCAAATTACTGATCAGACTTCTCTTTGGAGTTTTGAAGCTGATGGCTCAAATTTATTGTCATCATCATCATCTTGGTGTCTTATGATGTGTGCTTTAGAAAGATTTGTACTTATACAAAACAAACTGAAAAGCTTGTTTGTCCAATTTAAGAGAATGCAAATGTGTTAAGTGAGAGTGAGATTTTTCTTTTAGTTGCCCATTTTATTTGTTTATGTAAACAAATCTATCAAGCAAAAATGGTTAATTCAAGTAAGTAGACAAGTCATATTAGTGTACATAAATGGGAGCCCAAATTTGAAATATTTGCTGCTTCATTACAACCACGATTGCTACTAAAACACAAGTAAATTACAGATCACATGATATTACACAATTGAGAAACAGAACAAGATACAGAGATCTCCAAAGCTGATTAAATGAGTAGCTTCAGTTAGACCAGACATGGAGAAGGCCGTGTCTATTTCCTGTGTATATTTCATTCCGTTCTTCGTCGTAGAAGAGAGCGGTTATGTCTTCCAAAGCCTCAGCAACCGCATTTCTCCTTCGATTAGATATCCCCAAGTCACTACCGCTGGAGTCTTCTTCCTTAGGAGGGCCATTAATTGCTTTTATCTTAGCTAAGCATTTACCAGTCAAGATATTGCTTATGTTAATCGACCCCGCTACATCAACAACCAAAATCACAACAATGTCTCAATAGCACAACAAAATCAGACCATATATATATGAGGTTTCTTGATTTGAAGAGTGGATGATGAGTCTGCTTACCATTTCCTTCTACCCACTGATCTTCGGTATCTGCCTTGCAATATGAGATGATCAGATCCTGATCGCTTGTTATGTAGATATTGTTTGTGTTACAGTCTGGATGCCAAAGAAGATGATCCTCAAACGAGGTCACAAGCTCTCCGCGGAAATTCCACACAGAAACATTTCGGTTCCTGAATGTTAGAAACAACTGGTTCTCATACAAAAATATGAATGCTGACGGTGTCATGAATTCAGTTCTGCTAACTTCTATCAGCTCAGCATTTCGAACCTTTAAGAACATAAAACTCTATTAGAAACATAAAAAACGCAAATATATAAAGCGGCTTAAACCAAGAACAAAACCACTCACGTCAAGTATTTGGAGATTCTCGTTCTCTTGCTTAACTAGAAGCTTTTCATTGAATTGTTCAATGAAATCAACTTTTTTGTTTCGGTGAAGCAAATGATTAAAGGACTTGAGAACCGTGCCATCTTCTATTGATAGAATCTTCAGAGGAACATGACTCGCAGCTCTCTTGAAAATCAACAGCATTATCCCTGGACTGGTGCAGGTAAAATACAAGCACAAGTTAGAGTGACAAGTCTTCAATCCAATCAAAAACACTTCACTTCAACATTTGCAAATAGGAAACATAGAAAGATGTAGAAAAGTCACCTGATCTTAATTTCCTGTACATTTTTGTCCGATATCGAGTATAACAAAGCATAGTTTTTGAGATCAAACACCTTGTAAACACTGCAGAGCAAGACTGTGGTCAGTTGAGAAACATCAAGTCAACACCTTTTGAGTGATGAAGACAAGAAAATACCTATCTTGAGCAGAATATGTCAGAACCTTCCCATTAACATCATCAAACTCTACAAAACCTGGCCACTTTAGTGACTCAGACTCAAAAAGAGGAAATCCTGCGTCTGCTTGACCCCTCAGAATATATCTAAGAATACAAAAAAAAACATTACTTTCACAAGTCTGAGAACTAACTTAAGAAGAGACAACAACACAAGAGTAGACGTACTCGATTCTAGTGGATCTGCATTTCAAAGAGCTATAATTGTCAGAGGCGTAAACAGAAACAGTAATGAGAGAATCATTGTTCTTGTTGTAGAACAAACTCCGAATTACTTCATCAGGACTAACATTTAAAAAGCAAACCCTTTTATTCGTCTCTGCAGTTACATACAAACAAACCCATCAGTGACACACAAAGCAAAGGAATGACGCAAAAAGAAGAAGTTAGTACCTCTGCTAAAAGATGCACAAACACCAGATAGAGTAAGAGCAAAGACAATGTCTCGAGCAGCAACAATCTCAATAACTTTACTTCGTTTCAACAAGTTAGGTAATGATACTAAACAGTATCCTTTAGGATCATGCGTATCATACTGCTCCTGAATTCAAAATCAAAACTTTCAGAAATTGGAGAGCCAAATTAAGGACTTTAAGAGAGAGTCTGATACATACGACGAGACGCATATTGCGGAATCTCTCTTGAGCGGTGCTGATTGAGAAAGCTCGATCCATACGAGAAGAGATTTCTCGGCGTTGAAGCTTTTTAACGCTATTGACGAATCCATCGGGACGAGACCTCTTCTTAGCAACAACTCTTTTACTACCGCTACAAGGTCTAGGGTTTGCTATGATCCTTCTTCCTTCCATCATTCAAGCTTTTGCTTCGCTTTTGATTCCAAAGTGATGATTTTTTAGGGCCGAAGAAGAAGAAGAATCCGTAACACTGAAGAGACTGCAACTGTTGCAGCAGCCAGGCTTAGGCTCCAATGGGCTAGTTGCAAAATTTTCACTTTTCAATCTGAATTCTTAAGCATAAAATAAAAATATCATAAGCCTATTATAAAGTTAGGCTTATGATATTTTTCTGAATCTGCAACATTTTTGGTTTTTCTAAAAATCAGGTTTTTGTGATCGATTATTATATTTTTAATCGTGTTCAAAGAAAAGAAAAAAAAAAGTGTCTGATCTATCATTTTTTGAAATGGTTATGCCTTTTTGATGGGTTAATTTTCTGATCTAATATAACCAAGAAGCCAAATAAATAAGCAACGATTTCGACACAAACATTGAAAACACTATGATTATGCGGTTTTACGGATTTGGTATGAAACCTTAATTAAGACGGTAAGACCAAACAAAAAGGTATGATTATGTAACTTTGCAACCTTAGCATAAAATTTCAGTTCGCAATTTTGGTATAAAATCACAATTCGCAATTTGCCGCCCAACCCTAATTTCGGAATTTTTCCGCCAAATCACATTTTAGCGCTTAAATTTCGGAATTTATGTGTTTTGCTTTAGATTATAGGTTATAAAAAGAATCATTATTGTGAGTGACTTATAGGCAGCTTATAACTTTTGGTTTGGCAGCTTATAACTTATAAGAATTATTATATATGTAAGTATGTAATAACACATGCACAATCTAAAATATTTGTGGCAGTCAATAAGGATATTTGTGGCAGTCAATAAAGTAAGTAAAAGGTAAAATGAAAGATCCAAAAGAGTGAAAATAAAAGAAGCAATTGGTACTAAAACCATCAATGCCCCTCTTTATGTAAAGTAAAAACTAGAGAACAAAATGTAGTATGTAGCATTTGGAGTCTCAACCAAAAACATCCTACTATAGTCAAAGTACAAGATGTAGATAGATTTAAAAAGCTAAAGCATATAGCTCTATCAGTCTCCGGACACAAACGACTTCTGCTCGTAATACTTTTTCTCGCTAGCTTCCTTCTTCGCATTACGTTTCTATAGATTACAGAACAATTTTGAGTGAGACAATGTTCAAGTAAACCAAGAAGAAGAAGAAAATTAAGAATGAGCAAAGAAAAGAAACTTGCCTGATAAGCTTCATGGTTTGCTACAATCCTCCTGATTATGGTGGACGTTGTGATATCAAGAGGGCTTTCTAGAATTTGGAATATGCCCATGCTAATTGGTACAGAATACGGATTATCTTCCTCCTGTCAAATCAACAACCACATTCTGAGAAACCATAGCTCTTTGTCTTTGACCTAATATATACACACTTGAATGTTGTTTTACCTTTTGAAAATCATCGCTTTCGGCTACTGTCCCATGTACCACCAACGAAATGTCAAATGTCATGATCTGCAATATCCAAATCAATGTCAAAAATAGCATTTCATGAAAGCCATTTGGGTATTGTTATTAAGCAAAGTGCAGAGAAGCTCACCGTATCTCTCGACACTTCCCATGGAGCACCAATTATCACCTCATCCACGTAACGGCATGCCAGAACGCTTAAGCTCCTTTCATGGAGATTCATGATTGGACGATGAGCTCCTCTTTTAGCACTGCACAGCAACATATACCAAGTACAATTTGGTCAGACAAATTTAAGCAGAGATGCACATCTAAATTTCTCAACACAGCTAAGAATTAAGGTTAGATACCAGAATGAGGACATGAAAAGGAAATATAACCAAATAAACTGAGAAAATCAATAAAGCAAACTGCCAAAATTGAGCTTTTTTTAACCTGACAGTCTGGTCATTATGTATTCCAACAAGAAGAAAGTCTCCAAGCTCTCGAGCACGTCTAAGAATCTGTACAAATTAAGTAATTCAATAAAAAATATCAAATTGGCAGAATAAACTAAATGGTCGCTCAATCCCACTCACTTCTACTTTCACTTTATATAGGCATAAAATGTATCATTAATATGGTTAACCATACACCCATTGTTCGTGTGACGGTGTTAAAACATCACTCCTCACATATAAAGTGAACTGTATGTTGTATGCACCCATTAATATACCTCAACATGGCCAGCATGGAAAAGATCAAAAGCACCATCGATGTAGATTATGCGTGCATCAGGTCCTGGCCCCTGTCAGAATAAGAATGTAAATTTGATCAACCCCAGATAATATATGAGAAGGAGAACTGAGATAATGGAGTAAAATGACAAAAGTAAGGGAAACGTGAATCTATCAAGAAAAATAATCTTAAGATACATCTAGCAGGTATGACTTGGATTAGGTCATAAAATGAGATGTGAAGCAACCTTCTGTCACTTAAGAAGAAAAATATAAGATAAGCACATAAAAGTATCCAAATAATGGTGAAAGAGTCATAGAAAGTGTGAACCAGTAAATTGCTAATTAGATCAGGAGGTAAGAAACAAGACTGAACCAGACAGTATTCCATTATGATGAGGAAACTGCTGATACTGCTGTTTGAGACCGTTCTCTTTAATAACCAAAACAACTAGAAAAACAGTAAGCCCAGACTCTCAGAGCCACTTGCATAGCTATTAGAAATCATGGGCCATGTACTTGTTCTACCTACTAGATCATAAAGCAACAAATACTAAGATAAAATTGTTAATACAAGTATGCAATACATTAACTTGAGGAAAAGAAACTCTTAAATTTGCTTACCTTTCCATTGGAGAACTGAACAATCCTGCGGGAAGTAGGAAGAAAATGCGAGACGCGAGTACCAGCAGAAGAAGCTCCATCCTCAAACTTTGGGCTACTATGCCCATGACTAAATTGCCTTTGCAGAGAGGAACGACTATGAGTGTCACTAATGGATCTTTCTCTTACACAAAGAAGCATACGACCTGCTCACAGATTACAAATAGAAAATTTCAGAAAAACATGATGAAATTAGACATTTCAAGAATCAGCTGATGCAAGCTAATGTGAAATCAGAAGGGACAATGTCAAATTACCAACGATATCAGTGCTAGAAACTCCTTCTGTACGCTTAATCTGCTTGTAACGACCAGCCTTCTTAGCAAGTGCATAAGCATCAGTTCCATCAGGAAGAACACAAGGATCATCACCATGGATAATGTAATCGATCTGATACTCATCGAACAATTTCTTCATGAAATCTTCCGTAATAGCGTAAGGAGCATCAGATATAACTTCATCCACCCACTTCACAGCTTTCACCATTGTCATTCTAAACATAACGAAATCAAAATCAAACAAAACGCAATTGCAATTTACAAGAAACGATGAATTTGTGATCTCGATGAAACCTTTCATGAAGAGGAGTAACAGGAGGTCCTTTGTTAGCTATGATTTCTTCGTCGGAAACAACACCGACGACCAATTGGTCACCGAGAGCACGAGCTTGACGAAGAGCGTTGCAGTGGCCATAGTGCATCATATCGAAGCAACCATCCATGTAAACGCGAACAGGTTTTCGTTTTCTCAAAATGCGCCATGGAGAAGACAAACCTAAACCTAATCCTAACGGAAGCTCACCTTTAAGGAAAAGATGAAGGAAAGAAGCTCCGACGGCGAACGCAGCTCCTCCGACTATACAACTTCCGACGATCTTCTCTTTCTCCCAAACCATTTTTGCTTACAAACACAAGAATTTCGAAACTCTCTCTCTCAGATCTTTTTTTTTCTCTCTTTTTTTGTTTCCTTCACATTTCCAAACGTCTCAGATCTCTCTCACAGACGTTCTCTTCTCTTTGGAACTAGAGACTCGGAATCAGAATCCTATTTTTCCCTTTTCTTTTTTGTTTTTTTTCTCTATAGCCGGACCGGACAACAAAATATCTTCAAACCGGATCGTAATCGTTTGGTTTAGAGATATTATTTGGTTTCGAAGGAAAAAAGAATCAAAAACAGCAAAAAGAGAATCTAAACCGAACCAAAGCAAACAAATGTAAAGGTGAAACTTTAAGAAGACGTGTAAAATATTGTAGGAAGCATATATTTCGTGATCCTTCATGTGACACCTCCTTGCTTGAGTCATCATCCTTTATCGTTGTTGTAAGACGCAACTTTTCTCCTACTTCAGCTGCAAGTAGGACCAAATGATCCAACTACCTTAAGTTTAAATTAATAACTAAATGGATCCTCTCATCTTCTAAAAGCCAATGAAACAAAAACAACATTGCATCAACAAAAATATGAATTGTTTGATTAGTTGAGCTTGATGCTAAAGATGTTGATGAGTTAGGATAAACCATGGCATCACAATCGCCAGGTCTATTATATAAGAAAGCAACTTAATAATTCAAATTGAAAGAGATTACTCTAATAACATAGAGTCTCCTATCTAATTTTACAAAATATTTCGTAATAGACAGAGATACCATAATCAGAGGTATATCCGCTTAGCAGCATCTAAAGTATTGCATAGTAGCATGGTGATCGTCATGGGTCCGACTCCTCCAGGTACGGGAGTGATAGCCGAGGCAACACCTAACGCTTCCTCGTAACATACATCCCCCACAAGACGGTAACCAAACTCACAGCTACTATCCTGCCATATTATATCACATCCATGCTTCAATGTCTAACCAGAAACAATAAAACAATCTCAAGGAAAAACATTTTAAGCTCTAACCTATCAGTTTAAGATTTTATGTATCAGAATGGATTCATGTTATGGTATGAGTCTTTTTTAATTGGAAAGTATTAAGACTTTTGATCAGTTTAGGAAAATAGTTTCGTCTTTACCTCGACTGGAGATGTTCCAACATCAATGACAACTGCTCCAGGCTTAAGCCAACTTCCACGAACTAAACTAGGTATACCTGCTGCTGCTATAACGATATCCGCCTTCCTAGTAATGTGCTCTGGATCCTTTGTAAACGCATGCACCGTGCTTACTGTCGCGTCATGCCTCTACCCGAGAATTTCAGGAAAACATAAATGCATAGTTAATTCCCAAACCAAAATGTTTAAGCATACGAATCCACTTGCACTATAAAGAAGAACTAATACCTGCAATAATAAAGACATTGGTAGTCCAACGATGTTGCTTCTTCCTATCACCACGGCATTTTTTCCTGCTATTTTAACGCCTGCTCTTATCAACAACTCCACACAGCCCTTAGGAGTGCAAGATACAAACAGAGGTTCCCTCCCTCTCATTGCAAGATTTCCCACGTTTAATGGATGAAACCCATCAACATCTTTCTCCAATCTCACCATATTCAAGATTTTTGATTCATCAAGATGCTGTACAAGATATCTTCCATTAAATGATAGTACTCATGAGAAAGAAATTAAAAAGAAAGGAAACCAACAAAATACAAGAACGTTCTCCTGAAAAAAGATCTCCACAAGTAAGATGATTCAGATGCTCTAGCGCATAATCTGTAAATTAGATGCTTTACCTACCAAATATAAAGAAAACCTAAGAGGGAAAAATGTTATGCAGAGAGTCCATTGGTCTATGAGGCAGGTTAAAGCAAGGGGACATGCACAGAATTAATGGATTTGGATATTAAAACTCGATGAAAAATATATGAATCGAGCAATTCCACAAAAAGTATGAAAACAAAGTAAACATAACCTCTGACCTCCTAACATAGAACTAATCTTTGACATCAACAACACGAACATTCCTCATCACAATGTCATGATTCCTAATAAACAAAAAAAATGTGAAACATACTTGGGGTAAAGGAAGCTGCACAAGAATCCCGTGAATGGAAGTGTCTTCATTGAATTTTTTCAATATACTAATAATCTGTCCTTCAGTACAATCCTCTGGTAATTCAGTCAAAACAGATTTAATGCCAGTTTCTTCACAAGCTTTAATTTTGTTTCGAACATAAGTTTGCGAGTCTCTTTGCTGGCCAACCAAAACAACCGCAAGACCAGGGACTTTACCAACAGCCTTTTTCATCTTCCCCACTTCACTAATAATCTTTGTTCTAATTTCCTCAGCGATAACATTCCCATCTATCACCACAGTCTTCTGTTCAGTCTCTGTATAAATGCATACACACACACACACACACAAAACAATTCAGATATCAACTCATACAATTAGAGAACTTACTTGTAATCTATATAGCAATGAAAATGCAACAAAGAGTATTACCAAAGGAAACAGGAGGTGGAGGATCAGAGTAAGGAATCCAATTTTCAGGCAAGTCAAGGGACACGAGAGGAGGAGACACTAAGATGGAACTAAAGCAATGTACGTCCCTTGTTGTCAAACGAATAGCCTTACTATGCGCCGAGGCCAAAGCTTTCCTCGCGATCATTAACATGCTCGAAACTAAAAAATAACAGTCACTGATTCACATAAAAAATCATTGAAAGAGCCAACTCAGTCGATTTAGAAGTAACAGACGAGATAAGAGAACCTTAGACAGGTTCAGAAGCTTAATGGATTAAAGAAAAAAACTTGCAAACCAGACTAAACCTAAATGGATTAAAGATTTCAGAAGCTTTCACAATCATCTTCTTCTCATATAGCTAAATTCATCTTCTTCTCTTATAGCTAAATTCATCGTACATAAACTCCTTAATACAGAAAACGAAATCGGGAAATAGGAAAATAGGGAGGAGGAGAGATTTACCAGTGTATATAAAGTGTCGTCAATGGCGTTGAAAAATATCGCTAGGCATAATACCGGAGTTTAGGATTCAACGAGTGACAATATAAAACGATGATGAAAAAAATAATTAAAAACAAAATAAGAATTCACCACCGTGTGAGAAAGACACGTGTTATGATCTGGAGATAGATCTTGCAAGTGGGTAAATAATCAAACGGCAGAGACATAGCCACACGTGTGAAAAAAAGAGTTGGGTGTGTGTGTATTGTGTATGTGTGTGTATCTCTCTCTTCCTCCCAAGTAGCAAAAGCAAAGGGGAAAGAGACGATGCGATCGGGCTAAGTGCAGAAACACTTATACTTGTGCATTCTGCAACACAACACACACACAGAGAATTTGACGAGAGTGTGATTTGAGTGTATCGAGAACAGAGAGACATAGATACAGAGATCGTTGGCAACGTTTTGGGGATCCAATGCGTTCGTAATTGGAAAGACATTTCATTCAATTCTAAATCGGGAACATGAAAGGCGGAGGCGGTGGTGGAGGTGGTGGCGGCGGAGGAAAACGCCGGTGGAAAGTTCTGGTTATTGGAGTTTTGGTTCTTGTTATTCTTTCTATGCTTGTTCCTCTTGCTTTCTTGCTCGGTCTTCACAATGGCTTTCACTCTCCTGGTTTGTCTTATCATTCTCTCTCACACTCTCTTTACTTTTTTTGCCGATCTCTGTTTCAGATCTAATCTCATCTATTTTCACTTTTTAGGATTTGTCACTGTTCAACCGGCTTCTTCTGTAAGCAAGTTTTCGTTTCTTTATTTGTGTGTTTTGGTGTTTTGATTTTGTTCTGAATCTTCTTTCTTTTGGAATCAGTTTGAGAGCTTTACCAGAATCAATGCTACCAAACATACACAGGTATTGTCACTCTCATTTGATTGATTTGATCCCCATCCTTTTGCTGCTTTTTATATTCTTTCTCTGGTTTTGCAGAGAGATGTATCCGAACGGGTGGATGAGGTTCTTCAAAAAATCAATCCAGTTCTTCCCAAGGTTGGTTCTCCATTTTGGGTTCCACTTGTTTCAGTGTAGATGATTGTGAAGGCCTTGACTTGTTCCATTTATGTTATATGGGGGATATAGATACGTTGTTTTTGACACAAATTTTAGATCTTTCAATGTACCCATAGAGTTAAGCATTTATGGTGGTTGGAAGCACTTCATTATCTTACACACTGCTCTCTACTTGACAAACACATTTCAGATCTGGTCTAAATATGTTTAATTTTCAACTATTGAAGAATGTTTCTGTCATAATTCTTGGCATTAATGTTTCACATCGCGTCTTTCCAGTGATGTAAATGTATAGGCTTTGTAGTTTGATTAGAGATAACAAGGCTATTTGTAAATGTATAGGCTTTGTGTCAGGTTTGCCACAGTGCTCTTGCAAGATGTCAATGCTAACATTAGAGAAAACTTAGATGCCTGTTTGTTTTATGGAAAGCTATGCAAGATGCCTCATAATTAACCAGTGAATCTGAAAACTTTACTGGCACAACAAACAATTTAGAGGTCAAAAGGTTGTAGTTAATCAGTTGTTGTATCTTTTGTGTGATGTTGCTTAAGGGGTAGAAAATTTATATGAATGAATTATTTTTTAATTTGACTATCTTATGAGACTAGAAAGTTGAGATACCTTCATGAATTCTGCTGCGTCATGTATCTCACAACTTGTCTTGGGCAAGGTCAAGAATTTGTTCCTTGGGTGAGATGGTTAATCTGTTTGTAACAATTTCTATAATAACGTTTTTGTTTCATTGTATCACATGCTAGAAAAGCGACATAAACGTGGGTTCCAGAGATATGAATGTGACAAGCGGCACTGATTCTAAAAAAAGAGGTTTGCTTTACAAGCTTCACTTTCTTGAAATTCCTCTCCCATTATTTTATTTTGATTCTGAACTGCAATCTTAACGTCTGGTCTCTCCATTAATCTGCAGGATTACCAGTGTCCCCAACTGTTGTTGCCAACCCAAGCCCTGCAAATGTACAAATGGATTAAGTGGTTTCTGTAGTAGCCATCTTTATATCTCTCACCAATCGTCTAAAGTTGACCATACTCTGCCTTATTCTGTGAACAGAAAACAAAATCTGAAGCCTCAGATGAAGGTGTTCAGAGGAAAATAGTAAGTGGGGATGAAACTTGGAGAACTTGTGAAGTGAAATATGGGAGCTACTGCCTCTGGAGGGAGGAAAATAAGGAACCTATGAAAGATGCCAAGGTAAAGCAAATGAAGGACCAGCTGTTTGTGGCTAGGGCATACTATCCCAGTATTGCTAAAATGCCTTCTCAAAGCAAGTTGACTCGAGATATGAAACAGAATATCCAAGAGTTTGAGCGTATTCTTAGTGAAAGTTCTCAAGATGCTGACCTTCCACCACAGTAAGTTCTCTATCAGTTTGGGTTTAATCATTTTTGTACTGAAAGTTAGTTCCTTACTGGAAAAGATTTTGTTGGATTCTAGTCACATGAATCTCTCCTAGTTTCCCGTCAGCTTGTCTGGACATCCTGTTTACTAGTGGTTTTACTTGCTTTGAGATGGTTTATGTTATAGAAAATCTTTGTCATAACATTCTCTCTTCACCTATTCAGTGGGCAGCACACCCAGAAATATCTCTATTTTGAAGCCTTATTTGTCCCAATATCTTAAACCAATGTAGAATTTAATAAACTAATGTAATAGATGATAAGAGGGATGCCATGGATGTTGTTTGTTCTCTCTCAGGAGAAGCTTTGATCTTTCCTTTAATCGTACTTATTGGGTATCTCTTTCCACTGTTTTGTCAGGGTTGATAAAAAGTTGCAGAAGATGGAAGCTGTAATTGCAAAGGCAAAGTCTTTTCCAGTCGACTGTAACAATGTTGACAAGAAATTGAGACAGATCCTTGATTTGACTGAGGATGAAGCTAATTTCCACATGAAACAGAGTGTGTTCCTCTACCAGCTTGCAGTACAGACAATGCCTAAGAGTCTTCATTGCTTGTCAATGAGACTAACTGTGGAACATTTCAAGTCAGCTTCACTTGAGGATCCCATTAGTGAGAAATTTTCAGATCCCTCATTGCTTCACTTTGTTATCATCTCCGATAATATACTTGCATCGTCCGTTGTGATCAACTCAACAGTTGTACACGCAAGGGTGCGTCTTAAATCCAGTTTCTTTACTTAGTATTTTTTCATGCAGTCAAAGAACTCTGATTTCTAATTTGTGGTTGGTTATTGATGTTTCAGGACAGTAAGAACTTTGTTTTCCATGTACTGACAGACGAGCAGAATTACTTTGCAATGAAACAATGGTTTGTTAGGAATCCCTGCAAACAATCAACTGTTCAAGTATTGAACATTGAAAAACTCGAGCTGGACGATTCTGATATGAAATTGTCTTTGCCTGCGGAGTTCCGTGTTTCCTTCCCCAGTGGTGACCTTTTGGCGTCCCAACAGAATAGAACACACTACTTATCCCTTTTCTCTCAATCTCACTACCTTCTTCCCAAATTATTTGACAAATTGGAGAAGGTTGTGGTTCTGGATGATGACGTTGTAGTCCAGCGAGACTTATCTCCCCTTTGGGACCTTGATATGGAAGGGAAAGTGAATGGCGCTGTGAAGTCGTGCACTGTGAGATTGGGTCAGCTAAAGAGTCTTAAGAGAGGAAATTTTGATACCAATGCCTGTCTCTGGATGTCTGGTTTGAATGTCGTTGATCTTGCTAGATGGAGGGAATTGGGTGTTTCAGAAACCTATCAGAAATATTATAAAGAGGTCAGTTTCCTGAAAAACCTTTTTTAAGAGATAATTGGGTGATTCTGTGCGATGACTTCCTTTTTTCATGTGCAGCAGATGAGTGGTGAAGATGAGTCGAGTGAAGCAATTGCATTGCAGGCAAGCTTGCTTACATTTCAAGACCAAGTATATGCTCTTGACGACAAATGGGCTCTATCAGGGCTTGGTTATGACTACTACATCAATGCCCAAGCCATAAAAAATGCTGCCATATTACACTATAACGGGAACATGAAGCCGTGGCTTGAGCTGGGAATCCCAAAGTACAAAAACTATTGGAGAAAGCATCTGAACCGGGAAGATCGGTTCTTGAGTGACTGTAACGTGAATCCTTGATGAGTAAGTAGCTACACGGCCAATGCTTTTAGAAGCAAGGTCACACGCAAAGAAAAGATTTAGAGTGCGACATCTCAATTTTTTGGGTAAATAAACCCGAATGCATTGCAGGAGAAATGCTGAAGGGGAAGAGCATGCAGAAGCGATACCAAATTGATTTTAAGAGACGTGATGACAGATGATTTGAAAAGCTTTGATATGATAAAAAAAAAAAAAAAAAGAGAGGATGTGAAGAACTTTGATATGTTGTATATGATTTTTGGCAAAGAGATGTGCCATTCTTTTCCTCGCGTTATATTTTCCAATTTGTCATGTAGTTTCTTTGTGATTCTTTACTTTTGTGACGTACCAAAATAGAAGGCGATAAGAATTTTTATCTATTTCTCACTGAAACAGTTTGCACAGTACGTTTATCCATAGTTTTAAAGCTTCTTCTCAGAAACCAAAAACCATCAGGTCTTATCTTATGAAGGATTTATCTGAGACAATGTGTCTTTTGCAAGAGGACAGTGTCTGCAGTTTCATTGCTGATTTGGGACAAAGGTTTGCTCTGTTTCCAATGGACTTGTTTCTCTCCAATGAAAGGAGAAACAACGTGGCCGGAAGAGAAGCTTGGAGGAGTAGCAGGTGCAGATGCAGTTGCAACAGCCAGCAGCAGATCTAAGTCGAGGCTCTTGAGGAATGTGTTCCAGAACGTTAACGCCTCTAAGCCGCACTTAAAGGGCTTGTCATTGTGACAGCAACTTAGGACAGTAGGATCAGAGTGTTCCATAACTATATATGGTTGACCAATTTGGGACTAAAGAGAGTGTGTACGTGTTAGTGTAGCATTCTTTGATTTTATTGGATCTTCATTCATTTTCAGTAATCATGTAATATATATTCATCGAATGGAATCAAATGTCTCATAGTCATAGTTAAAGGATCTAACTTAGAAATCTTCATTCACATACTGTACTACCCATTTAATGATGACGTACGAGATGCAAAATGTTTTCACAACACAAAAACACTAAAGCAAAGTTGAGGAATAAGTTGGTATATAGAGTGAGGAATCGGATTTGGTAGGAAGACAGAATTGTTAGGTTGTATTACATCTGTATAGTAAAGAGAAAGAGAGAACATATTCTTCAATGTGCAACGCGTAATTTTTATACCATTTGTTTTTGTGAAAGTGGGACGTCTCTTAATTACCTCTCAAAGGTCGTGATCAACTTTTAGTACGTATGACGCAGACACCGCAATCTTTTGTTTTAAAAACAAACGATAGATAATGAAAGAAATTTAAAATAAAAGAGGTCAACGTAAGTGGAATACTCATGATAACAATGGACGTGGAAAAATATCAATAGGAAAATAAAATCAAAGATTTTAATGTAAAAAATTTAGTGGAATTTTGTTGGGATGGTTTTATTTTTCTTCCCACCGCTAATTGCTTCTAAGCCACACACCTCCTTATGTTTAATTATTTATAATCATGATTCATGATATAGTGGTCCTCCTTCATCATGTCATGTTAAAGACCAAAGATTGGTTCAAAACTCGATTTTTTTAACTCGGCTATATTTCTTGTCCATGTTTCAAATGATTATTTTTTGTTTATATTTTAACTTTGCTATCCACTCGTTCTTATCTTCCACTAGATTATCTTTTCTCAATGTCCATGGTTAATAATTATTCAAAACTTGATTGTCTATAAAAGAATATTATCGGATCTTTGATATATAATTGGACTAAGAGAGCTCATGACCAGAAATCTTGGAATTCGGACACCAGCGAGAAACTGATCCACAAAGTGATCTCTTTATAATTTTTTTTTTTTTGGTTTTAATGTTACATCCTTAAAACTTGATATCAACAATATATTTATATATATATGTAAGTATATCTAAAGAGTAGATTATATTTTCCTTTCTTTCTTTTTTGTTTCATTTTGTTTTGGTTTAAATCATACATTACTTTCGGTTCGGACACATGTAGTCTGTTGTTGAAAGGAACAAATAAATACTTTCGGTTCTTTTTTTGGAGAATAAAAACGATAATCCAGCATAAATAGTAATATAAAAACATGGAAAATATTTCAAATAGAGACTCATGTTTCCCACTATAAAAAGATGCACTGGAAATGTCGATGGATTATGGCCCGTAGGTTTTTCGTTGCTATAGATTCTTTTCTTTTATTGTAGTGAGCACAATAATATTCTCTACTTACGTATTTATAATAACGAAAATGTAAGGGAAAAGAAAGATTCGAGAAACGTTTAACGTGAAATAATGATCAAAGAAAGTAGAAGAGAGTGTTAAACTGTTAATACAACCATAATATTTAAACATATCTTTGTAATTTGCCTTGAAAATATTGATTTAGTTTATGAGCTAAAAAACCAAACAATAGCCAACAATATGTACTAATAGCTAGTATAATAGTATTTCTGTATATTTCATTAAAAGCTAGAGCATATGAACTAGAGTTAGTGTCAAATTTATATTATTCATGAGACCATAAGCTATTTTGTAGGGCCAATATTGGTCAGAACAGGAATCAAAAACAAGGTTTCGATGATATAATATTTTGTTGAAGTTTAGGTGAATGAAAACCGTTATTATAATATTTGATTATAGAAAGGAATCAATCCATTAATTTGCATTAATACATTAAAAAAATGGACCTAAATTAAAGAGAAGATATCTTATAGTAATAGACTGAAAAGGATAGCTCTCTAGTGGAAAACAAGAAGATGAGAGACCATTCTTTTCATTTGAGAACCACATTCTCTTTCTCTTTCTACATTTGTATAAATAAACCCAAAGACCTCTTCTCATTTGTCTCACATACAAACATCATCAACTCATCTTCTCCAACAGAGAATACAAAAAAAAAAAAAAAGAGATGACAAAAGTTCACCCAAAATTCCCAAACACATGCGACGAGAGCTTGTGTGATAGTAAAGCAGCCGTGGTTTTAACAGTGTGGAAGAAGTCCCTTCTCTTCAACTGCGACGGATTCACGGTTTACAACGCCAATGGAGAGCTTGTCTTTAGGGTTGACAACTACATGAATTGTCCTAGAGACAACATCGTACTTATGGATGCTTCCGGCTTTCCCCTCCTCTCCATCCGCCGCAAGGTACTTTTTCTTCTTCTTTTTTTTTGGTATTTGTTTCATTAATAGTTATCAAACTAATCTTAAGTATCTTTGCTTGTTAATTGACATGAACAGAAGTTGAGTCTTGGAGATTGCTGGATGGTATACGATGGAGAAACAGAGAGAGACCCAATATTGACGGCGAGAAAGAACGTTAACATAATAACAAACCGGAGGAGCTTGGCGTGGGTTAGCGCCAAGAAGACGGTGTTGTACGAGATAGAAGGATCGTACGGTCAAAGAAGCTGCAAAATATTGGATGAGAGGAGGAACAAGAAGAAAACAGCGGAGATCAAGAGAAAAGAGACGGTGATCGGAGGAGTTGCCTTTGGAAAAGATGTGTTTAAGCTTATAGTTGAATCAGAGATGGAGCCTCGTGTGGCCATGGCACTTACCATCATCCTCGACCAAATGTTTAGATCTTCTTGATTTTCTTTTTTTTTTAAGGTTTTATTTTTACGTGTATATTAGTTCCTTTTTGTTATGTAATTTATGCGATGTGTTCCTTCCTAAATGTACACATGAACAGAGACAACTTGTAGTGTTCAAGAAAAATAAAAAAAAACATAGATATATAACTTTTTTTTTTTCGTTTTGATTTTGGCTTTTGATGATGCTACAAAGATGCAATCAATTTATCGATGGGTTTTTTTAGAGACGATTCAACAATGACGGCTTGGTAGAGATGCTGATGATTAAGCCGGCTATATTTAATAATTGTCGGTCATGAGAGTTTGATGTCTAAGTTTAAGTTAACAAGAAAAATAAATGTCTAATTTTGTTACTATTTTATTGCTAACTTTTTTAATAAATGTTTCGTTGCAAATTCTCTAACATATTTGCTAAAAAAGAGTTGTTTCTAAAGTTTATTGTGAACTAGTTAATCAATATCAAAATTTATGTAGAATGATATAGATTCTACACTACACCTAAATTCTCCCTCTAGTTCTTAAACTGGATCTGGAGAATGGAATCGCCAAATCACGATTTAGTGTCTAAATCATAGTGAGATTTTACACCTAAACACACATAATCTATTTTTGCACCACGTTGGAAGCCCAAAAGGCCAAAATCATTTGTTGCGTTGAAATTTTGATCTGACAATAGAAAAGTAACACCAATATTATCTTTGCAATCTTTATGACAAAACATTGAAGGCAAGATCTTGATGTTAAAACGGACTATTAAGAATTTAGTGTAAAATACAAGATCCCATAATGATTTTTTTTGTTTGAAAATAATTTTATGCAATTAATAAAAATTTGAGAAAAAAAATTAAAACTAAAATTTAGCGCTAAACTTAATTTTAAAACTTTAGTGTCAAATTTACAATATTGTTTTCATCAACTAAAAGATAGAGTCTTTCATTTTACGTAGTTCCACGAAGGCATTGGGAACTAACTGAGAAACAAAACCATTATTAACATTTTCAGGTGATTTAGATCATCCATAAATTGTGTATGTGACTTGCATGATGATTCCATGATAACCGTCAACTAGAACAATTGTATGTTATTTGTAGCCTGATATTTTTTTTGGAATACCAAATTTTTTAACTTACATTCAAAAGTTTGGCATACCCAAAAAACTACCAGACCATAAGATAATGAATATACATCCGACAAATTTTTTGCAACTATTTGATAATTTTTCATCTCAACTGGACGTAATTTGTGTTATCAATTCATATGAAGATAATATATTAGGTGAGAGTCATCCAACCAATCATCTTCTCATATACAATACATATGAGGTTCAATCTAACAAAAACTATACTTTTTCAAAACAAATTCATACATATTTTTCATAAACATACAATGAGTGTTTTAAAATATTCAGTCTAATACTATTAATATTATATATTATTATATTTTCAATTATAAATTTTGAGATTTCTGATGTAAGTCATGTACATATACTGAACGACCTAAATGGACAAACTACCATACTAAAAACACGTCATAATATACCCTTTGTCTCCCTCTAAACTAATACGATCACCGCTACTGCTTTTGCAGAACGCAACCACCTCACCGTTGATTTTCCTATAATCATATATGATCACCCCATGATAATCTTGGAATATTGCGTTTTTTCCAAAGAGTCCACGATAGATTTTATCGGAGTCAAATAGACTCTCATATGCGACTAAAGTCGCTCCAACCGGGTGTGTTCGAAGACGCTTTAATGCCTGTTTGAGGGTTTGATGCCTATAGATGTCTGTGGTGTTGAACATTTCTTCGTCTGGAATAGGTAACCACTTTGTAGTACAGGAAGGTCTCTGCCCGTTTATATCCAATCGTTCTCTAGGGATACCAAACTTCTTTATATTAATGCTTCTTCCAAATCCCCAGGATAACACTGATGAGCCTGACCATCACGTAGCGTTTTAGCATCTACATACTTGCGTGGATTGACCTTTTGCAAAAGATATCTCTTACACAGCCGGTCATACTTTTCTTCCCAACCATGTAATACACGGGATGCACTTACAAGGTCAGTGGAAACGAAAGTCCAACAATCATCATGAAATAGTTTTTGTAAAACTCAACAATTACATTGAAAGCAGAGAAGATGAGTCACCAAGCTCACATATGAAAAGACATTCATTCACATTTCGACAGCTGTACCATTTGTTTGAAGCACAGTCTTTGATTATATGTTATTTTAGCTCATTTAAACTATATGTTATTTATGACATATATATATATATATATAAAATACATTCACGAATGTTTGCTGTAAATAATACTTCATATAAGGTTTTTTACTTGTAAATTTGAACTAATTTTACACCCTATTATATTACTCAATTTGAATCATGAAAAATTCAGCACAAATTGTGGTTTAATTCTACTAAAATCAAGTTAAATAATGGGAATGAAAAAAATATATATAAAAAATCAAGAAGTCAAACATTGATTTGGCAGAGATCCAGGTTGAGACTCTGCAGAGAGGTTGAGACTTGATGCCCGGCAAATATTGTATATGTTAACATAAGAGATTATTTGGTTATTACTAGTATCCTTTTTATTTCCTTTAATAAAATGGTACAAACTTAAATTTTTATTAGCTTTGGCTGTAACTAAGTTAATACTATCAAACCATGAAATGACCGTTTTGTTGGGTCTCTTCTACTTTTCAGAGGAGTTTTTATAAGCAAGTTTAAAAGTTTTGACTTTTGACTGTAACTTTTTGCATATCTTTTATACAACAAAAATTAGTTCTTGCTCTTCTTCTTATTAGTCTCATCATTTTCATTGTACAGATTGTAAATCTTACTGTTGGTTACATGATTTTGTAAGTATATAAATTCATTCAAAGCCCAACTAGATTTAAAAGCCCACTATTGGCCCAGCTTCATTTTTTTTTTTTTTTTGTATCTATGTGTACACTTTCCCTTCACCGCAAGAAATCAGAAGAACAGAAAAAAGGTTTTGAAGGAAGAAACAATGACGACGACGATTTCCAATCTTCCAAAGGATTTGAAAGAGGAGATTCTTTCTAGGGTTCCCTTGAAATCTATGAAAGCAGTGAGTACAGTTTTCATCAATATAGTTTATTTTATAATCTAAAGCAATACACATGAATTCTACTTGCAATATAGTTTTCATCAACTGAAAGAAATAGTCTTGCACTTAAAGTAGCTCCGCAGAGGCATTGGCAGCTACCTCGCTTCTGTTGAGAATAACCGAGAAACAAGTTCCAGAGCTCCCCACATAGGTGCATCATTCTGTTTTTAGACCCACAAAACATAAAACTTTTATTAGCAATTTCCAGGTTGTGAAAGATCATCTATAAATTGCGTATGGAACTTACAAGATAAACAAGATCAAATGACTCGCGGTAGCTCTCAAGACTCTTCTCAATGTTATCGTTCCTGTAGAAATAAGATTAGTAGTTATGAGGAGACCGAAACAGAGAGGAGGCAAAATAGAAGAAGAGAAAAACTCACAGAAACCCAATAGATATCCGAGTTTCATAATCCAGTCCATCAGACATCCTTAAATCCCCCAAATGATCTCCCATAAGCAAAACATTCCTTCGCTCTTTCATGTTTACATTTTCTTCATCTTCCTCACCAATGTCAACACCAAGTCGATCATGAAGTGGAGCAGCCATGTCTAAAGCGTGTTCGTTTTTGTTTAGCACGTGAATTAGCTTTCCTGTATTGTGAAAGGTAAAGACACTAGTTTATAATAGCAAGACATAAATCAAATGCTTGATACTTTCCGGGAGAGATTTCAGTTTTCCAGAGGAAAAATCACAAATGAGAGTTGATGAATGCGCTTAAATGAATGATGAAACACCAACCAAATATACCTTTGAAAGACACGAGCTGTCCATCGTCATTGAACACCATCCTGTTAGATACAATCTTAACATTCTTGAAAGTTCTATCAAGGTTCTGCCTCAAAACCTGGTAAGAATGTGAGTATGCAACAAAAGCATATTCATTATAGAGGCAGCAGAAGTAGGAGAGTAACTCTAATAAACTAATACTCTTTAGAGTCACCTCTTCAATGACATCAGCAAGTCCTGCTGAAAAAATCAGAACAGGGATCTCCTTTTTCTGAAACAGATTGCAAATAAGGTCGATTAAAGATACTAATAGTTGCTCCTCACCATTGAAGTATAACTCTACAAAACATGATTTGATTCCATTTATTTACCTCCAAAAATTCGAAAAGTTCAGTCACACCTTCTCTAAAAGCTATGGAAGAATTGGCAACAGATTTCTTGATTGCGTCATATGTCAAACCTCCCTCAATGAGAAGCTCATGAGTTTTACTCCACCTCATCATTCACAACAACAAAAAGTTTATCACTTGTTTGTCCAAACTAGAGTATCAAAAGACAAGCCAAATGTGATTGATAAGAAGAAGAGTATATACCATTCTTCCATGAGTTTGGTTTTCTCATCAATGGGAATCACAGGAGAAATCTCAAGAGGATGATAGTGATCATATAATGCTTGCCTCTTAGCATCGTAATATGCGTTTCCTTGCTGCAAGAGGCCATGACTGGCTATATATAAAGGTTTCAACTTTGATTGCATTTGGTTTAGTGAGAAGAGAAGATTACAATTGATCAAATGAAACATACTCTGCCTTCGAAGTCCATTGACTCGGTATCTCGTTAAAGTCGCATCGAAATCTGCAATTACCTTTACAAAATTCCAAGGATAGACCAACACAGCACAAAGTTAAAGCATTGAGAAAAAAACAAAACTTCGGAGATAGGAGTGGGAAAGACCTGGAATTTGGAAGGACCCGCGTCACGAATTAGAGTTATCTTATTGGTGAGAGCTCGAGGATGAGCTATCACAGTGTTGGCAGATAATTCACACGGTTCCATTTGATGATTCTGAGAGAAAACAAGGGAAAAAACGGACAATGTTTGAGAATTTTTCCATTGAAACTGAGAGTGAGAAGGAGAGAGATAGAGACTGACGTCGTGACGGAAGTTGCAAGAAGAATGTGTTTGCGGGTGATTATGGCAGACGATGGAGAAACGAATCGACGACGGCGCGTGAAAGCGCGTCCAGAAACTGATAACGCGCATCAATTAATTTGGTCGGATCAATTTTATTCTGCATTACTTACTTCTAAATGGGCCAAAATAGCCCTTATTGTTGGGTCACGTAATTCATAGGAGATTAAATACTCTATCTAGTAGTCTCTATAAACAAGTGTAAAAGCTTTGAGTTTTGACCCAAAAAAAAAGTTGAAACCTTTTGTATTCAGAAGAGATTAAGTTTCTTGATAAATCTCTATAAACAAATTTAAAGTTTTGACTTTGACTCTAAAAAGTTGTAACCTTTTTTGATACAACAAAACGAGTTCTTGCTCTTACTCTTAGCATTTCATTGCACATTTTTCTACACAAATTGTAAATCTTAATTTTGGTTACTTCCTATTAACAAAATCTCCATACTAGTCTAACCAAAAAAAAGAAGCAAAAAACGTTACAACAAATGAGTAGAAGCAGATATTAAATCACACCACAAATGTGTGAAAGCTTAGAGAGGCTTGAAGTAGAGGTGATGATCAGAGAAAAGAACCCTAAAAGCTTGTCTGCATCTACACTTCAATCTAATTACAAACCCATCTCCAGATCTCTCTATCCTCATCCCTCCTCCACAATCTTCTTCTTCTTCTTCTTCCTCTTGCTCCTTCTGGAATGTATGAATGAAATTTCACCGTAAACTTATCAAAACCAGTAATTGCGATCTTCAAGACTAAAAAAAGAGAGAATGATTAGAGAATAACATCAAACCTCATAAGCATAGTTAGTCTCTCCACGATTAACCTCCTCTACACATTTGTTAACCATCTTCATCGTCTGTTTTACCAAACCAATTCAAGATTCTTGATTAGTAGTTCAAAACAAGAAGAGAACAAAGATTAAAGTAGTAGTACTTAGTAGTTATATATAACAACCTCTGTATCAGGATCAGACGGCGTCGTTTCTTGCTTCTCCGAAACAGGGCTAGTGAGATTCGAGTACCGGGTCGGGTCATGAACAGAGGAAGATTGTGCTTCCGGGGAAGTGAAGGGAGGAGGAGAGGTGCTAAACATTGGGTTTTGAGGGGAGATTTTCCTGCGTTTGGGGAGATCGGATTCGTCGGAAACAGGGGAGGCGCGTTTCAATGGAGGGGTGATTTCATCGGCGGAGAACAAGGATGATGAAGGAGAGTAGTAGTCACGTGGTGAAGTGAGACGGAGGAGAGATAGATCAATGTCCTCGAGGCTCAGATTGTGGTTACGCTCTTGAAGTTTTTCTTCCATCATCATCTTCTTTAGTCTTCTTGCTTCCTTCTCTGTTGGTCAATAATTTCTCTGGAAAACGAAAATAAGTTTGAGAGAATGTGAAGAGAGTCTTGGAAGTTGAAAAGGATATATATAGACTCGGTTTAAAGATTCCGGTTCATATTCGGTTTAAAGATTCCGGTTCAATACTTAATTTTTGTAAAATTAAACCAGTTGCGAAAAATCCACTCCGACGATAAGTGTGAGTCTGGCAGCCGGATGAGTGTCGCCGGCGTCCACCGTTTAACTCTTTCTCTCTCGCCGGTACTCTTTTGGTCCCTGGCTCTCACGAAACCCTGATTTTTGAGCTAAATTACTAATCTTGCTGCTCTGTTTCCAGAAGTGTTCTCTCCGTACTTTCGGCATCCCCGCCAATGGCAAGCGCACTCAATTTCTGCTACCATATAGCTTCTCCGTAGTCCACCATAGTCACCGGCTGGTTACCTCCTTTAGTCACAATCACAATGTTGGTCTTCTTAAATTCCTCCACTTGATGGTTGCTTTGATTGAGAATTGCTATGAATACTTGTGTCTTACCTCTTTACTTGTACTTAGGCTACTAATAAATCTGATGCAGAGTCTGAGCCTTCCTATGATGAAGGTACTTATTCATATATTGACATATTAAAGATGGAACCTTTTAACATTTTATGTATCTTCTTAACTCTCTAGTTACACATCCATTCGTTTGAAGTTTAGTTTTTACACTGTTTTCTCTTCTTTCTAGGAGAAATGTTGGATAAGAATAAAATAAGCAGGAGAAACCCGTTCGTTTCAGAAGAGTATGTGATATACTAAAATCTTTCTTTTGGTATACTTTTTCTATGCCTCTATGGTGGTGCTTGTGAGTTAGAATATGGCTTTTACTACTTGTTTGTTTCGTATGTTTTGTCTAAGAAGCAAGAGAGGAACCAATATTACGGATTATGTTATCTCTTCTTTCAATAATCAATTTCAAACATGTTTTCTGCCTCTTGTTTATGTGGTATGTTTTGGTTCAAATATTTGCCTGAGTTACTTGGTTTTCCACTTCTGTGGTGATCATGACAATGTCATTTGTATTTCGGATATGGTTCTGTCCAAATATTAGCTAAGATGATTTCGGTTCACATCGTCTTTCTGGAAGGGTTTGGGGAATTGATATGATTTTTAACATTAGCAATATGCTTTCCTTTTCATGATTTTTCCTGCCTTGATATGCTACCAAAATTGCAGGCTTCTCAAAAAATTGAAGAGATATGGAGTCTCTGGAATATTGTCCTATGGGATACTTAATACGGTTTATTACTCCACAGCTTTCCTCTTGGTGTGGTGAGTAGAATAGAATTTTGACCGTATATGCTCTGTGTAAAGCTACAAGAACATTGTTCTCCATCATAACATACTTGAGCCAGAACAGTGACGATTATCTATATGTGTATAGGTTTTATGTGGCCCCAGCACCGGGAAAAATGGGTTATCTTGCTGCGGCTGAGAGGTATGGAACGTTTTTCAGCATTTCCTAGCATTAAAGGGATGTGAAAGATTCGTGTTGCATGCAGATTTCTTAAAGTTATGGCAATGGTCTGGGCTGGAAGCCAAGTTACTAAGCTCATCAGAATAGGAGGGTATGTAGCTAATATAAGTTTCTTACTCAGTTAGTTCCCTATAACTTAAGAACATCAGTATGCTCTCATTATAGTGTCATGGGTCTGAAATGCCTTGGAGGAAGCTCTTTAACTGCTTTCTGCCAGATCATGATGATGTTGTAGGAATTAAGACCTTTCATATTGTCTCATCATGATAGATGTGCAGACTATCGCATCATTGTTTTAGCATCAATAATCAAAATATCATTTGATTTGCAATGTTCACAAGTGTAAATTTTTTTGTATTAGTAGATCCTGAAAAAGTGCCTAGTACATCAACCTTTTCATGTGTAGGTCTAGAAGAGATAAGTAACTATTATTTGTAAATATTAGTCTATCGATTTTAAGATGCATGTGGTGATGAAAATGGTACCTTCAATTTGATCCTTTGGCGCCTAGTAGACAACGCAAATCCTTTCATATTCAGTGAACAAGAAAAATCAATAACAATGTATCCTCTATATTATTTCCAAATAACAATCAGTTTGTTCTCGTTTACGTGTAACATGTTTAGGTCTTATGTGTCTAGGTAATGCTAAGGAGAAGTGGTCATATTATTAGTAGATAATCTGTTTTGTTAGTGGAAGTGGATCAAAACCAGTTATAACATAGTAGATGGATGCTGGGAAGTTGCACTTGCACTTGCATTTCCTAGTTGTGATTATGTCCGACCTTATCTTGTTAAGATGTTGTTACTCATGAAGAATGTTGATGGATACAGGGCAGTGGCACTTGCACCTATTGTTGATCGAGGATTGTCGTGGTTTACAGTAAAATGCAAGTTTGAAAGTCAGGGAAAAGTGAGGCACCCAAAATCGCTCTGAGTAATACATATATAGATGATGATGATGAGTGATTAACCTGTGGATGCTTTTGACAGGCTTTTGGCGCACTGGTTGGGATATGTCTTGGTCTCGCTTTGATGCTGTTTGTTGTTGTGACACTGCTTTGGTCATAGAACAGAATAATAGTTGCGTTTAGTAGGTTTTTGCTTGAGAGGCATTGTGAAAATTGACCTGATATTGTATGGTCCGATCTTTTTTGTTTTTGAATGATACATTCAGATTTAGCATCAAGATCTTAATTCGTTTGCAATATTGAGTTTTGCATCTACGTATGGCATTTAGAAGCACCCGATGCAGAAGAAATTGTATGTAAACACAAATAATTAGGAAAAGATTCAGATGAGTGCTCTCTTAGGACAAGAGTAGGAGGTGGCAAAGCAAAAGACAAGCTGTTGCAAATCTCAGAGTTGCAGTAGTAACAAGACATATAAATGGTTATTTGGGGAGGCCAGTTTGAGGATGGAGAAGGGCTTGAGTTTGGTCTTGAAGCACCACAGGACCTCTTCCAGGTCTGCTGCATATAAAATAACTCACTTCACCTTTTTGATCCTGACTTCCAATCTTGTCTTTAATTCCTTGTGGGAGCTCTCCTTCCAAGCCTGCCTCTTTTACAATCGATGTATCGCCCAGTACATAACTATACAAAGTTCCGAAACACCATTTTTATTAGTCAGGGATTTAATCAAATCAATCATCAATCACAATTCCTATCTCACCTCTTCATGTCTGTGTCAGGCTTAGGAGGGAAGCAGTAGAGCAGTCCCTGCATCAATTCAACTGCTACTTTCCTGTTTTTTGCAATCAGGACTGCATTTGGGCCAGCATCAAATGTATAAGCAATCTGTCCAGGACAATGAGATTAAGATCAGAAGACTTGTCCAACACCCTAGTCTCGAAACCTATTTGAAATTCAATGCTTGCTTGTGAGCTATATATGGAGTAAGCAAGCATACATACCTCTGGTGTACCGGCAGAACGGTTCCACTTTTCAACTAAGCTGATTATACTGGCATCATTAGTTAGTGAATTGCGATCAGTACCATTACTGATAGCTAAAAGCTGCAAATGACTGCCAAAAGAAACAAAAGTAGAGAAAGAGATACCTGTGGGAGGTGTCATTCATGTAGAATATTGGTGGAGATGTATCCATACAAACAGCATGAAATTGATTACTGTCTGAACACGTCAATTTTGTAAAAGATGTGAAATCTCGATTCTTTATAGCTTCTTCCATTTGCAGTATTCGTACTGGGACAACTTCCTAAGGAGAAATTAGACCATGAAGTTGAGGGGAATTTTTGAAGTTAAGCAAGCACAACCAAAAACATTCATATTATTTGTTTCAACAAAGGTTATTTTAGGTGATACAGACTGTTATCAATCATCAAAAAGAGAACATACCTTTGCTCTATGCTGTAAAAGCAAACTTGTCTCAACACTCTCACGCATTCCCGAGGTGCTGCTAGTTTCCTTCTCTCGTGAACTAACCTGCATGTAATACAAGCTAGTATGAGTTGAAAAAAGGTGAACAAAAAAACAAATGAACGAATAAGCTTTTGCAGGCTATGATGGAAATAATAAGAAAACATAGAATTATCACAGAGTTCAGATCATATTATTCAAAAAAATCAGCAGAAATATCTTATCCATATAGTGCACCTTCATTCATGTCATTAGACAAGAGAGTGCAACAAAAAGTTATTAGAGACCGACATAAGAAGATAGAGAATAGGATAGATAATGCGCACAAATCTAAAAATGCACTAGAGTAAAAGTACTTAAGATCCATACCACAGCAATAATGATAACAAGATCATCCCAATGCTTATCATCTACCAGTTGAACAGCAACACTGTCACTTCCATCTTCTTTATTTCCCATGTTCCACTTGACAAATCCCCCAAATAAACTACGGCAAGCACTTCCTGAACCTTGCCTACATGAAGAAATGACATTATAATGACATTATAATCATATATACTGATACCACTTAGTTTATAGAGGAAGTGAGGAACGTCTAACTACACATAATTCAATTAAAAGCACATAGCACACGGATGCATATTTAAAAGTCACTGTAAAAAATGGATAATAGTAAATCGTACCGTTAACATGGAAGATACAATAAAGATCATTAGGGGTGAAAATGCGAGTCAGGTAACGTAAGTCATACCTTGCTATAGCAGAAAGTTGGCTTGGATCTTCATTTACATTCATCAACTTGGCAAGAGCAAAAACTGTACCCAAAAGCAACTGTTATATAATACATCGAGCAGTTACCAAAAGAAAGATTGACTTGGGGAATATAGAACTGGAGGAAAGAGACAGGATCAATGTCATTGAAGCTGAGCAATAAAGAGAAAAATTATGCAGATTAGATAAAGATCTAGAAGGAAGATGAGGAATAAAGAGGAAAAACCCATGTTACCATTTGATTGTGTATTATCCAGAGAATCTATGCTAAACAAGATCAACCGGACAGTGTAATAAAGTTCATATATCCAAACAATCAAAAAGCACCTACATTTTCATGAATGTACTATCTCGTCCTAGCTTAAAGCAATCTTCCAGTATCCATAAACATACAATGTGGTTCCTTCAATTTAACAATGACAAAGAAATGAATCCAAAAAAAACACAGTACCTAAGCAAGCAAAACCAGCAGCTGAAGATGCTAAGCCAGCAGCAGTAGGGAAATTATTATGAGAAGCAATGTGCAGATGCAATTTCTCCCAATCCTTCTTAGCAATCTTGATACCCTTTTCTTTATCTTCAACATCATCAGCACGACTTCGAATTTCCCTCAAGCAATTCTGGTACCTACTTCCAGAAAGCGAGATTTCCTATACTAGCATGAAACCAAAAAACACCATCAACAAAAACCAACAACACTCAAATTCTTATAAATCCCAACAATACATTACCTAATCCAAGTCCGTTTCATAATTCAATTCATACGAATTTAAGCTTAAGAGACGATTTCAATACGAGAAATGAAAGTTGGGGAAAATGAAGAGCAAAAGTACCTTGCCATTGAGCCACATTCGATCTCGATCAAAGGAAGGACTAACAGAGACGGTGGTGAGAGTACAGAGGTGATCAGGATCAAGCGTGACGCTAATACTACCGTTAATGGGGAGAATCCGAACCTCATCTCTCTTTCCCCAATACTTAATCACGGCGATATTCGTCGGCGTCTGTGCCGTCACCATCACCACCCATTTCTCCTCCGCCATTAACGCAGCTCAAGCTTTTTCGAATCCAGAGATCTGTATCTTTCAGAAGATTCAGAGGAGGAAATTGAAAGTGACGGAGAGTTCGAAAAAGAAAAACAGCTCAAATCAGGTGGGAGATTAAAATAAGGTTGATTGGTACGAACGATACGGTTCCGTCCAAAGAGCACATGCGTAAACGATTCATCATTTTTAATTTTAATATGCGAAAATTTCAATATAACCCCCTAATTTTGAAAATTCTTACGAAATTAGCTTGTACTTCTTTATTTACTAAAATAACCTCCACCTTTGAGTTGACTTAATTGGATTACACTCCCTTTGAATTGACTTTTAACAACATAGAGACTCACTTTTGGTGTTACTGGAGTACGAGGTTGAGGTTGATTTCGACATGGTCAACACTAGTTCAAGTTTATTTTGTTGACCTTTTAACATCAACTCTAGTTAAGAGGAAGTGAGGAACAAAGAGAGAGAGAGAGAGGGATGAAAGTGATTTAATTAATGTTACAATTGTGAAACAGCCAAGTCGAAGTCTCGTTTCTTTTATGAGAGCCAGACAATTTTGGAATCATAGATAGAGGATAAATTAGGAGGTAGCCAAACATAATCAATGGCATCCATTTGCTGCGGTTATTGGTGCAAATCAGGCAAAGGCGGGCTTGTTGATCCCATTAATACCCGGGCCAACACCCCTTGTCGCCTTCACATATGAAAGGTATTCGCTATAATGCATGCTGAATAATGTACTCTGGTAACGCGTTAGATTGATTCGCCTGCGCACTGCTTCTGTTATAACACCATTGTATCCTGCTTTACGCACCAGCGAATCAATTGCCTCTATCTTTGTCCAGCCTGGGAATAAAAAAGTAATACTTGTATCAACACCGCAAATAGCTTCAAGTACTTGAATTACTGTATCAAAATGGTACCTTCATGAGCTGGCACCTCAGGCAAATATGTGGCGCTTCGCTTTGTATTAGTCTCAGGTTCAGTAAACTCAATGATTATACCATGCTTACCGACCTTTAGAATGAAATCACGAAAAAAAAAATCACCAATGGGGAAGATGTAGAAGACAAACCACAAACAAGAAGAATCCGATAAAAACTAAATCTACTCGGTGCCTCCAAATTAAAATGTCATGAGTTTAGCATAGCAGAGCAGTTAACTGAGTGGGAAAATAATATGAGGGAAAGGACAATACAAGGTTTATTGGACAACACTTCTTGATGGCACCTATATTCTTAATTCGCGAGATTGACATGTTGTAAAAAAAAGAGTGAAAAGAATACCTCCCAATCAAGGTAATCTTCTGCATCTTCATAATCAGTCAAGACAGACACAGTACATTGCAGAGATGGCAATTCTTTGGCCTGTATAGGTGGGAACCTACGATCCCTTAAGGCACTGCAATTTCATATAAGAAAACTAGTGTCGTTTATAAAACTAACAAAAAAGAGAGAGAAAGTTACCACAAGCATTTAGGACCAACCACATGAAATAAAAGGCAGATCAGCTAATGGGAAATGCTAATGAATAGAAGCTCACTCTGCACAAAATACACCTGCTTATACGTGCTTCATTTGTGGTTTCTAGCCTATGGTTACCAAAACTGAACTACTCAGTTCCTTTACAGCAAGTTGGAGCCTAATTAGCTCTCACTGTATTACTATATCTACTCATGCTCACCATATACACAATGTTTCGAAAAATGATATAAAAAAACAGTTTAATCAGCTGCAGCAGATTTGTGTTGCAACAAAAAGGATAAATTACACACCAAACTCAGTACATAAAACAGTTGAAAAACCTGATACTTGATATAAAATCTTCTAGCTCAAGACAATAAGGGAATGCCATTTATGTCTGTTTGATTAACTAGACAAAGAACTGCCTATTTACATATGTAAAAGTACATGTGTACCTATCCATTACTTTGTTGTTTATCATTGTATGGTTATCCATACCAAGCAACAGAAGTACATTACAACAAGAGAAAAATGAGCAAGAAGAGAAGCAAAGCAGACAGAAAAAGAAAAATTCAACAAAGTTGTTAATAGATACTAATAGCTAAGACTTAAGAACACAGAAATATGAAAGCTGAGGCAGAACAATTTCAACCATGAAAAAAGCAAAGCTCTTTTAAAGGCAAAACAGACGAAAGCATATCATGAATATGGCCAAGGAAAACATATGACATAAGCAGAAAAGGAAACTATGTGAGGACGAGTAAGTACCTAGTCAAGGCATAATCCTTAAAGCCACTGATCAAGCGGCGTGCTTCCAGTGTACCAATACATCCACGCAATCGAGGCTCTCCACCATTCACTATTTTCTTCCAGGTAACAAACAATGGACTACAAAAAAAAAAGACTGGACCATTAGTAAAGAATGGACCATGCGTTTCAGATTATATCACACATTCATATATTCAGCACATAGACCCAGAAAACCAAAAAAATTAGTTTCTAGCATCACTAAGATAAAACATGCAAGGTTTGCAAGGATTTGCTCATCACAGTCTCAGAATAAAGGCAGATTGTGAAACAATCGTGGAAACAATATCCTCACAACAGTTTCACAGACTCTAAGTGACTACTCATAACAATTTCAAGAACATCTTAGGACCATAAAAAAATTTGATTTTAGTATTTAAGAACAGATAGTCCGTTCATTAGTACTCTATCCAATTTCCAGACAAAGAGAATAAAATAAAAAAAAAAACGTATACTTTGAGAGAGAGATCAGAACTTGTATGTCATAACACAACAAAAAAAAACGTACTGATTGGCCTCTTCAAAGGCAGGTGGTGGAGTCTCTTCATTGTTGTAGTGAGAGACCAAAGTGTCGAAACAGTAGACAGCCATTTCTCTGTTCGCCGATACCATTGTTGCTTTGAAGAGAGAACCCGAGAAAAGAATCCAAATCAGCAAGTAATGTCAACCTGAAACATCCAAAATCTTACTATGCTACTGAATAGAGGTTCGCATGTAAGATATATAAAAATAACTGATATTTCCCGCAATTTCATGTAACCCAAAAGATACCAAATTTAAACACTACCCAGAGCCAAATATCGAAAGCAACTCAAAAATCTAATACCAAATTGCACACAAAAAAATTGAATAGTGATGGTCGACGATGAAGATCGGGTAGATGAAATTGAAATGTTTTGTATAAGGGAAATCAATTAAAAGCTATGGAATCTAAAAGGGTATGGATCGATCTGTAAGAAGAATTGAAACCAAAAGAGACAAAAAGGAATCAATTCTGAGTATGAAGAAGAGAGCGGAGAAAACCTGAGTAAAGCGCAGGAGAGAGAGGAAGATGTGTGAAATTTGTGGATTTGTTGAAGTGTGTACGTTTTTGTTTAATTAGAAAGCTTTGTTGTTTGATGATTTGAGTAGTGACAATTTTTTTGGTTGGTGTGTCTTTTTCTCAAAGACTTTTTAACTATTTGATTTGAGCTTAGTTACGGCCGCAGCTAGTTTTTGTTTTTCTCGATATTTACGTCGCCGATCATATCAATTATTTAAGAAATAGTATAAGCTAATTTCATACAACAAGATTTTTTTAGTTAAATAATATAATATTTATCGGTGGAGTATAAAAATCGTTGAATCTATGTTTTATATTCAAATAAAATTAATTTAAAACTATATAAAAAGTTTTTTTTTATATAGATATGAACGACCTTTATCGGTAAATATATGTGGTTATATAAGTTTAAAAAGATAAATTTTTAAAAAATAACTTGGTTAGTAGTCGCTTAAATTTCTTTCACGATTTACTTTGCATAAAAATAAAAGGTAATATACAACCAAATAAAAATATTAAAAATAATTTTTATATAGGAAATATTGCTGATTTGGGCATTTGTTGGCTAAAAAAGAATGATTTATTGGGCCTTCACGTTTTAGGCATTTCTAAGTTTAAGTAAATGATTTTTTTGCCCCTCTTCTCTCTCGATCACAATCATGCGACTTCTCCGACCAAAACTTTCGATTCCGACCACAACCTTCTCTTTCCCAGTCATATTTCTCACTATCGTGCTCCATCAACACCATATCTTTCACTTTCAACACGAACGATTTTGTTTCCGAAACACAAATCTGAAACACAAAACCTCCGCGGCTAACATCTTCTTCGATCCGATGAGTTCACTGGATTCAATCAGATTGCGTTTTGAATATAGAAGCTAAACCCTAAAGGGATAGTATTTAGTAAACACAAGGGCTCTAATCAAAACACTAATCGATCAAAACTTCCAAATATATCATTAAATCTAAACAAAATTTGTCACCGGATCTCATCATCGTCACCACTATCTCGTTTCCAGTGTTCATCTTCGTCTCGTCTCTTGATCGACACCACCATCTCTCACGAACATAGAAAGAGAACAGAGGCTGTGAAGAGAGACAATCGATTCACTTCATGATAAGGGGCAATTTTTTCTTTTCATTCGTCTCAGAAATGCCTAAAAACATAAGTTCTGATAATCAATCCTAAATCCGTAAGAAGTTGGGAAAAAAAGCTCAATCCGGTAATTGATTCTTTTTATATATGGTAAAATGCAAATCAAAGAAAAATTCAAAATAAGGATTTTTATTTTATTACAACATAAATAGATACATTTTTTTATTTTTGTTACTAAATCAAGTTTGATTATTCTCTAAAATATTGGTATTTTTGTAACCTCTCTAGAATTTCAACAAAGAAAAGTGAAAAAAAAAACATTTGGACTTCCCAGTGCACAAAATTCGAGAGTGATACTAAAATTTTCTAGTTTACCGCCAAAAACATTTCTTTCCAAAATCGACATTTGCTCTCGTCCTTGAAACGATATCTCTCGGGATCTTCACGCATAATTCAGATAAGCCTTAGGAAACTTCACCTTTTAGGGTTTCTGAGCAACGTCAATTTCTCTACTCGGCGCCGGCGGCGGGAACAAAATGTCTCCGTCTTCAACCACCACTTGCACTTCCCTTCTTGAAGAGTTGCAGGTTCTTAGATTCCTCGCTTGTTTCTCTCCGTAGCTTCTTCATTTTCTCCAGATTGTTTCGAAATTTTGACTGCGGAAGATTGCGAGTATCTTTATCTCCTTTGATTTGATTTTCCGATGATTCATTGGTTCGTTGGGTACCGCAATTGAATTTCGAATTTGATTTTATAGGGTTTATGCTTCTCTGGTCACTGTCAGTTAGATTCAATTCCAGGCCATTTTGTCAAATTCTCGCTTCAAATTGTTCTTAGTTGATGTTGAATTGCCGAATTATGCCTCCGCTGTTACATTTGCTTACAGTTTTTAGGTTTTCCTGTGAAAGAGATGTACTCTAATTTTTCTTGGGTTGGTTTTAGTATGATGCATTTCTTACTTAGCTTCGTTTGGGTCACTACTTGTTGAATCAACTCACTATCTATCTCAGATTTGAGCAATAACCGAAATCAGGATTAAGATACAGGAGACTACTAATGATGATGTCTTGTTCTGTGGCAATTGAGCATGTGTATTTCCAGTGTTTCTTACTTATACTCTACTTATATTTCCACTGTTTTATTCGTTTATAGATAATATGGGATGAGATTGGTGAAAGTTACAATGAAAGAGATAAGATGCTGCTAGAACTTGAGCAGGAATGTCTGGATATATACAATAAGAAGGTTGAGAAAACTCGTAAGTACAGAGCTGAGTTACAGCGATCCTTAGCTCAAGCTGAAGCTGAGATTGCCAGCCTCATGTCTGCGCTTGGTGAAAAAGTTTCGTTTCCCAAGGTATGGTACTCTTAGCAACACTACATGTTTGTTTCATAGAGAGTATATATAATGTCTTATATATGTTATTGTTTTTGTTTGAGAAGAAAGAAGGCTCTTTGAAGGAGCAAATATCTGCTGTAAAGCCTGTACTGGAAGATCTACTGATGAAAAAGGATCGAAGAAGGAAAGAGCTCTCTGAGACACAGACTCAAATAGAAGAGATCTCTTCTAACATAGCGGGGAATGATTATACTGTTTGTTCTGGTCCTGAAATTGATGAAAGTGACTTGACACAAAGAAAGTTGGATGAACTTAGAGAACGTCTGCAGGATCTTCGCAATGAAAAGGTGTCCTTACCCACACACACACACACTCACACACACGTCTAAGTAATTATTTTAAAATGTTTGTGGTTATTTGCTTATCATCTTTATTTCAATTTCAGGCTGTTCGACTGCAGAAAGTAAACTCTTATATCAGTGCTGTCCATGAGCTGTCAGAGATTATGTCATTTGATTTCTCCAAGGCCTTGAATAATGTCCATAGCAGCTTGGCTGACTTTTCAAAGACTCATTCGAAAAGCATTAGTAATGATACTCTTGCTAGATTAACAGAACTTGTAAAGTCTCTCAAGGAGGAGAAACATGAGAGGCTGCTTAAGGTGAGAAAAAATAATACTTCTGAACTTTCTTGACATATATTTATGCATATATATTCTACCAATTTTGTTATCCTGATACAGTGCTGCACATAGGAGCTAGTTTGCTGAGTTACACTTTGGATTCAGATATTACATATGAGCTAAAATTATTCACTTTCTTACCAATTTATTTGTTGAGCCATTTGAATGCTGCTGATTTGTCATAGTCTAATGATCACTATGTAGCATATGTTTGACATAATTTAGACTTTGGTATCACTTAGGGACCTTTTTCTTCTTTTCTATGTACCTACTTGCACGTTGGAACATCATTCAAGATCTTTGGTGGTTTAGTATATATGTTATATGGTTTCTCATGTCTTATCACTGCACTTGAGCACAATAGCATTCAATTAGGAAATGCAGGTTTATTGGTAGCCTCTAATTTAACCTGGCACCATTTTTTTACGGAAATGAATTCAGCAACTCCATGAAAGAAAACCTTAGCTAGACGGATTGATACCTTGAAATTCTTATATTTCAGCTACAAGGTTTGGGAAGAAGCATGCAAGAGCTGTGGAACCTAATGGAAACACCTATGGATGAGAGGAGAAGATTTGACCATTGCAGTAGCTTACTTTCTGGTCCACCTGATGAAGCCATGAAAAAAGGATGCCTCGGTCTGGACATTGTCCGAGAGGTATTTGATCATGTTTATTTTATTTTATTTTGGTTACCTAGCATTATCATCTACCCTGATGTGTCTCAGTCAGCATCTATTTTTTTCTTAAGTATAATCGTTTGGTCGTAGGCCGAAGATGAAGTGAAAAGACTCAATGCCCTGAAGTCTAGCAAAATGAAGGAATTGGTGTTTAAGAGGCAGTGCGAACTAGAAGAGATCTGTAGAGGGAATCATATGGACATTAATAGTGATGCTGCAAGAAAGAGTCTTGTCGACCTCATTGAATCTGGTACGATACACATTCTTCTTGAGTAGGTCGATTATTTAATTTAGTACTTCAGTTTGGCAGTGTACCTTTGTGCTTTTCCTTGGCCTCCAAAGGTATACTGCTTTTACGCCTTAGTAAGAGCATTATGGAAAATCTATGTAAAATAAATGGAAGTCTGTAGCTCAAGCAAAAAGGATTCATATTTTTGCTCTTACCTCTCCTTCAAGATATTGACTTTTTCATACCAAATAAGATATCTTATCCAATGTTGCTAGTTGTTACTTCCCTCTTTGACTATCTGTAGCATTTCATCTCCATTTCATATTTGTCATGTGTCAAGTTTGTCCCAATGTTTTTTCTTCTGGATTTGTAACTAAGATGCTTCATGACACACCTGCAGAACTTAGTTTAATAGTACAATGTGCATGGTTTCACATATTGTTAAGTTACTGATGCGATTAAAATATGGTTCAAAAGAGACCTATCATTGGGTGTGTAGTCAGTGACACGTTTTCATGCGCAGGTGATGGTGATCTGTCTGATATTCTTGCAAGAATAGATGGTCAGATCGAGAAGGCAAGAGAAGAAGCTTTAAGCAGAAAGGAAATTTTGGACAAAGTTGATAAGTGGAGACACGCAAAGGAGGAAGAAACATGGCTTGATGACTATGAAAAGGTGAATACCAGTTTACCTGATAAAATATAGAGTTGTATTTTCTGAAGATATGTCAAGAGAAGACTGATTGTGACCAATTTATCTGATAAAAATGTAGAGTTGTCAAGTCTAAGGTTAACCACAGTCCATAACCATTAGAGAACACTTTTTCTTTAAAGCGTCTCTACTTTTCTATGGCTTTAATGTTAGAGAGTATCAATTTTTTTGTGTGAACTTCCAACAGACTAGCTTTTTGTATGTATTCTTAATTGTCTCTTCAATTATGTTTCTTATCAGGATGAAAATCGCTTCAGTGCTGTGAGAGGAGCACACAAAAATCTAAAACGGGCAGAAAAAGCTAGGAGCCTTATCAGCAAAATTCCTGGTGAGTCTTTAGTTGCATTACTTGGTTAATGCAAGTAAGTCTGATTTCACAATGATGCTGTCTGGAAACTATACTCGGTAATTGATATTCCTGTAGATTAGTTTTAATAATCCACTTTTCTTTATAAGCCAAGGTTTCTATTTCTCTTGATATGCAAACCTAGTTTTTTAGCAGTGCAACAAGAAGTTTTGGGATCTTTTTTTGCCTAAGCAGTTGTTCAAACGTACTCTCTAACTCGATAATTGATTACTGCTAAAACTTGACTACGCATGTTGTTGTGAATTTTTTATGTTTTTATTTGTACTTGTTAGAGTAAATAGAATGTGAATGTAGTAGCTAGCTGTTCCTTATCCAAATCAAGTGAAGTTTTTTTGAGACTTTTTGTGATGCTTACTCATCCTGAAAAGTTAGCTGATGTTATGCAGTATATGTTGGAAAACTGATCAGCCTTATGATGAATTAACTCTCTTGTGTTTTCTTTTCTAAGCGATGGTCGATGTTCTGACCACGAAAGTGAAAGCCTGGGAGAAAGAAAGAGGAGTCCCCTTCTTATGCGATAAGGTAACTCTAACTATGAATTTACTTAATCCTCTTTTATGGTCTGCTTATATGATTTATGCCTTGTGATTCCAGCAACCATTATTACAAACACTAGAAGAAGACATTGTTATCCGTGCTCAAAGAGAAGAGGAAAAGCGTCAATTCCGAGTATGTCTTCAAAAACAGAGAAAAACATGGATTTGTAGTTGTTGGGCTAACAAAACAAAACTCTTTTTCCTCTTTTGCATAAACAGGAGCAGAAACGACTACAAGGACAGCTTGCTACAGAGAAAGAAGCAAAGTATGGTTCAAAGTCTGCAAAGAAGAAGCCATTGGGACAGAGTCTGAACACAGACAATGTGACTAAAACTCCCATTGGTCGACGCATTGGGAATACACCTGGACGTTCTGCTACTTCTGGCGGCAAAGATTATAGAGGCAATGCCGTGATACCATTGAACTATGTTGCTCTTCAGAAAGACGATTGATGATAGATAAATCAAAAAGGAGGGTTTTAGGGTTTAGAATCTTTAGATAAGCTACATTTACATGTTAATGAGCTGAGACTTCTAATGTGTTTCTTTTTGGGATTCTGCTTCCAGTGCTAATGAAGTTCTACAGATATTAGTAGCTATTAATATAAAAGTGGCTCATTTCACTCACAAGTTATTGATCTCCAGTCACATTTACTAGAGCCTAGAGGCTTTGCTTCAGGAAATGATGACCACCAAGTGAACAATTAATTTGCTAATGCAGCTTCAAAACTGAAAATAGAAAGATCTGACAAATGGTTTTTGTTAAAATACAATCATAACAGCCATAGCCTAAACTGTAATATTTGTAAACCGTAAAAAGTTGACAACGTTTTCGATAACCAACAATGGGATTTGGCTTCTGTCACAATGCCTAAGTTTAAAACTAATAAGCTTTGGGCTCTCATTACATTCCTCCTCCAGCAGAAAAAGTTCTTGAAGGAGTGTTTTTTGGATGAGAAACTACATGGTTAAAACATTTCACATCTCCCCACACTCTGTAATTACAACTGCAAGCTTAGGCCGGTTATTGGGTCCAATAGCCACGTTCTCAATCTTCCGCATCACCAATAAACCATCCCCAAGCACTCTCTGTATATCAAAAGAAGAATTTGCAATGAGTCATAACAACACTATTACCGATTATATGCATAAGAGTTCATGACTCAATGGCTATTCCTTAACTATTTATAGCTATTAAGGTTTTTAATAGTAGACAAATCCAAGTTATAACTACAAAAGGAGAACTAAGAATTTGATGGAAGAAAACTAAATAGCTTAATAAGTGTATGTGAAAAGAGAACGTACCCCAAAGACAACATGCTTGTTGTCAAGCCAGTCGCATTTTGCACAAGTAATGAAGAACTGCAATGCAAAAAGCAAAGGTAATTATAGCCTATATGACAACAATTTATGCCCAAACAACAACTAAATATCTTACGTCTTTAAACCGTTCAAGATTTCTATATTTGTTTAGCATCATAGTCAAAATAGAAGGCATCAAATGATCAATGCTTGCATTATCCACAGTTTTGTTTCAATTATAATGAGACTGAAATTACCTGGCACCCATTTGTGTTTGGCCCACTGTTTGCCTACAACAAAAGAATGAGAACCATAATATTAGTAATCAAACTCATGAGAAATACAGAGTTTAACTAATGAAGAACAAGGTTCAATATATTCACTGCATTGAAAAAAGGTACACAAATTTATAACTCAGATTCATAAAGCAAATTGCATACCATAGAGAGCAATCCTGGCCCAGTATGTTTGGCAGTAAAATTTTCATCCTCAAACTTGTGGCCGTAGATTGACACGCATCCACTACCATCATTCTGCAGAGTTTTTAACAAATTCGATATCCAGTAAGAAGAGATCCAATAACGAACCAAGAACACGCAATCAAGAGAACTAAAAGCCAGTGCCAGTTGAGAACCAACATAAGCAATCAAGAAGTGAGGATTTATAAGAAGTAAAGGGTACTGACCTTAAGAAAATCACCACTTTGAACCATAAAATCCTTGATGACCCTGTGAAACTGACATTCTTTGTAACCAAGAGGCTTTCCAGCTTTTCTGCAATTGCACCAAAGCCAACCAAAACCAACAAGAAAGATTTAGATTAAGTACCAAAAATTTCTCAATTAGTCCTAACCATAGCGCATCTATACACTTAAGCTAGCAAAGTTTAAGAATTAGGCATTAATAATACAACCTGTAGACTGAAGCATGAGAGTAGCAGAAAACTCAAGACTATATGAATCCAAAAAGCTCTTCAACCTCATAAACACTATCTTTTAAATCTTAAATCGTAAATTCTACCTCACAGAGAAGATACAGAATCCAGAAAAAATAAGTGTACCTGTGTTCACCAGTACAGAACTGCCTGAAGTTTTCAGCGGTTTTGGGAGAAATGTCAGCGAAGAGCTCCATCTTGATACGACCGGCGGGGATGCCACCAATAGAGACGTCGAAGAAGACGACAGGATTTTTAGGGTTCGGTGGTCGGACGTGCCATTCAACGTTACCACCGCCGCTTGAAGGAGCTGCTGTTGTTGCTGCAGCAACGATTCCACCTCCGGAATTCATCGGAATTTCGAATCTTTGTTTGATCTCTCTTCAACTTCGGCAAAACTTTTTTGCCCTTTCTTTTTGCTCTCGTTAGTTTTTCCGGCGCCTTAATATTGATGAAAAAGCTGTTTTGGGTTTTTGGGCTTCGAACTTTACCTACTTGGGCCATGATTTGTTGTATTTAAATGGAAACATAATTACATACTTACATCATTGTTACTTTCTTAATTTTTCATATTTCCCTTTGCTAATTAACTCTTTTATTACATTAAAAGAAGGTATGGTAAAAACAAAGTTTTACTTGGCTTTGCGCCATGGACCAAATGTATTTAAAAGCTGTTATATCAATGAAAGTAAGCCAAAGATCTGAGCATGTAGTTTATTGGTTTATGCAACTATTTCCGGATACAAATCTATCATTGTGCCTGTATGATCAATACAGAATAATAAGATATCTGAAAGCTCCAATTGTCATCAACTCCCAAAGAATTATTCAACAATGATCAACTAAGGCATAAGGTAAACTTCAGAGGCTGCTCATGCCTGTGTGGGCTCCATAAGCCAAACAAGTGAGACTTAAGACTTGTTATCAAGTTCTTCCAACACAGCCCACAGTTTTGGATCCGCATAGTTCTCGATGAGAAAAGCGGGTTTTGCTTGCACAAGCAGGCTTGCTGGATTACCTGTAGTGAGTCCAATCACAGGCATTCCAGCTGCAACTCCAGCTTTTATCCCAGAGATCGAGTCTTCGAAAACTAGTGTGTGCTCCTTTGACACGTTAAGCACTTCAAGAGCCTTCAAGTAAGGTCCAGGGTGTGGTTTGGGATGTTCACATTCAGAGCCAAGAATCACTGCTTGAAAGAAATCAGTCAGACCAAGTTTTGATATCATGAGCTCTGCGTTTTCTTTTGGAGCGTTTGTAACCGCAGCTCGTTTCAATCCACGATCTTCTATCCATTTGGTCAGTTTTATAAGCCCATCAAGTGGCTTTATCTTTTCTGCAACAATTCTAATCAACAAGAAAAGAACAAACAAAGTTACTCCAAATTAACTCAAACCTGAAAAGAGTTTGTGACATTAAAGAAGGGAAACACAGAACTATAGCTTACTTGCGATAAAGAGCTTCCTTTTCATCACAGAATTTTAACCCTCTTGAAACATCATCAGGGAACAGAATTTGAGCAATTTCAGAATTGTGTTTTCCAGCAATATTCTCAACAAAGAATTTCTCATCAATTGGGACACCATTGTTAAAACCAATCTGTGAATGATAGAAAGAAGCAAAATTGATTGACACAAGAACTTGACATAATTGATTCACAGTTTTTTCTAGTCTTGCTGCAGAATTAAAGATATGATGATATAAAGAAAAGGAAAGAACCTCTTGAAGCAGTTCTTGGAAGGCAATAAGGTGGATGGGATCTGAATCACAGAGTGTTCCATCAACATCAAACAGAATGGCTTCTAATGGAGCTAAATGTGACAGAGAAGGTTTGCTGCTTCACAAAAAATCAATAATATCAAAAATACTGAGAAATTGCGATGAGATTGCATCAAAAAGGATCAAACTTTGGATACATAGCATAATCAAAAAAGGTTTAAAGATTGAAAGCCAATTAGAACCATTTGATGTTTATCAACTAAAATCAAGAATTTTAGGCAACGAGTTCCATTGATCTTGGAGAAACAAACACTAGCACAAAAATCACAGTTTCCTAACAAAAGTAACACAAAATCCTAGAAACATAGTGGAAGACGAAAATGGAAGCTGACGAATATATAGACGCAAGATCATGTATAAAAGAGATTATAAGCATCATTGATGATCAGACAAAGCGTACCTCTCAGAAGGATTAAGATCAGAGAAGCCATTCATTGTGATGAGACCCAGAGGAAACTCGGATCTGCGATTGCAAAACGTGAAGACAAACAAATGGTTTTGAGAGATTTGTGAAGAAGAAACAAACAACAGAGAGAGTTTGAAGAATATTATTAAGAGGACAAAACCAAAAAAAAAGTATCAAATGGTCGTCAGAGGAAGATTCGGGGACTATTCTTCGCCACGTGTCACCCACATACTGCCGAAATTTAAACCGGAAAATTCATTAACATTAAACCGGTTTAGAGGTGTAATTCGGTTGGAATCCTTAATTGGGTTTATTGGTCACATAGAATCTTTCAAGTAGAGTTACAAGTTTCACATAAAAAAATCTTTGAAGTAGAGTTTCAAGTTTCATTTCTGATTCATGCAACTTAAAATACAAATTTTTATGGAGCTTAATCGCGGATTAATCACTCATTGTCATTTGTCAGCAATGACACAACTCTTTATTACCAAATGGTATAGAAAACACAAATTTTGGAATTAGAAACATAAATAAAACCATAAAAGGGAAATGATAAATCTTCAATAACCAAAAGTTTTGGTAATAGTTTTCTCAACACGAAATCAATCGGATTTGGAGAGCAGTGTGAGCAAGAAATCTCTGTAGTTCCCTTTAATCTTCTCTTGGATTCTTTGAGCCAAAGTCTCACCATAAAGGTTATTGAACTCTTCTTTGATCTCATTCATCTCATCACTATGATCTGCTCTTGTAACAAACACTCTTGTCAACCATTTCTTGGTAGTCTTGTCTGCGTCTTTGTTCAGAGAAGCCTCCAAAATCTAAAACCAAATCACAACAAAACATAAACACAAACGCGGAAATTGGACGTTTTGAAACAATCGCAATGAGAATATGGTTCCTTACCTTGCTGAAATACACAGCCGGTTTGAGCAAACAAAGCAATGCTTCATTGAGAAGCGAAGACTGAGATACACCCTGATGATCAAACCACAAGATTTCATTAGCAAATATTATCAAAACATTGGGAGATATACATAATATAACAAGTGAATAGTTGTTATATTTATGTTACCCCAAGAAAATCAGAGCCTTTGATTTCATTAAAATGTTTGTAGAGATGTTGGAGATGAAGTTTGCTTCTTGTGGTCAAAATCCTAACAACCTCATCCTTTTCCACGACTTCTTCGCCCGAAGAAGCCACTGCTTCGGCCAGAATCTTAGCCTCCGATTTGGCAGAATCATCCTTCACCTTATTCCCTTCATATCGATAAGCACTCACGAGCCCCACAAGCAACTACACAAAACACAGAGACAATGAGTGAGACAAGAGAAGTTTGAAAGAGACCAACACTAGTATATAAAATAATATTGACCTTGCGATGAGGACCGTGGACATGAGAGGCAATGTCTTCTTCCATAGATTGGTCAAAGAGAGAGTGATAAGCTTTGCGTGCACCAAGGAGATCCTCAGCAGAGCGAGTGCATGAGACCTCAACGATGAGGTTGTAAGCTTCTTCTCCTTTCTTCAATGCTTTCTTCACCAACCTTGCGTCTCTCTCCCATGGATGCATCGCCCACATCACCACCGCGTTCTACACATCACACACCAAATTGTTTTTAAAATTCCATATCGGAAGTGAAGATGATTCAATACTAGAATGTGAATATTTTTCACTCATTGTCAACTATTTTTAAAATAGATCGAAAGTGAGTTTTATCTACTCATTGGCCAATTAGTTTTGAGATGAAAGTCCATTATTCCTCATAAAAAAAACTTCATCGAATCATCTTCTGTGATTTTCAAGTAGGAACTCTTGGTTTACTTTTTCAAGAAATGTTTGAGAGTACTTTGTATCATAATAGAAAATCAATTAATAAAGAAAATTAACCAGCTGTATTAATTATTTTTGCTAAATAGTTTCTGTAATAATTACTTTTAACCAAATTAAGCACTTTTAGAACTGTTTTAGTTTTTTTTATATAAATTAAACTGTAACATGTGGTTGGTTTTATACTTTTATTAGGTAAAAACAACAATTGATTTATTATTAGATTTGACCCCCAAAAAAAGATTTATTATTGGGTAAAAACATTAAGAAAATGTTAGATTTAGCTGGAAAAAAAGAAGAATGGAAGAAAAGAACTGACATTGAAGCGAGAGAACTCAAGCTTGAGGTGTCTGACGAAGTGATCATGGCATTTCTCAAAAGCTCTTTCCTCATCTTCAACAAAGAAACTTTTGCTTGCTTTCCTAAACAATTTTCTATGTTCCTTTTGCGATTTCCCCAATGTGCTTATCAATGCATTCTCATCAACTCCCATCCCTATAACAACAATGTTTTTTTTTTTTTTTTTTTTTTTTGGTAAAAGAACAACAATGTTTTTTTTTAGTCTTTCAATCTCAATTCCAAATCATTCTTGTTTTCCACAAATCATATTCAACAAAAATCACCGATTAATGATTAGAATTACCTGAGATGGCTTCAGTGAGGCTTTCGAACTCGAGAGGAAGAGCCATCTTCTTGCAGCTCTTTTAGTGTTTTTTGTTTTCTGTGGAAATCTATGGAAGATGGACAAGACGTTTTATATGATGATTAAGGGTAATGTTGTGGTTTATGTAGAGAGAGGAGGGTGTTTTCGGTATTCAAAACCAGATTTAAGACAAAAGCTAGGGGTATTGTTGTAACAAATGAGTAACGCCCACGAAATTAATTGCATATGTTAACAACTGTTTACGTAAAAGGAATTACACACTTCAGTAAGTTCAAGACAAATTATAACTTACTGTTTTTTTTTTCTCTTTTGTCTTAACTGGAATTTATTAAGTTTGACCACTATATAAATTCTACTTACAGTTTTCAAAGATTACTTATCTTTTCAATTGGACGTGGTCTAAACATTGAATTAGGAAAATTGCAACAAAAGTCTAACCAAATGAAAGTTTCTTTAGTAAAACTATTAAAGCTTGTTTAGTAAAAAAAGTTTAAATAATAAATAGTAAAGGATTATATTTTGTAAAGAAAAGAAAGAAAGTGAAAAAGTTATTTCGACGAATTACGTTTCTAGAAAATGACTTAATTATCCAAATCTCTCAAAATCAAATGCAAAGAGCAAATTTTAATGCATACCAAAGTGATGGTTAAGAATATGGTCATATATAAAATTAAGATCCATGTGGATCTCAAATCTGAGACAATGAATTGTAAAAGTCAACTAATTGTAATCTCACTTGATCTTAAACATATAAAGATATCAACAAAATAGATAAGTCCTTTTGGTGCCAAAACAACGTTTTTTTACTGCCAAACACATATGGACCTATTACAGAAAAATAATGGTTCGAATATCATGGGCAAAGGAGACAACATATCTCTTCTTCTCTGTTTTTTTTTCTCCTTTGTATCTTCTTCTCTTAGATTAAATGCATTCTTGAAAAAATATTCAATGCATTTCTTGAAAGAATAGTCAATGCATTTCTCATTATGTCCAGACTGTCCCATTTCATAAATTATGCACACAATTGTCGATGAGAAGCATCAATCACATTTACTTCGCATTATTGTGAGACTAATAATTAAGCTTATATAGTATTATATACAGTATTCAACAAGTATATATCACATGGTTTTTATAGATTATTGCTGAATATCTGACATTGAGGAGATTGTACAACCACTACTTTTGACGTAGCTTAACCAAAAAATAAATAATTTGGTCAACCAATCAAGATCCGATTTATAAATATGAGAATTATTATAAGAGATTTATATATCAAAACGTGTTTTGTTCAACGTTCGCTGACGCTTTAGCTGTTTAGCATGTTGCTCATAGTAACCCTTACGTAAAATCTCTTCATATTTTATTGTGTCATAGACTTGCGTATATCAATACATGACACGATACTTAAGAATATCATTTGAATATAAATCACGAGATAACTCACTCATTAAAAAAAAGGGTGCAAGATTACGAGATAACTCACTTATTGGGATTAAGAAAGAATGAATCATTTATCAACCTACGTGAAGATATCGGCACTTTGGTGTCAGGGTCGATTCACATTTGTTTACATTAGAGTGATGAGTGATTTAAGAAGACATATTTGAATACTAGCAAATCTAGATGGAAGTAAATAAATGTTACCGCCAGTAACAAGAAAATATGTACAATTTATGTAAGTTTTTTAATCTACTACACACGAATTATCATCGAAGGATTAAATTCTAGTTTTTTTTTTTTTTTTGTAAAGACAAGATCACGTTTTACACGACGAGAGGACTTGCAATAATTTGGAGGACAGACAGCTGTGTTGAGGCGTATCATATGCAAATCGCAGTCTATTTATTTATTTGATTTTGGTTATACTTAGACATCACTCATAAGATCCCATCATGTTCCTTATCTTAAATGTTATTTCTATTGCGCAAATGTCACACAGTGACACATACATATTAGACAGTTGACTACAACATACAGTATACTGTTATGAATATTCAAATTACACATTCAACTTAATTAGGAAATATCATAAAATTTGACATTGCTCTTCGATTATCGAATAACATTTAGAATTTTTGTGTTTGTTCAATAAATTACATCTTTTTTCTTATAACTTATTATTGAAATGAACATTTAGAATTGATATTTCTCAAACCTAACTATTGTCAAAATATACTTTTATGTAAATACTAAAGTACAAATGAGCTCACTATTGTAGTAATACATAAATTTATTAAGTTAAGATATTGTTAACTTCCTCATCAAAACCATCTATTTTGTCTTTGTCCATTTATTTATCATTCATTTGTTTGGGACCTTATTTTATTTTTTAGTATATGTAGAATCATAAATTTATTTCATCACTTATATGCTAAATTCCTCATTAAAACCATTTATTTTCTCTAAGTCCTTTTGTTTATCATTTATTTGCATCCTTACAAAAACTTTAAATACGAAAAAGTTATTTTGGGTTAATTGGTAAGTATTATGTAGATTTTGCAAATAGTTTTTTTTTTTTAAATAGTTAAAGAAAGAATACTACTGCTCATCAACACACAACTAATATTGGACCATAATTAATAAATGTCCTCCAAAACTAAAATCTCGACAGAAATAGGCTAATTACGTCATTACAGTTTCGTCTCCGAGGGGTAATTATGTCAAACACCATCCCCTGCTTCATAATTACACCCAAGTAAATAACTCCGCCTTGAGAAGAAAAAAAAAACTAAAACGGCTCCAAATTAAAAACAAAAGAGAGACAGAGATCAAGAAACAGAGAGATTCTCTCAAAATGGCCACCATTAGAGTACCAAACCAAGTTCCTTCTCCAGCTCAGGATTCTGAAACTCTCAATCAAGCTTTTCGTGGTACGTTACATTCATACACGCAAGCATTTGTTGTGTGATTAATTCGATGCATTAACGAATAATTATCTGAATCAAATTTCGTAGGATGGGGAACAGATGAGAAAGCGATTATACGAGTTTTAGGACAAAGAGATGAGAGCCAAAGAAAGAGAATCAGAGAAAGTTACAGAGAGATTTATGGCAAAGATCTTATCGATGACCTCTCCTCTGAATTGTCTGGTGATTTCATGGTAATTCTCAACATTTTTCAATAGATAAGAGAGATTAGAGTTTTTTCTTCTAAAACATGTGATTTTGCAGAAAGCTGTGGTTTCGTGGACGTATGATCCAGCTGAGAGAGACGCAAGGCTTGTGAACAAGATTTTGAAGGATAAGAAGAAGAAGAAAAGCTTAGAGAATTTGAAGGTTATAGTTGAGATCTCTTGCACAACTTCTCCAAACCATTTGATTGCTGTGAGGAAAGCTTATTGTTCTCTCTTTGACTCATCTCTTGAAGAAGACATTGCTTCTTCTCTGCCTTTTCCTCTTGCAAAGGTCTTTGTTCTTTTCATAAACATTTCATTTTTCATTATTAGATATGAGAAGCACAAAAGTTGATGACTTGATGATGATTACAGTTTCTGGTGACATTGGCAAGTTCATTCAGATATGAAAAAGATAAGACTGATGCAGAAGTAGCTACTATTGAGGCGGCTATGCTACGTGAAGCCATAGAGAAGAAGCAATTAGATCATGATCATGTCCTGTATATATTAGGAACTCGTAGTATCTACCAGCTCAGAGAAACTTTTGTTGCTTACAAGAAGAACTATGGGGTCACAATTGATAAGGTTCAGATTCATGGTTTGGTTTGGTCTCATGGGTTTGGTTTCATTTTCCTTGATACTATAACATGTTGTGTTGTATGGACAGGATGTTGATGGATGTCCAGGAGATGCTGATCTGAGAAGTCTATTGCAGATGGCAATCTTTTGTATTGATACTCCTGAGAAACACTTTGCAAAGGTACTAAACATTTGAGCAAGAGTAGACCATCAAAAGTATTTTGAAGGTGTTTTGTTTGTTCCTTAAGTTTGTGTTTCTGATTTGGCAGGTTGTAAGAGATTCGATTGAGGGTTTTGGAACAGATGAGGATTCATTGACGAGAGCGATTGTGACGCGTGCAGAGATCGATTTGATGAAAGTAAGAGGAGAGTATTTCAACATGTATAATACAAGCATGGATAACGCTATCACTGGTGATATTTCTGGAGACTACAAGGACTTCATTATCACCTTACTTGGATCCAAAATCTGATATTTCTTTCGTTTCTTTGTCAGTTGTTATATTCTTGGCTTTGCTTGTGACTTGTATAATCAATGCATTGTATTCCAACTCCAGTTTGAATTGTTTTAAAAATAATCAAATTGCTCTTTGATTCTTGCATTTGATGATACACTATAATTTTAATTCTGTTTACAAAAATACTTGACAAACAAACAAATGAGTACTTTCTAGTTTCTAATACACCCATTGAGCTTTCTTTCTATTGCTCACAACCAAGACTCAACTTAATTCCTGTATCTTTCTCAAGATAGGCAATTTCTTTAGCAACACTTGATATGCACACTTTGTCAAAACATACTCATATTTGAATAGAAAGAATGAGCAACCAAGAACAGAATTAAAGGAAAGAATGAGGAACATACAAAAAATAAGTTTCATATCCAAAATATGAGATTCATAGGGAGAGGGTTTGGGAAAGGATGGTAAGGTTGAACCAAGTATCTTGCTTTCGGATAATAAGTGCTCGAGACTTTGTGATCAATACAATATATTAAGAAAAAAAACTCATTCAAGATTAATCACCATGCAATACAAATTACATTTTTTGAATAAAATTTTATTGGAAATATCTCATAACAATATTGGACAGAACAGTGTTTTACAAACCAGTAGAGCAAAATACAAATTCAGTAATAATTTCTTTACGGCAAGAGCGATATCCATCATAAATTCTTTTCACAAAGTTTTTCCAGCAATCTCTACCTCTAATCACGAAGACAAGATGTGGAACACACGATTGATCCAGTCGCTTGATGAAAAACTATTTTGTGTGGACAACGCTTCTCACAAGTGAAGCAAATAGGTCGAGACATATGATGATTGTTGGACTTAATCACTAAAATGTGATTGCCTTTGGAAAATAATAGACTAGGCTTCAAGGATAAATCCAACCCGAGCATACATTCAATGTGTAGGGTGACACAACAGCCCTCATCACATATATAAAATCGCTCCCTTGGATTTATCTTTCCCTCACAAGCTTCACACCAATAAGTCATGGTACTTGTCTCCTCCCCGTAAAAAAGAGTGAGCATATGCTTATCATGCTTATACCTCAACTTTTGAGGTAAGGTAGCACATCCAAAACACAAAGAAAACTCGCACTCAATGCAGTTAAATGTTTCATTCGAAGAAGAATGTCCGTACTCTTTGCAAACCGAACAAATTCTTCGCTTATCTTCTGGTTTGGATGTTAGGAATAAAGGATGCATGTGACTTTCATGGACTAAGGGCTCAGATATTGTGGCGCACTTCACGTGTAGCTGGAAATCACATTCTTTTTTACCACACTCGTAGAAGAAACCAGCTTTGCACAACCAAGGACAAACTGAACACAAATCTTTAGGATTCGCCATAAAACCGACATAAACATTCATTAAAGTTAGCAGATGTGGATGTATCGGGTGATACATTTTACGAGAAAGTTTTGCACATTCTTCGTGGAGAATAAATTCACATTGCACACATGAGTAGAAGTTACCGAAATAGATTGGCGTGACGCATGCTTTGCACATCTTATTCTCGTCGTAATCTCTGGCTATGTTCTCATCAAGTATTAAATGATGCTCATGACTGAAATGTTGTATGATTCCATCGCTTATCTTCACAAACGGCTCAACTTCTTCTTCTTCAATATCTTCTGGTTGTCCCTCAAGTTCTATACCATCCCACACGTTGCTCTGTGTGGCACATTTCGAATGAGCCGCATAGGAACAATTCTTCTTGATGCAAGAATAACTCCCATAATCATTGTCGATCTTTCTGCGACAAACACCACACGACCAATCTCCTTTGTCTAAAGAAAGAGTAAAAGAGATACGATGATGATGGCGAGATATTTGTATGACACGTGGTAAGCTGATACACTTTTGATGGACCACAAAATCACAAGGAGGGCATATATAGAAAGGACAGCTTGAATGTGTCAAGGCACATACGCTGCAAGTTAAAGAAGCCTGACTTGGAAATAGAGCAAGTGCATGCTCATGCCACTTCGGATGGTCTATAGACAAGACTGGTGGTTTCTTCGCACAGGGAAAACAAATAGCATAATCGCAAGCCGAGCAATAATAAAATATCCTTTTGAGATCTTCATCACAGCAATAGCATTCCCTGGTTGTTTCATTCAGTTTTAGGAAGACAAGCTGGAGATAATGTTTTGGATGAAGAGGGTGTTTGATCTCAACTGGAGCTTTGTTATATTCTCTGTGGTTCTCGCCGTTGCAACCTCCGCAGATAAAATGGGTATAGCCTTCTTCTCCTGGTAACCCGAATCTCTTCCAGTTGAAAGGGAGACATTTCCACTTGTAAATCCGCGAGACTTCTTCAATCATATGAAATTTTCTTTCTTCCAATATTACTTGTACTTGAGGACAAACGGAGATGAGCTTCTTCAACTTTGAATTCATAGAGATGACTAGGGAGAATATTTGATGGACGAGTGATATGAGCACCGGCTCCGGCTCGAGACTCAATGTTTCAGCAAAGAGAATCTTGAGCTTCAAGTTTCTATAAATTTTTTTAAAACTGAGCTCTTGCTCCTCCTCGAGACTCATTGTGTCGTCATCAAGGTCCGTCAACTCCAAATCCAGGTCCGGCTCCGGCTTCGACTCCGAGTTGACGAGAGAGTATCTCCGCCAAAGGAGTGATATGACCTTCTTTACTGGCTTTGGCTGGGAAACAAAATCCATAGAGTTGAAGAAAGAGATAGTTTGAGAGGTGAGTGACATCAGCTCCGACGTCGGGCTCGGCTGCGAATTCAAATCTATGGAGCTGACCAGAGAGATTATTTGAATAATACATGATATGAACTTCTGAATGGAATCCAATCCCAGATCCGGATCCGAATCCACAGTGTCGTCAAGATGGAGTAGTTGCGTAATGAGTGATATGAGCTTCGACTCCGGCTCCAAATCTGAATCCATAGAGTTTTCTAGTCTTGAATATGAATGTGACTTAGTGCTCTCTGTATCGGTATGTTTCTGAATGCTACTTGTAATACATATATAGATAACAATAATACAAATATAAGAACATAACTAAATATAGAAAAGCAAGAGACAATGTCAAGCTTACAGGCTGTCCGAATTCAGAGTCAACGATAAATAAAGATGGAGTATTAGATATCACAACAAAATGTCTCTACGATTAAATAATATTTCGATAGAAGAAATTTGCTGTTCTACCCTAATAAGAAGACATTTGGTTAAAATAATCATAAACAAATATGTATATAGGGTTTCACATATTTTTAATCCAAAAAATGATGAAAATGTCTTTCAAGATATATATACACCATTTTCACCACATTTCTCTCTTTCTATATTGTTTTGTGCAAAATCAAATTTTTGTCTCCCCTTGCTTTAATTTTTTATAGAAATTGAGTATTTGAATGTGACTACTGTATTATGATTATAATAAACTTGGTGGTGCTCCCCATAACTGTTCTCACGCAGTTTTCTACTGTTGATCAGTTCTATATTATCTCCCTAGCTTATAGACATTGTCTTAATATATGCATATTTTAAGATAATTAAAATAGAAAATCATGAGATCATCTCAAATTTACAGGTTGTCCCAGCGCAAAGTCAACCGATTGGTTCCTTTAGAGATTTAGAGATCTTAACAGTTCACCTTTTATTCGGATTTTTTCCCTATTAAATTTTACTCAGCTTCTTATTAATAATGAGGGTTAAGGTCGGCCTATGCTTCCTTACTTGGTTCTGCAACTAGATATCCAGAGATCCTCTGAGAGTATATGAATAGATAAACCTACACATATATATAACTAGGTAGTTCTTGTCTTCTTGAAACAACTGAGGAAAGTAATTAGAGGATATGAATAGATAAACCTACACATATATATCTCACCTTACTTGTGAATTTATTGAATGAGGTCATCTAAAGAAATGAAAGAAACTCTTCTTTTCGGGCAATCAGCTTTCTTGTTTGATTTCAATGCTAGACTAATAGACATGGAAGGAATCAGACTAAGTCGAAGTTCTCCTCTTTTAAGTTGACCGTAGTAGAGCAAGTAATCACCATGCTTCCCAACAAGTTGTATCAGATACCAATGGGCTCAATATAGTAGACATCAAATACTAAAAAAAATAAACACTCATGAGCTATGGAATTTATCCGAAAATGTCTGTTAAGACGTGGATACAGACTCAAACCTTAGAAGTTAGAAGTGAAGAGTTTACTTTTACCAATTTCGAAAGGAGATAAGAATCCCAGCTCTGTCTCGTAAGTTACTTAACATTATTACTTTCAAAGTAATATAATTACCAATTTGCCTGAAATCACTTACCAAAAACGAAGAATAAGACGGCTTGAAAACTCAAAGCTACAAAAAGTCGGTGCGGAACAGTGCTACATTTTCCTCATGTCATGTATCACTTACCAGAATTTACTCAAATTCAGTAAAAAATATCTTACAGTAGTAACAAATTCCCACATGGCACTCATGCTTTAAACATCAACTCACATATCACCCTCCGAGTGAATAAATTTAGAATTCCCAGTTTGATTTGTCCTAATTCTTTTCATCAGCCTTTCCATTCTCACTGCTAAATCCATTATTGTCCACCTCCATTCCAACCGCCTCCTTCGATAATTCACCGTCTATGTCTGGAGCTTGGTTTAGCTGCTGCATGGTTTTCTCAGATTCATCTGCTGCATTTACAGCTACTACTGAATCACTCTCCATGTCGTGATTACCATCTTCCATCTGTGGCATGTTGTTCTGGTATTGCTCATACACTCCTTGTGCCTAACCAATGCATGAAACAAATCAGTTTCCAAATAAATATAAAAAGTTTAGTTATCCAAGCAAGCAGATTGTGTCGTTACCTGGTAGAACTGGTTCATCCTATCGTGAACTATGTGTGCCATTTCTTCAACATCATGAACGAGATAAGGATTTCCAACTTCCTCCACAACACGATCTGTATACGTTGTGTTCTCATTAAGATTCAGTCCGAGCCGGTCGGGTCTTTGAAGAAGAAGTTGAAACGTTGGTTGCAGCTCATAGCATTGTTCAAAGAGAGAACGACGACAGAACACATACAAACCGAGCCGAGCACGTGACATTG